TTTTCAAAGCATACATTTAGTTTGGTAGGGACCCTTTACATCTTTGTTATCTGCTATTGCTGATTCATTCCGTCTAATGCCTTCTGTTTTCATTTAATATGATTAAATTACATAAGATGTAATGCGGCCAGAACGTTATCATTATGTAATCATAGGTCCAAAGTACTCTTCTTTTGGTAGATAAGAAACCCTTTATTTGTGAAGTACGAAAACACTAATATAAAATATAGAAATACCACATATAAGGATTCTGGGATCTTCGGAGGAAAACAAAACAAATTACTTTTTATTTCAAGCACTAGTTTTTCTTTATAATCACTGAGAGTTTATTCATAAATTCTCTACAAAAAAATCTGGTGTGTCCACTCACACGACTTTCCTGCCTATTTCAGAAAAGTTTTTATATCGTTACATATGTTTATGAAGAAACAAAAAAAAAAATTGTATTAGATTTATTTTCCTGAAAATTGATCAAAGAAAAGATTTGAGTACGATTTACTTGATAAACTAAAGCGATGTAAACTGGCTTAAGGTAGATTAGTGTAAAACTTTCAATACCCTCTAATATTGCTGATCAAAAACTTTTTGCCATAGCTTAATTTTGTCAAACAATAATTTCTCTTAAAAGTACAGGAAATAGTGAAGCTTGTGTGATGCGGGCAATAGATTTTTTACTTTCACTAAGTCATCTTTTTTCTCTCATTCACCCCTTTCTGACATCAGAATATGAACCCTTAATCTTACATAGGAAATTGAATAGCTGTAACTTCGTTAATAGTTGTCCATAATAAACGATTTTTATATAGTTTTGTAGGTAATTTCATTACCTTAAAAAAAAAACAGGCTTAACGGCGTTAGCACAGACAGACAGACCAATGGCTAAAAATATCGTTTTTCGGACCCAGGGGGCTCTGAAACGTATAGATCAGTCGAAAACTGCATATCGGAAATTTGACCCGATCGCAATACTTTCCTTACCTAGTATAGGTAGGAATGCAAAAAAGTTCTAGAATTAATAAAACTATGATACTAAAAATAATATTTTAATTTTTAAAAAACCTAATATAGAAATTGGGAAATTTACGTCCCATCCTAACGGAATGTACTTTCATATCTACTGGAGCATTTTGGTAGATTGATAGGGAATTTAACGTATACGAATATTTAAACTTCCTTCTCTTTCAGGCGGGCGATATAGTCCAATCACCCCGAAAATTCAGGCAAACAAGTCATGAAAGAAAACAAACTTTATTTGCGAATAACTAAAAAATTACACACTTTTCCCTTGGTCATGCCCATGATTATATAAAAGATTACTAAATTCCCTACAAAAGGAAAAAAAAAATCATCGAAATCGGACAATTTTTAGCAAAGATACAGCTTACTGAAATTTGTAAACATGTTGGTTCCAAACAAAAATGAAGATTTAAATTAATTTTTGTTTCCTTTGTCGATTATATTTATCGATAAAGTAACAATTGATTTCTTTATCTTGTGATACATTGCATTATTTTATTTTCTTATTAATTTGGCATTTGATAACAATATGCTGTATGAATTTTTCGCACAGGCTACTAGTAATATAAATTAGTTTAAGAAATAAACTAAATTTTGGGAGGATGACGTCATTGCCCGGAGGCACCGAATGTCTAAGGCCGGCGCTAAATCTACTTTTGGCCATTCACCTATTTATGCTATTATTTCATGAACAGAGAGATCAATAGTTTAATTTATTTATTTTTGTTTTAATCATGGTGAGTATAATAGTGGAAAAACATTTTTCTCGATTCCGCCGAAGTAGCTTAAACGATTTTGTTCATTATCTTCTTCTATATTCAGGTTTTTTATTTTCTAAATTTTATTATTCAGCATTTATTAAAAAACATTTAAGTGACAACTACAGTTTTCTATTATCATCGGTTAAAAAGAAATTAGTTTTCATATTTGTGATATCAGGTTTACTGATAACAACGGGTGTGTCAGAGGGGTGAGACAGGTATTTTTATTTGTTTACTCCTTCTAAAGATATGTTTACGTTCCATGTAGGCGCTTCACTCGTATGACAAACCATCTTATATTTAAATATTGTTGAAAAGGAATTGAGCGGTAATATAAATTATCGTAGAAAAATATATATATATACTCAAATACAAATATATACATTCCAAATGATCTGATGAAAAAAATAAAATTGGAAATTTGAATTATTAGGATCAATTTGACTTCCTTAAAGTTAATATTCAACTTATTATGTGCATTAATTAAAATATTAAAATAAATCTATACCACAATTAATTGTAAAATTACGTCCTTTTAAAAATCCATTTTTTTTTTCAATTTTTCAGGTGCAATACCACAGTTCGGGTGAAAATTGAAAAAGTAAAATAATCATTTATTTTTTCAATATCTCCAGTAAAATTACAACTCAAACTCAACATCCATTTTTTAAAGAACAAAAGGATAAACTATAATATCTAGGTTCACCTATTTTACTATAGTATCAATCACTAGCGGATTCAGGATTTAATTTTGGGGGAGGCTTTAGCCCGAAAGATTTTTTGTTTCATATACATATAACGATAATTTATTTGAAAAAAAAGAAAGAAATTAACTACCTATATGGAATGGTATTTAAGTGGTTTCTGATGTCCTATTAAATGTAATTACAGAAACAATAATAATTTAAGAGATAGTTTTTAATATTTTTTTCTGTAAAACATGGTTATATTTTACCATTTTGGAGGGGGGGAGGCTTCAGCCCGAAAGCCCCCTCCCCCCGTAGATCCGCCTTTGGTATCGATACCTCTTCAACCACCGGTACTCAGAACTATTTTGTTATATTGACTTTCTTTTATTTTCTATTCATATTTTTATTTGTATATGTTATATTTGTCTTAATTATTTAAATCATTACCTAATAGTTATACTTTATTTATGCATTAAAATAAGCACCGTCAGAGAATTTTTTTTTTATATTAACCAAACGTTTTAACTATATAAACTATATATATATATATATATATATATATATTTTTTTTTTTTTTTTTTTTTTAATTCCCTACGTGGTAACCCCACACAAGGATCGTTTATTTGATTTTCCTTCATGCTCCATGCCTTAAAGACATACTACATGAATTACATTTGTTTACAATTGTTTTTTTTTTCTAGTTTCACATTACATACATTTTTAATTCAAATTTATATACATTAACAAACAAAAATACAAAGAATAAACACACAAAAATTAAATCGGAAAATTAAATATTAAACACACAAAGTCAATCCAACAAAGCCAAAAAGAAATCACCCACGCTGCCCATCCCTGGTTAGTAAGTCGAAGTCAATCGATCTAATAAATCTAAGAAAGTCTGTCTTGAATTCAGTAAATAACTTTTGTTCCGTCTCAGGCCAATTTTCTCTTTTGATAATTATGCTTTTTATTAACTCAAATCGCTGTCTATCAAATCGTTTACATTCATACATTATATGTTTAAAATTTTGAACCTGTCCGTCTTCATCACATAATTCTGTTTGTATAATGTTGAATCTTTTAAGATATTGTTTTGTATTCCCATGTTCCGTAAGTACTTGCGTAAGTTTGTAGTCATTACTGTGAATGTGTCTGTAATTGTGAATTGAAATGTGTGGTATAAATCTGTGTAAGCTTGGTGACTTAGCTGAGGTCACCCATATGTGATCCCATCTTTTGATGAAATCCAACTTTAAATTCATCTTAATTTATATATATATATATTATGACGGTGTATCAAATATCACGTTATTTATAGAGAAAATCATAATTTCCAATTAAACAACACATAATGAAATCATCCCATAACTGATGTAAATACTAATAAATCGCATTTATGCGATTAAAAAAAATATATATATAAATGGCTTTCGAGTATAGTTAAAAAAATATTGTCCAAATTTTTACTTTTTTGGGAAAAATTAAACAAGGTTCTTGGTGAAATTCTGTTAACATATCTCGGATGTATGTTTAGCGACTCGAAAAATACGTGAGTACAAAAATTTACAACTAAACCAAAACTTTCCCATGATTTACTTGCATTCCACTGACTAAAAGCTTACTTTAAAATTCAAATGGACTGATAACAACAGTTGAATTTTTGTAAGAAATTCATTACTTTTCATAGCAAGTAAGAAAATGTGAATTTTCCCTAGATTATGTAACACTTAAATTTCAATGATTTGTTAATATCATGCTTTCCTCCGGTTAGAAAATGTTTTTTGTTTTGTTTTTATTTAAAGATATTATATATTTTAATAAAACAATAATAACTGACTATATTTTAATACTTACCTAACTTTGGCCAAATTTATAGACAGGTCACATTTTTTTTACATTTCTTGGTCCCAGAATATGATGCTCCTGGTGTAATTGGATGCAGCATGATACTGAAAAAGGAAAAGCGAAATTAAGAAATTTTCAGGAAAAAAAATTCGGTAATATATCAGAAAATAATTTTTATAAGGTGAGGAAATGAATTATGTATGATAATATATAATGATTCCATAATGAATATAAAATTTAGTATTACTTTATCCTCATAAAAAAAGGAAAAGAAAATTGATCCGCATAAGTGCTATCACAAGTTATAAACTTAAAAAAAAAAAATATATATATATATATATATATATATTCAATTATAATTAATTATTCTATTTAAATGTTAGAAATAATCTTTATTTCACTGACCCAAGTATGTCAATGCTGCTTTTAAATGGAATAAGAGATTGCCTAGTAATGACCATTTAAGAAGACAAGCTTAAAAAAAAAAATAGTTACGAAACAAAGCTCTACTGGCTACAGAGCTCTCTACTGGCAAAACTGTCAACCGCTATACTGGTTTTAATTTAATATTTTCCTTAAATATAGCTCCATAAAAATATATTTTTCATTTTGTGTAATAATTATCGAAACACACTTTTATATTCGAAATGTTGAGCTTTTGGCTAATGTAATTTTTGAGTGTAATAGTGCTATGGCAAACCTGATTTTGTATCTCTTTGGCAGATATTCCTGAGGTAGAAAGAGCTCTTATCAATTTTGACCCCAAGGATTGTCGTTGGCTCTTAAATTACTGTCAGTTTAGAATCCTATTTCAGTATTTGTGAACCGGTACTATGGCAACTTTAGCTAAAGGTATTATTAATTATCATATTTTATTAAAGAAATTAACAAAAAAAAAAATAATCCCAAACACCTCTCAATTATCTCTTTTAAATTCTTTAATGACTCCTAATATTAATTTAAAATAATATTCATATATAATTTTTTTTCAGTAAGTAAATAAATTTAGTTTCAAGTACATACCAATTTTAAATTGTTTTGAATAATTAATAACTGGTAAAAATAACCTGAGTAATAATAAATATATAATAATAAACAGTTATTAATTTAAAATTAACTATAAATAAAATGAAAACCATTAAACAATTGTTGATATTTTTTAATCTTAATTTAAAATTATTTTTCACTAAATACTGTACTCACTCTCGAGAACCTTTGTTTGAGAAATAGATAGAAACCTTGCATTTTTTTCAATCCTGAAATCTTATGATTAGAAGTAAATATTATTTTGATTATAAATACAAAAGAGGAAATTTCTCACAGTAAGAAGTCACCTAGGAATAACTTTGAATTTCATTAATTATTGTACAAAATTTCTTTAAAAAATTTTATTTTCTCTAAATTATACAACTTTGATACAAATTAATTAGTTTTAATAATACTTCTAAAATATTATTGTGGTCCAAATTTATTTAAATGGTGTTCCTAAAATATTTATTTTGACAGTGAAAAAATTGATTGATAAATAACTACTTATCAATTATACAATATTAATGGAAATTAATAGGTTTCTATTCATTTATTTTTTAATAATATATTTACAAATACAAATGAGGAAATTTCTCACATTAAAAACTCACATAGGAATAACTTTAAATTCATTAATTATTGTACAAAATTTCTTAAAATAATTTAATTTTGTCTAAATTATACAACTTTGATACAAATTAATTAGTTTTAATAATATTTCTAAAATATTATTGTGGTACAAATTTGTTTAAATGGTGTTCCTAAAATATTGATTTTGACATTGAAAAAAATTTATTGATAAATAACTATTTACTTACTTATTTTTTAATAATATTTTGAAAGCTTTCTTTTATCAATATTTAATTGATAACTATTTATTTATCAATAATACAATGATTGACTCTTTAATTATTTTTTATACTTTTATGGAATTGTATACATGAAATTTATTATGAATGGATAGTTTTTTAAAATTATAAAATTTAAATAATTCTGCATGTTATCTGTAGATTAATACTATAAGAAATAAAGTTTGTGGATTAAATATTTAAGAAAGTTTTGATGAGATGGTAATTGTATAAAAATAATATATATATATATATATAATTTTACTTTTATAAATTTAAAATAGGAAATATAGAAGGAATCATTCATTTAACCAAAATCTGGTTTCTAAAAAAAAATATTTTCAGATTTGGTAAGATACTAAATTATTGGTATTTTGTGACTAATCATAAATTATAACTATATTTGGTGACAATAATTAAAACTGTATTTTCAACATCGAATGTTATTCACATATATTTATAGAAAACTCCAAGATGCTTTAATTATACTTATTCAAAAATATTAAATGTATCCTGTTTATTAATATTTAATAACTAATAAACATAAACTTTAAGGAGTAATTATTTATACAAAAATATCATTAATTCTTTCTTATTTCATTCATATATTTTCTGAATAAAATAGCAAATCCTTTTTTTTCTTGAAACTTTTTCTTAAAAGTTGAGCCATACTTTGTTTTTTCTCCTTTGGACTTTCTTCTGCTAAAAGCAAGAGAAACCAACTAAGCTGATAGCTATGGAAATTTGATGCCCATGAAGAAAGAAAATTTATTATGATTGGTTTGTTCAAAAACAGATAACGTAGTTGTAGAAAATGTAGAACAATACTTATTAAAATTACTGTTTGTTTCATTAGGTATTTAGTAAAAAATTAAATAATTATCAATTATTTTAAAATAAAGTTTAGGTTATAAATTTTATGTAGCACCAGTGGTTTTCATTCCCCCCCAAGGTCGTTGGCGCAACAACCTATTCCCCCCTCAAAGATATTTTATTGCTCACCTTTTCTGAAAAACAGAGGAAGGGAAATTAGAATTAGAAAAATTATATATCATAACACTTGCCGCTGCTTGTACCATATTTTCTCATTTCCCCTTATTCTGAAAATTTTTATTCCGAAAATTTAAGCCCCCATCGAAATGTGCCCCCCTCAAAAATTCAAAAACCCATCAAAATATGCCCCCTGAAAACTGTTGATGCCACAACTTGCGCCATAAAACCCCCTTCTGGACATTTCTGCTTACCACATCATGAGGATTAAAATTCCTTAATTTAATCTTGACACAACTAAACAACTGAAACCTTATTTTATTATAGAGTGCAATGACCTGTGAAATGAGTACATTTTTTGTTTATGTAATCTTTAATAGCTGAATTAATAATTTACTAGGAACTCTTGCTTGGAAAAATTAAAACTCTCAGCTCTGAATTATAATTAAAACTCTAATATAATTATCAAATTATACTTTTAAATTTAAAGTAATCTTTAGAAGTTATTTCATGCATTACATTAACCTTCAACAAAAAACAAAAACAACATTTAAAACATTCCTTAAGTATGTTATTGACTGTAAGCAAATACAAACAAGTAACATTTATGTGCAATAAATATATTTGATAGAATGACAATGTAGCCAGTACAAATGACCTGTGAAATGATTATATTTAATCTTTTGATAGCATAATTAGCAATGTAGTAATCTATCTTTCTTGGAGGAATTCAAGTTGTAAGTCATTAAAACTATTATATTAATCAAATTTTACTTTAATTATTACAATAATTTTTAAAATTTATTTCGTATATTTTATTATTGATCAGAAAAAAAAATCTTAAAACAGTGAGTAACCATAAAACAATTGCTACTAAAAAAAACAATAGTTAAAAAACATTGACTGATAATTTTAGTTTTACTTGCGTATGTATGAAATATACATTAAAGGAAAGTATTGCGATCCTGAAAATTTTCGAATCCGAGTTTTTAATAGAAATACACGTTTTGAGGTCCCTTAAGTCCAAATAAAGTCCTGAAAAATGATCTATGTGTCTGTAAACTCTCTAGCTCAAAAACGAAAAGTTGTAGGAAATTGAAATTATGTACTTAAGGTTTGTATATGGCTGGGATGTTACAGCAACTTTTTCGTCAAAATTGGCTTACCGGAAGTGGCACTTCATATCAACGATCTAACACATTTTTACGATTTTCTCGAAAACGGCTGTAATGATTTTGATTAAACTCGGTATATCAGTGTATTATTAAGTGGTCTTTAATATCAGCTAGGTATTATCCACATTGATGTCACCTTACAGGGCTTAAATACCTGTTCAATATATCTTCCTCTAAAATATCTTTAATTTGATTTATTTAAAAAAATTAACTGTCTCTAATTACTATGAGTTACGAAAAAAATAAATAAATATAACCTTTGAAAGAATTTGGTAATTGATTATTGGGGAAAAAAAAAAAATTCTTATCGAAATCGAAAATGAATCTCCAGAAATAATACTCAGAAGGTATACTTATAATATATCGTTGGAATGACGAGAATTTTAGAAAAATAATATCAAATAGATAAAGTTATAGAAGGTAACGGAGAGTGACGAAAAAAATATAAATAATAATTTCTGAAAACTAACATTATTTGACGTAAATCACATGTTTCCAAGGAAATTAAATGAAATTTTCTTGCTAAATGTAAACTTTTATTTTTTTTTTAAAGTCCGAAAAAAGTATTTAAAATCCACTGAATCAAGACAATCACATTGTTTAAAATACTATTTCATTGTACTTGCGTGAAAGAAGAAGTAAAATATAAAAATATTTCATGCATATGTTTATAACCTCAAATATATTTACTATAGAGTATTAACTCTACATAAGATATTATATTTAAATAATTAGGTATCTATCGTCCGTTTATTCTGAAAAATCATCATGTAACCTTTTAGAATATTAAATTTGTGAATAATCTGATGAATTTTCCCTTTATTAAATCCTAACGTTAAACACTTACAATTAGTGTGACAACTTTTGACCTATCCATGGCAAGAAATGAAAATCTCGTAATTTCACTTTAATAAACTTTACAATGGAAAATAACAGTTTAATAACTAATAGTCCTACAATTCATAATCATTTATTGTTTTTTTTAAAATTATTATTGAAAATTACAACTGTATAAACGATAAATACAACAAGTCAATATGAACAAGTAACATGACATGTACAACATGAAGAGAAACTACCCATTGGTAGCACTCCAATTATATTTCAATATTAGAAGGTCCCGAGGCCATTTTCTTTTCAGACGCTTCGGAGGGTATTTGGATTGATCTAAATCGGAAACATGTGCGACATTAAGGTCGTTATGGATGATTTTATTTGTGATAAGTAAGGAGCATTGAGGATTTTACGAAGGATTTTGGATTGTATACTAGAGAAATTTGATGGTTTAGTAGAATCCCAAAAGCTCGAAAGTTGGAGAGCCTCCCTCTACGTAACTGTTAATTATATATATATATAGCTCGTACCTTTATTGTTGTCATTACCACCGCGTACATTAACTCGCTAACTGTTCAAATTATTTCATTTATTATAATTCACGTTTGACTACGGTTTTTAGAAAGTCAGTTGGAAAAAAAACAAAAATTATAATACTAGTTACACAGCTGTTTCGGTCGAATAAAATACGTCAAAATGTCATTACCAAGTTGAAAACTCGTTTCATTCCCACAACCAAATTATTAGCTTCATTTACTTTAATTACTGAGCAACAGCACAATTGATCTTGGTCATTTGCTCAGACAAAGCTGAGCGGCAATAGAAGGTATTTAGGAAATTGTATTTAAATGCCATCAAAATTATTAAAATTTTATCATGATAATCGCCCATAATCTGAGAATCACTCATTTGAGCCCTTCATGTTTCTAATAGGAAAATATATACCTTTATTCACAGTTTTCCAACTAAAATTATCACTAAGAATATATTTCTCAAAAATGTTGAAATTGGAGTTAGTCATTCTGTCAACTGAAAGGCATATGGAGCTTAGAGACTGAAGTTATGTGGTTTACAAAAACAGGTGGAGTAACGAGATTTTCATTGCCTATATAATAAATAGAGTTTTTATTATTTTAATGGTCTAAATGATTTGTTAGCTGTAGGCTTTAAGCTTTAGCTACGTTTAAAATTCACTTCAAAAATTTTATAATAGTCCAATATTGCCAGAAAATAATTATTCTATTCAAAGTGGAGTAGTAACTGAACGTTGTGTGTTGCGAGCACCAGATTTTTTTCACTTTCACTTACTTATATATGTTATATGTTAAGGGTAAGTATTGCGATCATGAAAATTTTGTATAGAACATCTTTCTCACTGTGATGGATAGTTTTCCTGATATAAGCTTCAGGGCTCCAGGGACCATCTAGGCGCCCCCTCCCCCCCCCCACATCTGGCTCTCCATCGTAGGAATGGGGACTTGTTTAATGTTTATCTCCTCACTAGTCCAAACAATATCCCAAAGTCAAAAATTGTGTCTCTTCCCATTTCCTTCTATACCTCCTTTTCGAGCACTCGTTATTGACTTGTCTATTTGTTAGGAAGTACTGTTTCAAAGCCAGCAGCTGTGCAAGCAATTGATCGGGCCAGGATCACACTCCATAACATGGTATTCCCCCTTAATCAATTATTTAATTGAGAATACTCACTTTATAGATCCTGACCCAAGGGTCGATCCACAGCTGGTGAAAAATTAATTTACATCAGCTGGATTCGGAGACCTTCAGCTTTGCAGCCCTGTGCCTAACTCACTGAACTACTCTACTCCATTGCATTTTTCATATTAAAATTTGTATTTGTTAGTCTAATATTTAAAATTTAAATTGTTCATTAAACAATTTAATTTATTTCTAAATAAGAATGAATCCTGATAAATGAGAAAATAATAATATGAGCTGTCACTTATAAACATCCTAGTAACTCTAACCAGGTTTTTTTTTAACTGCTGATAAGCATTTCTCTAAATGGAATGAAAAACAACTCATTTTCTTTTGATAAAATATTTTGTTAAGGTATTTCCTTATTATAACTTTGTTTTCTTCAGAATTTTTATGTTTGTAAATCTCACCTTTGTTCTTTCACGGTTATATTAGAATACAATTGATTCATGTGAGAAAGTAAAAAACAATCCTTTTTTTATTATATAAGACTCATTCATGAATATCTATACAAAAATATATGGTTTATTTATACAATAACAATATATTTATTAATATTAAGTGTTCATAATTTTAGAAAACAAAAAAAAAATATTTATAGATAAAAATACAATTTATAAAATAAGAATTTTTTAAAATCTCTTTTATTAATATTTTATTTTTATTTTTATTATCATCACAGCAATGTTTTTTTTTCTTTTCTATTGTTCATTTTTGCAAACTTTCAAAGACTAAATTTATTTACTTCTTATCATCTTACAACATATTTAAATATCATATTATCATACATAAAAAGAACTTATAAATATATTTGATACAAGCAATTATTTACATGACAAGCAAGTGTGCAACAGGTTTTGATTTTCAATAACTATAGTTTTTCAAACCATTATGTATTTTATGTATTTATTTAGTCAAGCCCACAATTTCAATCATGTCCAATCTTATTAATTATTAATAAAATGATTGTTAAATTTATTAATAAAACCTACTTCGTACCTGTTACTGTCTTAATGGGTAAGTATGTACAAGGTTTTTATGAGACTCATTATTCAAGAAGTAATGAATGGATGTGTGGTAGATTCAAAATAGTAATTTCCAGAGACTTATTTTACTGATATGATCAGAAATTGTTAAAATTCGGCTGAAATTCACATTTTACCACCTTCAATGAAAGTCATGGGAATGCGGAATATAATTGAATAAGTGTATTGAAAACAAAAAAATACTATTCCAATGTACTATTCCACTGTTTTCCTGATTAAACATTATAGACGGCCAATATAGATTATTGGGGGTTAATCCTCAGGAGCAGCCCAGCCGGAGAGGTACACATCCAAATTTTAAGGGAAAGCATATTTTTTCGAAATTAAGGAATTCTGAGGGAAATAAATAATTACAGGATTTTGAATTTTTGAAGGAATCAAATTCTGGTTCTTTTTTAATTTATGAGAATTTAAAAAAAAAGGAACAATGAGAAAACTAAACTACAACTTTTATAATTTTACTTTCATTCGTGGCATTTTTAAGAAGAGGAGAACAATACATTTTCTTCAAAGGGAGGATGCACATCATCTTAGGAGGCATGAGTACCTATCCATGTGATAACCTATTAATACAACTTTAATGAAGTTATCAGAGATTGTTGGTTGATACCTACTACATGATCTGATATCAAATCCCATCCTCTACTTCCTCTTATGTATATGCAAATGTACTATGATAATCCGATGTATCTAAAAGGCTTGTTCAATTAAGCTTAAAGTTGGAGGGAAGTAAATCAATAGGGCTTAATGAAAAAAAAAAATTATTGGTATCTATTATAGAAAATTCTATTCCCACATTTGCTTCTAAACGACTAAATTTTAAAAACGGCTCATTTGATTGGGTCTAAAACTAGAGAAAATTTGGAGAATAATACCATTTGTAAAATGGACTGTTATCAATAACATAAATTTTCATTCAACAATTAAAAGTAATGTAATTGTTTAAATATACTTGTGAAATGATGTAGGCAGTAAACTTATGACAATAAAATATTAAGAACTCGATGCATATTGTCTTATATATCCAATAAAATGAGGTGCTAGCTATATTGACTTACTTGACTGAGGATATTTTTTGTGTGTGTTTGCTTTTTGTACCTTTGTAAATGTTTAGGCTTTATGAATGTATTATAATTATTTTAATATAAAAAACATTAATTTTTTTGTCCATTATAAATCCTATAACTTTTTTTTTTTAGGTGTATTTGTGGTAGCAGCGAAGCGTACTCCCTTCGGTACGTACGGTGGTGCCTTTGTGAAGACAGGTGCCTTAGAACTGCAGGAAGTCGCCGCCAAAGCAGCATTAGCAGCAGGAAACGTAGCTCCAGAGAAAGTCGATCATGTTATCATTGGACATGTTATGGCAGTGCGTACCTCTGATTTATTATATCCATACTCATTTATAATTTTTAAAGATTTTATTATTATGGTGCCAAATTTGTATTGTTTGAAACAGAAAGAAAAAATCTTATTTTTATACATAAACCATATTGATTCTTTATTTGACTATCTTTTTTTTTTGTCATTACTAGTCTTATTTATTTTTTTCTAAACTTCATGTACGGCAATATCAAGCCCTTAAATAGACTGATATAGATTTTTGGCTTTGTTCCCAAATGTGGGTCAATTGACCTTCCAAAAATATATGGCCTTCTATACATAATTATACACATTTATATATACATACATACACATATTAATGCATTATAATGTATGTCTATAATATAACATAATAATGTATTATGTGAAACTTAATGATAAAACCAAAGAGCACTAAAATAATGTTTACTGTTTATTACTAACTAATTAATAAATTGTTAACCTTTTTAAAAGCAAAAATACTATAAAGAGATCAGGTTGTGTATAAGATGAATATATTGTACCGCATCCATAATCATCACTTCCTTTCTAAACAACTCAACTCAAAATACAAAGTTTTAGTTGTACAAAATAAAGATTTTAAATGCCCAACTCCTGACTCACTTTTGTCAGTTCAAGCCACTCTCTGAATGGTTATAGATTTTTTTTCAAGCAACTCTCTCGGATCCGTAATGAGTTATTTTCTTTGTGTATTACAAACAGTAGCTTACTGAAAAGGAATCGTATTCCATCAAATTTGAGTTGCACTTGTTTTGATAAAAATTTAAGTAATAAAACTGCGTTGTCGCCTTTAACTATGACACTTTTTAAAATTGCATTAGGTCAATCCAAGCGGGGATATCTAGTCCAAAACACATGTTTGGGACAATTTTCTAAATTTAATAGGATCTTTCTTCATAATTAGTTTTTATCAAATTATTGAAATACTAAGAACCAACCTATTTTCTATCAATTTTTCGCGAATTTGTTCTTTATGTTTTCTTCTATTTTGTTTTAAATATTTTCCAAGCTAGAAAAGGAGCAGCTGCGAATCTTCCTCCCTTTAGATCTTCCCATACGTCAATTTATAGTTTAAGCTATTATTTACATGTATTTTTTAATGCCTTTATGATAATAAATGATAAAATGCTTAGCGAATCTGAGGGTTCTATACCAATACCATCAATTTCTGTCTATATACTTTCACCCACAGTCCATAATCCACATCCAATCCCACTAGATCAGCCTTAATGCAATCCTCCCACCTTCCTTTTCGTCTGCTCGGCCACTTATCAGTTGGTGCAGCACCTGAAAATTTTTTAGGGATGCTTTCGTTACTAATCACATTAATTTTACATGCCCATTTTATTCACTACAATGTAATCACATCAATCATGTTTACCGAGTACAGTCCTTTCAAACTGGTATTGTGTAACCATATGAATTCTCGGGATGACTCATCCTGCAAACACCACACTTAATCAACAAATACCTCATATAGTCATGGATCCACTTAAGGTAAAAGGCTTATTATCTGGATTTAAACAAGTCAGCCAATTGGGTCTCCTTGAGGGGATTGCTTTAAGGGTATCATGGCACAAGTTAAAAATTGAATTTAGTTTCTATTGAATGTCTTTAATACCTAGAATATAATGCTACAAGAAATATCTCCATTTCCAATGTTTCCAAATTCCAATATTTCTTCATTATTTTAATCATCAAATTACACCAATGAAAAAATGTCTTAAATTCGAGTGCCTACTTTTCAATGTAATACTTTATTATTTTATTTTTGTTTCACCCACCAAAAGTAATTCTTATTAATGTAATTATAAATGTTAATTTATTTAACTAGGTTCAATCAAATTTTACAGAGTAAATACTCTTCAATTATATATTATAACAACTCACTCTTTTTCGTAACAATTGCTTTTTGCTTCAAACATTGCTCAAAGATATATTCATGATCATGGCAAATTGAGAAACAATATTTTTTCTTTTACAATGATCCAAATAAAATTCTAAAAATTAATATGGAGATTTTATTTCTATTCTATTCTCATGTTATTAGTACACTTATTGCTTATCTTTTCCCCTCTTCTATAGAATACATCATCTGATGGGATCTTTCTACCAAGACATGTCCTCTTGAGGAGTGGTATTCCTCTTGATAAGCCTGCTTTGGGTGTAAACAGACTTTGCGGTTCTGGATTTCAGTCAATTGTGAATGGAACTCAAGTAAGCAATATTTTTAATTGTTGTTGTATAACCATTATTTTTAAACCTGCGCAGGAACATATCATTTGTGTGGAAGAATTAAATTTCTATTATCCGAAGCAAATGATATTATTTATTTCTCTTGTATTACAGGTTTTTAATATGTCGTACAGGTCATAATATTTCATGTATATTATCATACATTACCATTATATACATCACTTATATATTTTAATTTATCGTATATAAAGTGATTTTATTTACAGCTCATAATTTATTTACTTTTTTTTAAATTATTTACAAATTCATATTTGATTTATCATTAACATTTATATTCATCACTTTTTTTAGAGTATACTTATTGGGGAGTCTGAAATTGTCTTGACTGGAGGAGTGGACAATATGAGCCAATCTCCTTATGCCGTTCGTAACGTTCGGTTCGGTGGTCCTCCATTGGGATCGAGAATAAACTTTGAAGACACCCTGTGGGAAGGTTTGACTGATACCTATTGTAAATTTGCCATGGGTCAAACTGCTGAAAACTTAGCTGGAAAGTACCAAATTCAACGAGATGATGTTGATGCATTTGGTTTTCGTTCCCAGCAACTCTGGAAGAAAGGTAAATATCTTATCGATCATGTTTTTCATTCAAATTTTTTAAATTTATTTCTTTTGATATACTTTTTAATCAAAACACAAAAGTCCAAGCAGGGGTGCCCAGAAGGGTGTTTTACGGTGCAAGTTGCGCCATCAAAATTTTTGAGAGGGCCATATTTTGGTAGGGTTTTGAATTTTTGAGGGAAGCACATTCCGTTGGATTATGAATTTTCATAATGAAAAAATTCCATAGTAAGGGACAAGAAGAAAACTTGGAACAGACCGCAGCAAGTATACTTGTATATGATCAATGATTTTTTAAAATCTATCTTCGCGTGTTCTGTTTTTAAGAAATGATGAGCAATAAAATATTTTATTGAAGGAAGCTAGTCGACTTCTACATATCATGGGTGATAAATATTCAGGACGCAGTCTTTTAAAAATTTTTTTAAATTTTTTATTTTGTACCAATGTTTCAACCCAAACATGTGGATATTCAGTGCTCGAACGATGCCCTGAAGATGACCCATATGTTTGGATTGAAACGTTGGCACAAATTAAAAATTTTTTTTAAAAGACTGCGTCCTGAATATTTATCACCCATAATAAAATATTTTGGAAGGGGGGAAATAGGTTCATGCGTCATCGATCTTGGAGGAGGATGGGCATCCCTGAGTCCAAGTGAAACTTTTTCACCGAGACTTCTAGGCCAATTGTTTTGAGGTTTAACATATTTTATGAAGTAATATTATGATTTTATTATAATGTCAGTTTATTTCAAAAATTCACCAGTCAAATTGTTGATAGAGATCAACTTTTAAGAAAGTTTTTGTGAATTTTGATCAAATATTTATCATTAAAAAAACACAAAAAACGCACTAAAATGTAGTTTTGATTTCACATAGAGAAAATTTATCAAATTTCTTTGTTATTCAATGTTATAATATATTACTTAATGACTTTTTACAATAATGTAATATAATCAAACTAAATAATATAGGTTTCTTTACTTTAATAATTTAATAATTTTCTTATTTGATTTTAAAATCTGTTGAGAAATATTTCCTTGCCGTTAGCTCATGATGAAGGAAGGTTTAAAGAAGAACTTGCACCAGTCACTGTTACCGTCAGGAGGAAACAGGTTCAAGTGGAATTTGACGAACATCCCAGGCCGCAGACAACTCTTGAAGGATTAAAAAAACTGCAACCTGTCTTCAAAAAAGATGGTGTTGTCACAGCTGGAACATCCTCTGTAAGTAATGTCAATATATTTTCTTCTCGCTTAGCATAACAAGAATGACAACTATATTAGGTCTCAAATAATGCTTTATATTTATCTTGATTTCAAATATACTGCTTATCCATAGAATATGACTATCTGTCTCCAATGATGAAGCATTCCTTGTTCCTCACCTATTAGATTTTTTTAAAGTAATATTTATTTATTTTTTAATAAAATATATAAATTAATTTTTGTGATTTTCACATTTTATCAGGTTACTGTTTTGTTTATATATATATATATTAGTTTATATAACAAAGGGATACTACAAGTGTTGTTTAAAACAGTTAATTAATTAATAATTGATAAACAGAACCTTTATAAAGATTTTTTGACCTCACACCGGTTTCTGTAAACCCTATCATTCATACAATAAGAAATCTCTAAAATAGTACACTCACAGACGCACTAAACTAATACTTTTAAACTAAGAATAATACTATTTATTTACTATAATTGAACCACTTATCGTATTAAAGACAAATAAATGGTAGCAAACTTTTCCTCACCAATTAGTAAATTATTTATTAAATGGAAAGATATTTATTCTTTTGTTGATAGATTACATTATGCTCGATTTACTTGAGAGTCTGTAATTTATTTTCTTTATATATTTAATTTCTTTATATCTTTTATATCTTATGTAGGTTTTTCCTACGGTATAAAATTAGGTCACCAAATAAGTAATCACACAATCGGAAAATATAAAAATCAAAAAGAAATTCTTATTAACAACAAAAAAACTTTGATTAAATTATGTCATATTACATATGATTTTTGTATCTTTTACCAATTAAGTCTAAAGTTTCATTTTTACTTTCACTTATCTATATATGAAATATATAGTAAGGGTAAGTAATGCGATCATGAAAATTCCTATCCATGGCAGGCAATGAAAATCTCGTAATTTCATTTTAGTAAACTTTACAATGGAAAATAACAGTTTAATAACTAATAGTCCTACAATTCATAATCATTTATAGGTTAAATATTCAGATGTACTTTCAAATCTTTCTAGGCATATATGAGCCTTTCAGATGACGAAATGACTAACTCCAAATTTTAACATTCTTTATTATTAATTTTAGTGATGTTTCTAGTTGCGAAATTTAGACCTTTATTCACAGTTCTATATTTTAACACTGCAATCACCTACTATGGAACCAACTTACTAACTCTCTGTATAGATATAACTTTTCCAACTATAAATATCACTAAAATGACATTACTCAAAAATATTGAAATCGGAGTTAGTAATTCTGTCAGCTGAAAGGCTCAGAGACTGAAGTTATGTGATTTATAAAACTAGATTTTTATTGCCTATCGTTGATATAATAAATAGACTTTTTGTAATTTTCATGGTCTTAATGATTTGTTATCTGTAAGCTTTAAGCTTTACCTACATTTGAAATGCACTTCAAAATTGTATAATAACCCAACATTGCCAAAAAATAATTTCTATTCAAAGGAGAGGGGTATGTGAAAGTTGTGTGTTGCCTCGCACCAGATTTTTTTTTAAAATTGTTTGTTATAAAAAAAAAAAATGAAGATTTTTTTACTAAATGAAAAATTGACATTTTTCAAAATATCAGAACAAAAATGAAATTTTGTACCTTAATTGGTAAATAGCATAAAAATGATATGTTTGAACATTATAGATAAATTAAATGTGACTTAATTTAATAAAATTTGTGTTATTACTAAAAAATTTAATTGCTTTATATCTTTTTGGGAGAAAAAAATAAGTCCTGTTTATTAATTATATTATTATAATTTTTATATTATTACTTTTAAAATAAAAATTATATTTTCTAACTTAATATACATATACAGACTTCAGACAGAAGCATTCCTGAAATGGGGTGGGCATTCTCCTTCCTCCCAAGCTCGATGGTGAATACAAAACTACTTTATATTATTAGGATAGGATAAAGGTACAAATTCAAAATTATAGGTATAAAAAATACAAAATAAGTTGATTTATTCTTATATTCAGAGTATCATTACTGTTATATTATAACCTATTTTGTTTAGGGTATTTGCGATGGAGCTGGAGCAGTTATATTGGCCAGCGAGAAAGCAGTTAAAGAAAATAACTTGAAACCTCTAGCCAGGATTGTCGCAAGCGCTGTAGTCGGTGTTGATCCCAGCATCATGGGTATCGGCCCAGCTCCTGCTATAACGAAACGTGTTGAAAGCTGCTGGCAAGAGCTTGAACGACATCGAGATCATTGAGGTAAGGATCTGATATTATTTTTACTTTACATATTAATGTCTATATTCTATTCATTGATTAATTTATTTAAAAGTTTAAAAATTCTGTCGCCATTTTTATTGGAGATATAATTAACTATCTCTCAAGGTCGGCATTCTATCGTTTGGAAATAAAATCTTCAGAAGAAGCTGTTTTTTAAGTATTGTCTTGTCAAGAAAGAATGCACACCTAAGAAAAAGAAGTAGATCGTGAGTAGTGACCGACCTGGAAAAATGGGAAAAGTCAGAGAATTTTCAAGACAAGAAGAAGCAGTATGAAGAAAAATTAGCAGACAAGAAAAATTGATGAAGCCAGGGAATTTTGTTAGTACGAAAATATTTTTTCAATTGGAAATAAATATACAGTCAATATCATTTATAATAACCTTGAAGGGATAAAGTTTGTCGTTATAAACGACCACAGTCGCTATATTTATCCACCTTTGACTGTCAATAACGCCACTGGTCGTTTTATTGAAATCAAACTATGGTAATGAATAAAATTTAAGCAAAATGAACTTAAAACAGCGCTTCTTAAAAAGAAAAACATACCAGTACTATTTAATATTTGTAATATATACATCTTGGTTAAGATCTGGCTGGCAAGCACTCATTCGTTAGACCCTTGGTGCTCCTAAAAGAGCATTTCTTAACTGGAAATGTCAAAGTTGGTATCATATGGATAATTATTAGACTGTTTATAGTAATAATGAAACTAAATTACTTACGAGAAACTACATTAATATTAAAATCCCCCATAGCTCACTTTATTTTATAATAGAATAAATCAGAGCTTTTTATGTCAAGCATCAACTTTTATCTCATTTGAGTTTATAAAAATAAAATAAAAGTGATAAAAATAAATTACTAAAAGTTTAATTTTCTAAAATAAAAGATTATAATCAAGTTTAAAAGATGTTTCCTCTAAAACATTATATTCGTTTTTTTTTTTTTTTACTCAAATCATTTTGTAATCAATTTTCTTTTATGTATATTATTATTATACATGAATTTATTTATATAAATGTAGTTATAAATTAGATGATTTTAATATTTGTGCCCCCAGACATATTGGTCAGGGAAAACTATCCTTAAATAGGGAAATATCAGGGAATTTTACTTTAACTGTTTGCTAGCTATCCTGTAGATGAAATTCAATAAAATCGACATATGACCATCTAGTTGGCAACACTCACGATTCCTGAAAATTTCATCGAATCAAATTACCAGTAATAGATGTTCTGCCCATCCCCTAATAAACCTAGTATGAATAAAACATTATTTTCCATATATTCTCTGCCTTCCAAATTTCGCAGCTATTACACTCTTTATAATTATTTATAATTATTTATATTTGTGTTAATTGTTAAATGGAACTTGATGAAATTGATACTAGATCAATTGTACTCTATTCCCTAAATCCTCTCCAACTTTAGACCGAATGGAACATGCTATTTTTGAAAGTAATGGATGGCATTTGATAAATGATAAATATTGGCATGGGACCATCTAAGTACCAATGCGAACAATCTTTGAACATTTCATGAAAATTGGATTTTACAGTTTAAGTGATACCTGACATGGATTTGACTAAAAAACAGACAAAGAACTAAAGTTGTTCCTTGATCTCTAAAATGTAAAACACGAATGAAAATGCTTGATTCTGAGCACAAAAACACATTGTACCCATTATGCAAAATGGTTATTAATAAAAATCAGTTTATAAAACTTTAGTCGAGGGCCAAACTTTTTTTTAAACTTTATATCATGATAAAATAAAATAGCTTATATCTATTCACTGCAAACTAGTGTGTAATGTAATCCTCTTTGTCTTTTATTGCCTAGTGTTTTAGTTATAGTGTTCTAGAAACTAGAAGAATACTAAATTTTATGTATATACACATATGGATCATATCATATGCTCGAAAAATAAATTCAGGGAAATCCATAAAAATATTTCAGTACACACTCTGTATATAGCTGAAGAAGTAATGTTTGTTAATCTTAGTAGAATACTGTTTCTTGATATAAAGTTATTTATTCATTTCCAGATCAATGAAGCCTTTGGAGCTCAAACATTGGCATGTGCAAAGGAGCTCAAGCTTGACATGAACAAGCTGAACCCCGACGGAGGTGCCATCGCACTAGGCCATCCTCTTGGAGCATCAGGTGCAAGAATTACTGCTCATTTGGTTCATGAACTGAGGTAACAAAAACATGTTATATTTCTCCCCTTCTTATATTGTAAGAATAATGATTTATAATTATTTTCATTTACTTAAAGGTTTATTTAGAATAAAAATTTTATCTCTGGAACTAGAAGAATATGATTTATATTACAAAATATTACCTGCTTGTAATCAAATAGCATTTGACCAAATATTTAGTCTGAGAACCATATTGGAGAGAGGAAATGAATTTAAGTAAAAGACACACCATCTTCATCGATTTTAAGACATATACGATAGTATTAATCCTAATGAGCTCTGCCTAGCGATGGAGGAATCTCATATTACCTCAGAAACTTACGTATGGTGAGGCTGGCCATGAAGGAGGTGTTGTGTTCAGTGCAAGTGGATGGAGATCTATTCGAGGAATGCCGAGCGACAAAGAGCCTATAACAGGGTGATGCCCTCTCATGCCTCTTATTTAATATTGTCCTAGAGAAGCTTGTGAAAGAATGAGATATACAGATTAGACAGACAATATTCAGTCGGAGAACGCAACTACTGGCTTATGCGGATGATTTCGACATCATTGGGATCTCTCAACAGGCTGTCAGGAAAGCGCATGTAGGTCTTGTAAGGAAACTTTGGCTCAAGGTGAATCAATAGAAAACCAAATACACGGTGACTGAAGAGATGCCTGAAGGCAATGTGATGGTGACATTCAGGAACTACCGATTTGAGCAAGTCACCAAATTTATTTATCTAGGCTCTATGATAACACAAGACAACAGCGCACAAATGTAAATTAGAAGGAAGATAATTTCTGCTATTAGTGCTACTACATCCTGAGAAAACAACTTGGCGGCCACATTCTCTCCCACCAAACTAAATTACATCTTTACAAAACGATAATCCGTCCAATGCTAATATACTGCTCAGAAACGTGGACTGTGACCAAACGTAATGAATAGATCCTCCTTCTGTTAGTGCAGAAAATCCTTCGGAGAATATTTGAAGGAGTGTTGGTGGATAGAACCTGAAGGAGGCACATAAACCAGAAGGTTTATGGTCTATTTAAAGAGCCAAATGTTGTTCAGATGGTTAAAGTGTGCGGAGCATTTATTGAGCATGTGTGAAGAAGAGTTGGCGAAGAAACTTTTGATGGAGCCTCTAAAAAGAATGAGAAGACTGAAGCATAGTTGGGTAGCTGAAGCTACTGCTGACGTTCGGAAAATCTTTGGATTGCGTAACTGCCACCATCCAGTTACGCATGAAATCTTGACGATTGGGGGAAGCTGCTGGCTGAGGCCCAGACCCGGGAAAGGGTATTTTTGCCGCGATAATAATAATAATCAAATACAATTGGCATTTATACTGTATTGTAAAATGAACGAATTAATCAACAGTTGATTAACCACTGCTTGTTTTTACTCTTTTTAAGTGGGAATGTTAAGAGTTACTTCACAGGCCCATCACAAAAGAAATATAGTTAAACTTCTATAAATCGAAATCTTAATATTGCACTTTTTATTAGATCAAATGAAATTTCTATATATCAAACAATTAGTCACATTTAAAATAATGTAAATGTTTCCAAGAAGAACTGTTTACATTCTTAAGGATAGGAAATAATTATATTCATTAAAGGATACAAGCTTCACTGTTTCCTGAAGCAACAGGAATATGGAAAAGACCTTGTTCGGTTTAACATTTTCTTTGTTTTAAATATAGTTCCTAAATAAAAATCATTAAAGTTTGTAGTGATATTTTCTACTTTCGGGGACATATTTTAAAATAAAATTATAAGACAGTGTTTGGCAATAAGTCTGTTTATTTATCAATACACTAAATTCCATGTTGTTTAAATGTTCATAATTGATTTATGCAGAGTTTTAATTTAAAATTCCTGATTGTAGGAGGAGGAAGGCCAAGTATGGCATTGGTTCAGCCTGCATTGGTGGCGGTCAAGGAATTGCGCTCCTGTTGGAAAGCTGTTAAAGAAGAGAAAGGATGAAAAAATTACTGATAATTTTTTATAGTAAATCAAACATTAATTGTAAATTTACCTGATTTTGTTATGGCAGAGATATATATTTTTGAAAAATTTTCTACTTTATAGTTTGTACATTTTATATATATAAAAAAATTAATATTTATATTGTTCATTAATATAAAGATTATTTTTGTTACATACAATTTTTTTTTATACAAGTTTTTTACCTGATATCGTGATTTAAGGAAATCTCCGATAGTTTTTCATATATCTTTTTTTTATTTTAATGAAATTTACAACTGTATTACATTAAAAATATAACAAGTAAATGTGACATTGGTAACATGACATGTACAACATGAAGAGAAACTACCCATTGGTAGAACTCAAATTAAAGTTCTATATTAAAGGTCCCGAGGCCATCTTCTTTTCAGACGCCTTGGAGGGTTATCAGGGATCGAGGAGGAAGCAAGGTTTGAAACGAGAGGGTTCGGATGGTTCTGGAATTTGTTATGGAAGGATAGGTCTGGGAAGTTAGGAAGGATGGATTGGGCCAAATCAGAAACATATGGAACATTAAGGTCTTTATGGATGATTTTATTTGTGACAAAGTAAAAAGCGTTGAGGATTTTATGAAGGATTTTGGACTGGATACGAGAGGTATTCGATGGTTTAATGGAGCCCCAAGCTCAATTCCATAAGTCCAAATAGGTCTTATTATTGTCATATATATATAAGTCGTTTGTAATTGATTGAAAGCTTAGAGCGTTTGTGTAGTAAGTGTTGGAGTAGTCGGAAACGTCGAGCAATTTCTTGTCGTTTCAGTCTTGTATGAGGATTCCATGTGAGTCGTTTGTCCAGGTGGAGTCCTAGGTAACGGATTTGTTCAACTGGGATAAGTGGGGAATTATTAAAGGATACTGTAGGACAGGAGGTCATAGGTTTGCGAAGCAGGGTAAAGGTAATTTGATGGGATTTATTGGAATTTATTTTAATTCTCCAGTTTTTACACCATTCTTCAAGGTTTGTGATATGTGATTGGAGAGTTTGGGATGCAATTGATGGATCATTATTAACAGATAGGATTCATGTGTCATCAGCATATGAGTTTTTTCATATAAATTAGGAAATTGACATTATCTAAAGTTGTTTTTTGCAACTTTAATATTTAGTTCTTTTCTTTAGTTAATCTTCAAATCTCAGTCATTGATCTGTATTTATAAGTGACAAAAAAGTTTCTAGTTCTAATATTAACGTTGTCATTAAAATTATTGAAGCAATCAGCATTTTTTTTTATTTTAAATTTAAATTTTATGACTAGAAATATTAAATTTGTCCCTTATAAATACAGTTCAACTCCTACAAAAGAGATCTGGATGAAACATAAAGTTTTGAACCAATTTGCTTGAAAAATCAGTATTTTCAAATTATTTTTTTTATAAATAAAATGTGTATTTAGGTAATTGGATTTATTATATTACATCCCAGATCATGAAAAAAAGTAATAAAAGTTTTGCAACGATTAATTGTAGTAATTTAGTATACTTTTAGTTGAAAGGATAAGAAATATCAACGAAGAGAAGGATGGTTGGGGGTGATCAGTCGAATTAGAATGGAAAAAAATAAATAATTTTATTAATTTTTATTTTGCCGATGTTTCAGCCCTAAGTTCAGGCCTTCATCAGGGCTGGGAAAAAGAACCAGATAACAAAAGGTATAATAACATTGAATAATACAGAATTAAGATTAAAAAAAGGTGAAAGTTATAGACCAATAATTTTAAGTAGAAAAACTTAATGTAAAATGAAGTAGATATAATGAACATTAAACTAAAACAAAGTAGACAGAATGATAACAGTAACAGAAAACTAAGAAATAAATAATAATAATGGTAACAAAGCACTGACCAATGAAATAAGCATAATTAAATATAAGGTAACACAAGAAATGAAAATGGTAATCTAGAATAAAGTGTAAAACTGAGAAAAGAAATATGAAGTTATATAAGGAAATAATAGATATAAACAGAATGATAGTTTAGACTTTTTTGCCTGTAAAAAGGTTTCCCTTGGTAGCCCGCCTTAGCAATTTTGTTTTTTATATGTCTAAAACCATATATACAAGTTAAAAAAATAAATACTTTTCTCAAATTTTTCGCAATGGATTTCCTGTTTCAGTCCTAAAATTACTTCCCTAATATTGTTTAAATCAGTTTCCATTTTTGGAAGCAGAGGCTCTGCAATGGCAGAGAAGGTACTTTTTACTCAGAATAACATACACTTTATGAGATCGATTTTTAAGCCCTGGCCCCAGGGCTAAGAGGGTCAGAGGAGAATCTTCCAGATGTGCTTTTAAAATAGCAAAGGTAAGTAAAGAAAGTCAGAGGGGGTAACATTTTGGTTTGTGGAATGCAAATCATTTGATAAATGAAATATTCAAGGTATTATGTGTACAATAGTTATGTTGTTTTTTATAGTTAAAAAATTACAATCATTACAAGCTAATAGTCATTTTTATTAAATGGATTAGCAGATAGTGTCAGTTAGCAACTCAATACAGTTGAGCAGCATTATGATTTTATTGTAGTTCTTTCTCCTAAATTTTATTTTCTAAGGGAATAATTAGACAATTTTTTTTTTTGCAATATTCGGTTTTTTTATGACATTACTTTCACTTACTCATATGTGATATATATAGTAAGGAAAGTATTGCTATCGTGAAAATTTTGGAATCTCGGTTTAAACGGAAATTCACGTTTTGAGTCCAAATAACTAAGTCCCGCAAAATGGTCTCTGTATGTGTGTGTGTTAACAGTCTAGCTCAAAAACGAAGAGTCTTTTGAAAGTGAAATTGCATATTTAAGGATTTTATATGCTAGGGATGTTACAGTGACTTGTTCGTCAAAATCGGTTGACTGTAAGTGGCACTTTATATCATCGATTTAACACATTTTTACAATTTCTTCGAAAACAGCTTTAACAACTTTGATTAACTTCATATCAGTGTAAAATTAAGCAGTTTTTAGTACAAAGTAGGGTTTATTCTCATTCATGTTCTCTAACAGGGCTTACATGGCTAATTTTCAATATTAGCTTCCTCTAAAGTACCTTTTATTTATTTTTTTATTTGAAGCAATTAACCATTTCATATTGATCTCTGACATAAAAAATAGTTAAATGTAAAATATGACAGAATTTGATAATTAGCTAAAGGAGAAATAAGAGATCGTAACGCTTGATATTTGTAATAGAGGAACCAAAGAAATACGAGCGCGCTCGAAAGATTAGAAAAGGCTTCTATACGTAACATGATCTTTATATAATAAGGACTCAGATAATATTATGTACATATACATATGCGGTTTTCATAAATGCTATCATTGGTATTATTTAATATTTAATTTTATAGATTGCAGCGATATAAATATTAAAATTTGTATATGTAAAGGTACTTAAACAAATAAAAATACTCATAATGATATATAAATAAATGTAGCGTCCATAATGTTTACTTTCACTACCTCTTTGTATGAAAATGCTTATTTCTGCTAAGAAGGTGGTGGTAAGTGAAAGTTGTGTGATGCGCGCTCCGCACCAGATTTTTATTTATAAAATGTTACATGATAATTTTTTGAAATCAACAGACGATAGATATATAATTATTTAAATATATTATCAGATCCAGAGATATTAAATTCCAAGCAATGTATGGAAGTTTATAAACATCCTATAAAGGCCGTTATCCACCATGCTAACCTACGGCGCTCCGCGATCTGTCAAGTTGATACGTACTACGTTTCGAGCGTGTATCATGTTCGCGAGCATGCACATCGATCTGGTGGCGGACGGTTTTTGCCCGAACTCAAATGAGAACAGAGGAAGTTCATTTATTAATTTCTTCTTTTTTCCGATGTTCCAACGGGATACCTCTTCAGGTCAGAGTCGAGCTCCACACATCTCTATCCTCCCAGTTCCCCTCCTGCAGACCTCAGCCGGCCATCTCCTCTCGAACTCCTTCCATCCCAGGTGGTTCTGGGTCGTTCTCGCCTGCGCTTTCCGGGTGGCTGCTAGTCCAGGAACTCTGTTCGGCCAATGATCATCCAGCATTCTCCTGCAGTGCCCATACCGCCTCAACCGACGTTTCCCGATCCTCTCAGAGACGGTATCCTCTTCACCTATTCTTTGGCTCACTTGAATTTTGGCATGCAAGCTAGCAGTCATCGACCATGCCTCACATCCGTAGGTTAATATGGACTCGGCCATTGCTGTGAAGATACGCCGCTTGTTCGCGTTTGAAATAGTATTGTTCCAGAGAACAGGATGAAGCATTCTAGTGGCTTTTCTTGCCATCTCTACCTTGTTTCGGACATCCACTTCGGACGTCCCCACATCGTCCAGATAGGACTCGAGGTATTTATTTGTCTTTACTCTTCTGCACACCTGATCACCTATGCGTAGATCGTCTTCCTCATCTCCCTGTGCCGTATACTCAGTCTTTTAGAATTTTGTCCTGAGACCTGCCTCTTCACACACTTTCTTTAATTGGACAACCACCATCTCCAGGAAAACTGTTTTTCGGGGCATCATTGCCTGATCGTCTGCGAAGAACAGGGTAAGGAGCTCCTCGCCATCAAAGTAAACCTCGTAGTCCCGACTTTGTCTCATCCATTACTTCACTACCTCAGCCAAGTATATCTTGAAAATGCTTGAAGACAGACCTTGTTTCAGCCCTCGGGTTTCAGAAAATGGTTCAGAGAGGCGGTTCCCAATCTTCACTATGTACAGATCGCTTCCATAAAAGTGTTGAATCGTATGTACAATAGATTCATTAATACCCGCTCTTCTCAGTGCTAGCCATATTCTTTCCCTAGAAACACTATCATATGCCTACTCCAGATCAATGAAGACTAAATGAAACTATCTATTCTTCGACCTGCATTTCTCAATGAGCTGCCGGAATACAAAAATATTGAACATGCAGGATCTCCCGGCAGTGAAACCAGTTTGTACCACTGGTGTGGTGTACTCTCCATCAAGCTTATCCCGGACAAGTCTCCCAACAATCCTGCTGACTGAGCTCTGTACGCAGATGCCGCGATAATTCTGGCATTGCTTCCTATCTCCTTTTTTTAAGATGGAAAAGAGGTATCCTGTTCGGAGATCATCAGGTAGATCACACCCTTTTAGGACCATGTTCGTCACATTGGTAAGGAGTGTAAGCATCTTATCTCCACCGGCCTTTAAAAGTTTTATATACAAGCCTCCAGGTCCTGGAGCTGTTCCGCTTTTAGCTCTGCCTAGAGCAGCCCTCATTTCTTCTTCTGTTACTTGCATATGGTCCGGCTTGGAATCTTCCTGTGCGTTGTCCTCTTCTGCTATAAACTTCTAGGATTTTTCATAATAACATGAGCCCACCTTATATGGTCAGTATTATTGAGTCATATATCGAATATATTGACCGTATGAGGGATATATTGGAACTTGAGTCGTCCACGTTGAGTGGGGGAAGGCTACGCTAGCTCCCCCAACATTGAAATTCATCTTGCACTCACAGTCTTTACTAGAAAGTTCTTGCGTCCGTTGAGCTCTGTTCATTCCTCTTTGGCATAGGATCGGAGGTTACATACCTCACGTGGTTGTTGTTATTGTGACTTTAATGTGACAAGTGTTAAGTTTCTTTACAGAATTAAACATCAAGATGAATAATAAACCGCATCGTCATAAAGAAAGCAATGTTTTCAAAGTAAGTATTTCAACATTGTTCCCATTAGTTGTCATTTATTGGAAATTATTTAAAATAGTATAAATTATTATGAATTAATCATGTTTTAAAACAAGTCTTACTCTCAGTTTAAGTAGATTTAGTTATTGAAATTTGTTAACATAGAGGTCTGTTCTATCAAGCAGTTCCGGACTGTTCTGGAAGACCACCAAACAGAACTGCTTGTTGGAACAGACCCATATTCAGTTAAACTTATAGCAATAGAAATAACCTCATGTTCTTCAAAATAAAGCTTTTTTTATTATTACTACTATTGAATAAAAATAAGTTCTCAACCTTTTTAATTTAGTCTGATAATTATTCTAAAATTTTGATCATAATACTTCAAACTATTTAGAGAAATTCATTAATCTGAAATAGTACAGCAGGTGGTAATTGTCAGTCAGGAAAATTAAATAATTTATTTTCTTATTTGGCCCAAAATGTTTGGGATAAGTTGATTTACCCAGTCAATTATTTTTATTATTTGAAAGATTTGCGATTAGAGGTACAAGATCATTATATAAAATGACCTGAAAGGGTGTGTGAATGCAGAGACAAAAGAAATTTACACTACTTTGTCACCTCAGAATTGCATCTCTAGTTTGATCTTGTGTCCAATCATCATGTTGGAGGTGACACTTGTGATGTAGTACCCTATGTATCATCTAGTGTCCCATCGGGAAACAGATATTAACGTGCTTGAATGTTGATGCTCTAATTTTTTACTTCCACTTTCCTGTATAGGAAAGTATTGCGATCGTGAAAATTTTTGAATCTCAGTTTTCAACAGAAATAGACGTTTTGAGGTCCTCTGAGTCCAAATAACCAAGTCCCACAGAATGGTCTGGGTGTGTGTTTGTGTTAACAGTCTAGCTCAAAAACAAAAACTCGTACAAGTGAAATTGCATATTTAAGGTTTTTATATGCTAGGGATGTCAAACAATGGCAGTGTTTCAACTGCCTCCCGCACTGGTACATCCTACACCCTGATGGAGACCTGCAAAGTGGGTCGAAACGTCGGCAAAAAAATTAAATAATATTTCTATAATTTAGTATTTATTTGACCGCACCTCCTGATCAACTCCTTCTCAGCAGTGTTTCAACTGTCTCCCGCAGTGCTACATCCTACGCCCTAATGAAGACCTGCAAAGTTGGTCGAAATGTAGGCAAAAAAATTAATGAATACTATTTTTATAATTTAGTGTTTATTTGACCGTACCCCCCGATCAACTCCTCATGAATAATTATAGTGTCTATAATTTTTACTTTCATTTCTCCTTTGTCTAAAAATACTTATTTCTGCTAAGAAGAGGGTGGTAAGTGAAAGTTGTGTGATGCACGCACTGCACCAGATTTTTTTCTATTGAAATTGAGATTCATGTAATGTATTAACTATAAATCTCTTACCTGATTTTGATGTTCATCGAAATCTAGAAAGCAGAATTTGCCTCATTACATTCTGTCGACTTAGTACCATCCAAAGTTTTGAAACCTCATAATTTTTCTACTAAATTTAATTGAAGTTGTACAAAATTAATGATCATGATTGGGATTTGTCACTTCTCCATGAATTTCCTTTTTCTGTTGCCACTTTTTTTTTTCTCAAAATATATTGCTGCTGACAACCAGAAAAAGACATCACTACAACTATATTATTTAAATATGTAATATATATAAAATGGGCATCATGTCTTCAAATTACATTTCTTAGTGTCTTACAATTATTGTTGAATCTCATATTTCTATTTATCTGTTTTAGTTTATTCCATTTTCTGAGAGAATTGGTAAGGTGAAAATTGATGTAATTCATCAAATTAAACACAAATACGAATATGGAGACCCATCCAAAACAACCAACATGTATCAAACTTATGAAAAATGGATGTCTCTGAACAGTTCTGAAATCTGCAAAGAATTACGAAAGAATAGTACTTATGATATTAAGATCTTACCTCAACTCTTGGCCCGGAAGGAGGAACTTGTAAATACTCTCAAAAAGCATCTTGCTGCCAAAAATCCTCTAACTTTGCAGCCTACATTAGAGTAAGTCATCATCTTATATTTTACAGTAAGATTTATTTTTAAAAATAATTTATTATTTATTTTTCTTTCTTTTTAGATTTGTTGTGGCCTTGGCTAATGATCTCAGATCCGATTTTTTTCCTTATTTCTCATCTATTTATAACCTCTTATTAAACTTGCTCAATTCAAAAGATGTTGAACAGCTAGAATCAGTGTTTCAGTGTCTTGCGTATCTTTTTAAATTACTATGGAGGAACCTGATAACTGAATTGCCGTCTGTCTTTGACTCTTTGATTCCTCTGTTTGATAAATCAAAACCAACTTATATTAATGACTTTGCTGCTCAAAGTTTTGCTTATGTGGCGAGGAAAGTTAAAGATAATTCTGAACTTATCAAGCTAATTGTTCGAACTCTGAAACAGAAACCTGAAGTAAGTAAAAATTAGTACTTTATTATTATATGAATTTTAATTTAATAAAAATTATATTGTGCAATGAATACTACAACCCAACGTTTTGAGAAAACTAGATCTGTGAACTTGTCTAGTTATAGATTAGAATTATTTTTGCAATGATCAATTTATCTATCTAGAAAATTCTATTAGCTCACAAAGGAATAAATCAACCTATTGGCTCATTGGGCATTCCTGGTGAAAATGGTACCATAAAAGCAAACTTTTTTTTTTTTTTTTTTGTTTAATTAAACCATCAAAATATGCATTTAAATGTATTTATCATCATATATGCAATTTAAAATTTGTCTAATTGCTTCTGAGTACTGATAATTCATTTGTTAATTATAATTTCAATAACTCTGAGTGTACTAATTCATAGTGATATTTCATCTTTGAAAATCCAGGCTTTGGCTATTTTCAATTTTTTATTATTTCAAGTTTGCATATTTCTTTAAAAAGATGGAAAGAATGATGTGAAATGAATTACTGACATTTTATTTTAGGTTTATCTCATAATATGGTTGTATTTATTTAATTTATAAATTAATTTTTATTTATTATTATTTGTGTTTTATTGGATAAATTATAATTACTATTATTTAATATAACAGAGTTAATAATAGTAAAAATAATATTTTTATTTGCTATTTTAGGCAGTTGAGGGATTTGGACGGCTGGTGTTTGAGATAGTTCATGGTATTCATGGCCAATGGCACAGCTGTGGAGAGAAGATATTTACCAGCCTTATTTCAGCACTTAAGGAACCTTGTTATCCGAATGATATTCTGTTCGATCTCCTGAAACATACCTTGCTTCATCTTGTTTCTTTCCTCACCGTCAAGGAACATATTCAGCGCCTATGGAAGATTCTTCAGGTTTTTATTGCATCTTAGTTTAACTTATTACTTTTAGTCAAATTTTATTAAATTTTATCAAAGTTTTTTAATTCATTGATAACAATAATAAAAAAAATTGAAAAATTTAATTGTTCATAATTAAAACCACTTAAAAATTTAAGATTTGGTGCTTAAATAGAGAAAATGGTGTTATTGTATATTTTTCTGTTATTTTTTAAATTACATTTTTGAATTTAATTGAAAACTCTTAACAGAATGAATAATTTGTGACCAAAATTGTTTTTTTTTTTTTGCTTCTAAATATTATTATTAGATATTATGGTATTTTTCTAAAGAACATATTTTATAGAAAATTTTAGAAAGAAATGTTGTTTTACCTATTGCTACGCTGGTATCTAGAAATTTTAGATTCGCACTTTTATAACTATTTATTTTAACTTTTTGAATTCCCTTTATATTTTACAGACTGCATTGTTAGATTTCTGCAAGGAATTAGGAGACAAACGAGTTAACAATGGGAGCGAATCAAATGCCGAACATATACTTTATATGATTTATCTAACAGTGAATTACAAGAAATGTTCAGCACTCATAGAACCCGAACCATTATTAAGGGAGCTATTAGAATTGCTCCCAATAAAAGAGCTCAACGATAGAACCACTTGCATAATTTCATATATATTGCTGAACGCATCAAAATTACCGCAAGAATTATCCAGCAGCATTTTAATACAGGTGAGAATTATTAGCATTAGTGTTCTAGTTTAATGAAGCTAATGGTGTATTTGTATATATTTGTATTAATCTCTTAATTAGATTGTAAGAACGGGACAAGAATCCTTTGACACATTATTGAGTAAGGTTATATTCTCAACTTTATGGAGCCGTGATAATAAGGCATTGTTGGTTTTTCTCCTCTTTCTCTCATTTCCCATTTTCGTCAAAATTTGAGTTAGGGGTTGTTTAAACTTATATGACAAAATTCTATAAAATCCTTTTATTAGTTTTGTAACATATATATACTACTATATTTAAGCATTCAATTCATGAAATGTGATTGCCTCCATTAATTATATTTCTGCTGCATTATTATGTATAGAGACTATACACTTTCAGATGTGTCGGATGACTATTTTGCAAACTTGTTTGTCTTCATACAAATCCAAATGTGTGTGAGCAGGTTGGGCTTGTCCGTGAATAGGTAGATGTAAGATTTGATGGGTAACCCCTTTATACCTTTACTTCACTTTATAATCCATTTCTCAATTTGAAGTCACTCATACTTCATTATATGTGCAATAAGTTCTTAAGTATTATGTAAACTTTTTTTATTATTGTAAGATTCAATCAAGATAAGCTAACTCTTCTCACAGAACAGTCATACAGCCCATTTGAAAATATTTTGGCAATCACACATCATATGAAAAGAAGAACCAACCCTTCTTATGGAATGGTTGATTGCCGCATCTGAAAGTGTGTAGTCCTTTAAGTAATCGTCCAAATATATGGGAGTCTGTAATGTAAAAAAATAAAAAAAATTATCTGTCTTTAGAATTTATTACTATTATTTACAACAGAAAAATTATAATTACTTGTAATAAAGTAAAGATTTTCATTATTTATTTTAATTTGGGGAAAATATAAAGTAAGATAAATCATCATTATCACATCTGTCATTTCTTTTATTTCGCATTCAATATTTCATTTTGTACTTTCTTAAAAGGTCAACAATTAATTAATCATTTAGAAACTTTTAAAAAAATTTTAATTAGACTTTTCCAGTGGCTATTTTCAAGGACTGACAGCAACAATGGTAGATGGCAAATAAAAAAAAATTAATTTAGACAAAAAAAAAAAAAAGCTATATACTATCACCAACAAGCTAAGCTATATAACATCGCCACCAACTTAAATCCACCATCATTGATAATGATTTTTAATAAAAATAAAACTTGGTTGTGTGGTTTAGACCGCACCATAGAAGTGAGAAAACGTCAAGACGATATTAATAATATGAAATATAAATTTTTTTTTGTTTATATTCACAAAGTAATAACATTTACAATTTATATAATTATAGTTGTATATAAACTACTTTTTGTTCTGTATTCACAAAATAATAACATTTACAATATATAAAATTATAATTGTACATAAATTACTGTATTAAAATTTGCTCTGACTGATCCTCATTTGTATCATACTCTAAAAATGACGCAATAGGTTTATGATAACTAAAATATGTGATGAATACTTTTGATTTAAATCTATTTGCTATCTTTAACAGCAGCCAGTAATTTGTCGAAACTCTATCGAGTGCAACAGAAAATCAAATAGAAATGCATAAGTTCTTATTCCTTATTTTTATGGCTAATTAAAAAAAATATTTATATTGACTTCCTCAAATTACTTTCTGAATTCTTCATGGCATTAAAATTTTGAGATATTTTAGTCCAAATGTTCAAAACTGTTATTCTATTTGATTTTTTTGCACCATCGTTTCCCTTTTCGCATCGTGTTAAGATAAAATTTTGAATAACAGCTCATTATAAAGAGGATGAAATACTGAACAGTTTGCTTGTTTACAGAAGGCAGGTCCAATTTTTAGTTTCTGAGATCTTTTTTTTCTCCTATTTGCCTCTCTAACCCGGTTAGAGCATCGCGTTTATTTACAATTTTTAATATCTCATTATAAAGACTATGGAGTGGTGAACATTTTCCTCGCTTATAGTATGCTAGTCCGATTTTTTGTTTATGAGATATTTTAATCCATATGCAAAAACAATTCAATTTGTCGATTTAATTCGCATAACCTGTTATTGATGTTTAATATTTATTTGATTTTATTTGTTATCTTATATTTTTTATTTGGTTTTCAAATATTTTGTAATTGGAATAAATTAATTTTATATTTATACATAATTTATTTATCGGTAGGCACTGAGTAGTCTAAAGGGAAAGAATCTACTACAATTTGCACTCGACATCCGAACTTATTCAGGCTTTGAAGGCATCGTGCTTCCACGGATGCTAAATTACTGCCTTGAAAAGGTGGACCCACTGCTAGCATTGCGATATATTGCGCGACTTGTTATCAGCAAGGCACACCCAGCTGAAGACAGTCGTGAACTTCTAGTCTATCATCCTTACTCCATCAATTTTTCCTCTATCAGGTATTTATTTTTTCTTCTTTTAGACAATTTTATTTTTTTATATATATATATTTTTTTTTATTAAGTAAAACATTTAGTTTTGCCATTAATGTAGTTACGATACCAGAGCGTCTGCCAAATCTGGAATTTTATGGAAAAACAATGAAAGTCAGGAAATTGAGAACTGGACATGAGAAACCTTTCTTTTGTTATTTAGAATCATTATTGGTTATAAAAAGTTTACAGAATAATGAAATGTGTTCCATCAATTTTTCCTGATAAAGAATAATTTTTTTATTAGGTGTACTCTTAAATCTGTTGATTAAGCAAACATTTCTGTGACAAACAGGGACGGTTTTTCTTACAAACTATCATAACGAATTATTAATTTTTTTTATAACTCGTCTAGTATTTAAATTATTGTATCAATAAACTGATGAAATTCATTGGTATTTTTAAAACTTTGATTATAAAGTTGTTAAAATATAAAATTTTGAATGGGGTATTCCTTCACAAGAACTATATTAATCACAACAAAAAAAGTATGTAAGATAAAATTTATTTATTCCTCTTCATTTTAGTGGAAAACAGATTAAAGCATTAAGTTGTATTAACTTAATTATATACAATTACCATGTAATAATCCATATTTCCTGCGTTAATACGACTCCAAAATAAAAAAATATATTCGTCAGACATTTTCCGGGAACAGAGTCAAAATTAAAACTAATTTTTCTAAATAGCATTGAAGCTCAATGTTTTAATTTTTTTATTTTATCTTCCAATTTTATTTACCAAGTTTTATTACATTATTTTCGCACTTTTTTTATGTTTTTTTTTTTTGGCATTGGAATTTTCTATGCAGCCAGTTATAAAATCATGTAGTTGTATTCCTATTCTTTACTATTTCCAATTTAAATATATTTATTTATTTAATATAAGTATTGCGTGACATTGACTATTTCCTCAGAATGTTAATAATGTTTTGTATATATTGTCATTATTTTAAGGATTTAGAAATTCTTTCATTTGATTTTTATAAGCAGGGCATTCTATAATTATATGCTAGAAGGTTTGTTTTTGGTTACTTATTACTAGAGATCGGATCTTCCTGCAGTTAAAATCCGAAAAAACTGCAGCAAAAAACTAAAAATGTACAAAATCGTGCAGTAAAAACCCAAAATGTGTAAAATTGTTTAATTTAAACCTAAAAACGTGCATAAATCATCTATTTTGTTTAATTTATAATATTAATATATCGAAATCCTATCAAACATTATATTAAGCTTCTGAATTAAAATATGGAGCCAAAAAAAAAAAAAAATTAAATTAAATGCAACATTGAAAATTAAAAACTAATGGCAACAATACATAATCTAATACAACTATAAATTACGATTAACCTAAATCTTAAAGTAACAGAAATTAAAAAAAAAATAAGGACTAACATAAATATAGGAAATTTAATGATAATACAAAAAAAAATACAGAAAGGTCTCAATAATTAACCGGCAAATAATTGAATATATTTGTTTAAACTTCTCTTAAATTGGTTAATAATCTGGCACATACAAGGAATGAAGTAATGTACAGAAACTTAAAAACAGTAAAGGTATGAAGGATAAGTTTATATTATATATACAAAACCAATTGATTTCAGGTATTAAAAATAATATATACATACATAATTATAAATTGTCCTCATTATTATGAAATCTTCATTTTTTAATCGAGTTGAAATTTACAACTGCTGGTACTTTGTTAACATTAACATTTATATTGTTAATGCAGTCGTTATATTGTTTTCTAAGCGTAACTTGTATTTTTTTCTATTACGGAGTAAAATGTTTGAGAAATATTGAAGGTATCCAAACGCCATACTGCCCCTAGGTATATGCCTTAGATGTTACAGCAACTTTTTCCTTAAAATCGGCTAACCGGAAGTGCCAATGGTGAAACACATTTTTACAATTTTCTCAAAAACGGCTCTAACGATTTTGATTGAATTCAGTGTATCATTGTATAATTAAGTGATCTTTAATATCATTTAGGTCTCATCCCTATTGATGTCACTTTATAGGGCTTAAATGGTCAATGTTCAAATATGTATTCCTCTAAAGTATTTTTAATATGGTTTATTTAAAAAAATTAATTCTCTTTTTTGACCGTAACTATAAAAGATGGCTAAATATGAAGTTTGAACGAATATGATAATTGAAAACTGGAGAAATAAAGAAAAATGCTTATGCAGGTTGAAAATGAATCTCCGGAAATAACAGTCCGTAGGTATACATATAATATATCATTGGAAAGTGGAGAATTTTAGTGGAAAAATATCAAATAAATAAAGTTGTAGAAGTTAACAGAGAGTGACAAAAAAAATATTAATAATAATTTCAGAAAACTAACATTATTTAACATAAATCACATCTTTCAAATGAAATTTTCTTACTAAATATAAACTTCTAATTTTTTTCTAAGTTTGAAAAAAAGTATTTAAAATTCACCGATTCATGATAATGCCTTTGTTTAAAATACTATTTAATTGTACTTGTGTGAAAGAAGAAGTGAAATATAAAAATATTTCATGGATATGTTTATAACCTCAAATGCTTTTGCTGTAGTTTAATAACTCTAGAATGATATTATATTTAAATAATTAGGTGTTTATTCCAAAAAATCAAGTAACCTTTTTGTAAATTGCATTAGTGAATAATTTGATGAATTTTCCCTTTGTGAAATCCCAACATTATCCACTTACAATTAGTGTGACAACTTTTGACCTATCTGCTCATTGTTTTTATAGATATAACTTTTACAACTAGAAATATCAATAAAATGACATTACTCAAAAATGTTAAAATCGGAGTTGGTCATTCTGTCAACTGAAAGGCTCGGAGACTCAAGTGGTTTATTAAACTAGATTTTTATTGCCCACCGTCGATATAATAAATAAACTTTTCGTAATTTTAATGGTCATAATGATTTGTTATCTGTAACCTTTAAGCTTTAGCTCCGTTTAAAATGCACTTCAAAAATTTTATAATAGCCCAGTATTGCCAGAAAATTATTTCTATTCAAAGTAGAGGAGTAAGTGAAAGTTGTGTGTTGCGCGCACCAGATTTTTATTATATAAAAAATGAATTGAAAAGAAGTCAAGAAGTTGGTAGGATTGATTTTTAAGAAAAACGTGTACAATGTTTTTAATAACATGCTTTTAATTTTCAGGAATGGGGATCCAACTTCATTTGGTACTTTTTATCTATCGATATTGAAAGAGAGGACCATTGAACAACACCTGGAACAATTTGATGATTGTATTATGATCCTCTTAGTTCTGCCTCACTTGCTACCTTTGTCTAAAACAGAAGCTGTAGCCGTTCTTCTTTCACTGTTGGATTCAGTTCAGGTTCAATTGGAATCAAATAATGAAGAAAGCTCACATAAAGCTTTATACCTGATGTGTGCTGTTTTGGAAGCCATCATGTACTTGAAGCCTGAGACTTGTATCACTAAGTTGGTCCCTCCAGAGAAGATATTACATTCTTTGATAAAACATGCTGACAGGAGTGATAATCTCTTTATTCTCCGAGCATTGGACTTCTATATAAGCCTTGACGAACTGAATCTAGTTCAGCCATTTGCTGAAGAGTTGAAGAAAAGCTTATATCATTTGCTTCGGTCTCCGTATCAGAAGGTGAGGCTTAAATTGCTTTTTATTTCGAATAATTATTCATTAACTTGTTTGGTACAAGTCTATATAATTGTATTTGAACATGTTTGTTTGTTTATTAATTTCTATGTTTATAAAAAAATTAAAGGTCAGAAGTCCCAAGTCCAATTATTTTTATTTTATTTTCAAAATTGTTTTAAGTGTAGAAATTTACTCTAGCTATATAAATGTTTTTAAAGGCAAAGAGATCCAAGTATGGTCTTGTTAAAAATAATTCTTAGAAAGTTCTAAATTTAATGTTTAAGTAGGGGTAAGGCAAAAATAAGCAATCATTGATATTAAAATTGAAATAAACATTTTACAGTACTAGAATTTTCAAAATAAAAATATTTTAAATGAAAATAACCTAATATTTACATTTTATTAATTGTATAATTTTCCTATTTTATTAATTAGTTTATTCCCAAATTTTATTTCGTTTAGATCATAGTGTTTTCTATTTTATTAGTTAAACCTCTAATATAAGTGACAGAAAAATATTTTTTGAGGTTGGGATCGGAATTGTCTTTCTTATTTTTCTCATTCTGAAAATGTATATCAGGATTCTCTTTATTATTCTTTTGTTTTTTAGTATTATCTTATTTGAATAGTTTCTGATTAGATTTATTCTTTTATTTCTGGTCTTGTTATGATTAGTTTTTATATTTGGACCCTTCTTAAGTTCTTTATGCCAACTAGTATAGAATTATATTTAAAAAAATAATAAAGATCAATTTACATTATATATTTAATAAAAATCTATTTAATTTTTGTAATTTTCAGGTACGTTCACATATAACCCATATTTTTTATGAAGTTGAGAAATCAAATGGGTCGAATGATCTCATGTCATCAATTATGGAGATTTGTTGGTCTGCCGAGTGTGTTCCGCCTACTCTTGCAGAATACAGACAACGGTTGAAGATATTGAGGAAGTTTGACTGTTCTTCAATGGAAAAAATTGCAGATGCTGTGTCCAAAGGAATCGTTGATGGGAAGGTTCCATTGAGGTACCTCCTTGGTCAGCTGTTTATTAACTTTAAGCTACTTTGGGAACCAGTCACTGCTATCATCGTGGGCTACAGCTGTGTAATGGAACCTGCTGCTTTCTGGGAGATCTATCGGGAGCAGATGGACTGGGTATCAACAGAGATTCTGGAATGTAAACTACAGGAATCATCAAAATTTGTCTTCACTTGTAAGGAATTTTTTTCATATTAATGTTTATAATTTCAAATTTAGTTATCTATTTGTATAATAATCTTTCCATTTACATATTTTGGTTTTTTTAAATTATATTTTGAAAGTACCTACATTTTGTTTTTCAAGTTTATTTTATAGTTACAGATATTTATATGTATATATTATTATTTTTGTTTTAGGTAAGGACTTACAACACATGTTTGACAGTCTTAATGATTTAAATGAGAAACCAGATTTTATTAAATACAGAATAATGCTATGGGATATGTTGAAACAATTTCCAGACACCGTTTATGAAGCTAAAAGTAAAGATATTGTGGTTCGTTTCTTAGATTTTATCGAGTAAGTGTTTTTCATTAATTATTTTATAGTATTCATATCTATATTTGCTAGATATAATGTATTATGTATAATGGTCTACCTACATGTATAAAACAATGATTCTGAAATAATAATCACTATATCTTGAAAGCAAAAATACTTATGCAGCTTAACTTTGAATGATATTTCCACTTATACTGTAGTTGCTTATTAAAGCTGGGCTTGAAAAAAGTTGTACATTAAATAGTTAAGAAAACAACTTTAAAACCTAAAAATGAATTAGTTCATCGTATAATTTATAAAAGTATACCTAAAACACTATAGGTACTAATTTGAAAGATGATTACATTCTCCATAAAATAAAATAAAAATCATCTAAATCTCATAGTGTATTGTTGTTATCTGTATAAGTTCCCATGGAAACCCATGAAATTTATTCTGTTTCATCAATCGTTGATTGAGCTTGGGGTCAGGGATCTCTCCTGGGGCACACTCAGCCTCTATAAAGTAGGTACCCTTAATTAAATAATTAATTAAAGGAGAAACAGTCTGAGACCTTTTTTTTTTTCTTTTTTTGTTTTGCTTATCTATATAAGTCACTAGTCGTTAACCTCGCAAATATTTCTTATATTTATATAAACTATTGCTATGTTCCTGGCCTCGCGTTTCTACGGCGAGTAGGGGGTTCCAGGAATCGCATTTATTTGTATTTATATGTAATTATATCGGTCCCAGAAGGGAACCAATCAACTTAAAATATATTAATGATGTATTTAAATGTTAGATACCACAGACCCCCTACTGTAGTATCCTAGATTGAACCATATAATTTTTATTGGATTTCCTTTCTAAAGGTATCATGTTTATAAATTTACTATTTGTTTCTATTACTAATTGGTGGCATGCAAGGTAGATGGTAAAAGTACTACGTTGGTTTGCTAACTAATATATTTACAAATTTAAATAAAACCAAAAACATCTATATACAAAATAATAACTAAACCTATATACATAATATTAGTTACGAATCATACGAGAGGAGAATGCTTGATATTTGATTATATTAATTAATGGTCTATGGTTGCCAACACAAATTTACATTAGTATAACTAAATGCTTGTTACCACTTAGCTGGTCCTTCATAGTGTTTCTTGGTGTTATATCTGGATTCCCTGTCTCTGCTCTCCTTCAGCGTCTAGTCCGTCCATCTGCTCTCTCCGGCAGTCTCCATCTTCCTCCCTCGACTCCCCCGCTTGAAGTCACCAGAAGAAGTCCTCTCAGCTCCAAGTTCCCAGAAGAAGTGTCCAGTCCAAATTCTCTATTTCCCACCTTCCTTCCTCCCCCTCTCTTTTGGCAGTCTTTTTCCTGATTGGCTGAATATTCTCAGCCTAAGGGATGACCACGCCCTCTCCCCCAGGCCAAGGTAAAGCAGCAGGTACAGATTTCCATATTTCTGGTGGAAGGTGTGAAAAGGTCTTTTGGGATCCTTTTTAAACACGGTATTTGTCGGTGGTCCTTAAGGGTTTTTATTACCACTTACAAAAGGTTGTCCTAATGGGTTACCCTCAGTCAGGTACCGCCAGATGTGAACACTTACTTCTACATAATGTTTATTTCTACATTTAAAATAATTATTCCACCGGCGGTCTTTACAATACATAGCACTATTATAGTTTAATATACACTCATCCTAAGTTTATGATAAGAATAAACCATAATGCTCATAGAAATTCAAGTTGGTCATAACTGAAGCACATAAAATAAAAGTGTGATTCAAATTAAAACTCTTTATAACCTTGCTAATTGTCAGATTTAGATGATTTTTCTTAAATTTTGTAGATAATTTCATTAGTTTTCAAATAAAATTTTATAATTTCTCGGGAGATGTATCGCTTTCAATTTATTCAAAGATCAATTTCTATTTTTAGGATTTTGAAATAATTTTTGACAATCACTTAGACTTTGAATTTTTTCAAACCCAGCCTTGTTACACATGTACTGCATAAAGAGAACTACCAATTAAAATTTCATTTTCATAGGCATTTTCATTTTTTATTAAAATTACAGTAAGTCAGTGAGTAAAATGTATCTTTTATATATAGAGATATATATTAAAATATATATATATATATAAATGTTCAAAACAAATTTTGAATGTGTTGAAAAAAAAAATACATGTTTTAAAGAGATTGGCATAATCACATCTTAGCTCTACTTTTAGTCTAATTTTATAGTTTCTCCGGAGATGTATCGTTTTCAATTTATTCGACGAACAATTTATATTTTTAGGATTTTGAAATAATTTTGGACAATCACTTAGGATTAATTAATTGGTTGTTTTATTAAGAATAAGTTATTTCCCGGATTATTATATTTTTTAATCCATTCGTTATCTTTTTATAATTTTTATTCTAAATCTTTAATCTTTTGTAGGAACGAATATAATAAACGGTATTCAGAAGCTGCTACTTCTTGGAATATTAAACAGGAAAAAATCTTAGACATTAGCAGTGTAGACATTGATATGTCAATGAATATCGAAGAGGAAGTAAAAGATTCTGAACAGAATGAGGAACCCATGGAGGTAGAATTATCAGAATTAGCAACAGTTGAAGAAACAGTGACAAATCATGACGATTCACTTACTAAGCAAGATGAAGAATTGAAGAAGGAACTTACAGAAGAACCGTTGCCTGAATCGGATTATAAAACTAAATGGGTAACAAAGTAAGTCATAATTTGTTGATAAAAAATAATTGTGTGCTGTTTGCATCTCACTTGATTATATTGTTAATTTCTTGAAAATTTTTAGGAGCCTGATAGCACACATGGGAATATTCGGTAAATTTCGATCTCCTAAGAGCCTGTATCGTGAACCAGAACTTAATAAATTATTTTATGAGTTCCTCGCAAGCAAGGTACCAGATGTCCAGAAGTCAGCGCTAGATTTCATTATGCAATATAAGTTGAAGTATTTAGTACCTTATAAGTAAGTCTATTGCATTATTAACGATTTTACAATTTTATTTTAAAGTGATTCATTTATGCTAAGTTTATATATGAATCACTTCAATATATATATATATATATTTAAATTTTATGCATTCAAATTAAAAATTGATCATGGCAGTATTGTATATAGACAAAATGTATAAATTAAAATTTTTATTTTGTAGTTTCTTGGTTTCAAATAAAAAATTATACTTTAAAGTAATTTATTCAATCAAAACACTAATTTATAGAAAAGATATTGTTTCTAGTAAAAACATAAAATAAATTTTTTAATGAAAAAACTTTACTTACAAAAAGAAAAAGTAATGCAGATTGATATATTATTTATTTAATATCTGTATTTGTATAATAGATAATTTTGTTTTTATACATAATTTTATTCTTAAATTGAAACTTAAAAATAAAAATTTCAAAAGTTCTTATTGAAAGTTATAATTTACTGTATTTTATCTTCTTTCTTTAAACCTAAAAAATGTATAATTTTAATTTTTACTATTTTAAATATTAAATTAATAAATTTTTTTTTGTTCAATAATTAATATCTTTACAATATATATTTTTTATCACAAATGAATTCACTTAATTTTTTCAGGGATAATGTTTACGGTCTGATTGATGAAAAGACATTTAAACACGAACTTACACTTTTCCGTGTCGATTCCCAGAGCGGCACAGTGAAACCTGAACATCGAGCCCAACTCATTCCTATAATACTCAGGTATTTACTAAATACTTCAAATATTTATTATGAATAAGGAAGTTGGTCAGAAGTTTATTCAGTTGGAGAAGATGTTGGTCAGGGGGTGGGGTCAAATGAATACTATATATCAAAATAGTATTTTATTGTTAACGTTGACGTAAACAATAAAATACTATTTTGATATATAGTATTCGTTTGATCTCCCCTTCCCCCCCTCCCCCGATCAACTTCTCATTTTTTTCTTTTAATTAGTTTTTTAGTGTCATTAAATGAAAATGGCTGTCATTCTTATGTTTACCATCCTGATATATCTGAAAATTTAGAAATGTAATAACCAAGTTTTTGTTTTTAGGATAATTTGCAGCAAAATGTACAGTAAAGTGAATGCTTCTAAGAGAGAGACCAAGCAGGGTCGAAAGGCTGCTATTTTGAGGTTCCTCTCCGGCTGCTCTAGCCAAGAGCTTTTTAATTTCTTCAACATGGCATTTTCTCATTTAGCAGGCCTGGTAGAAGGTGAGTTTTTCGCAGACATCTTTTTATTTTGAACGACAGAAAGTTGGATGTAAAAATTAAAATTTTAGTATTATCTAAAAGTATAAAATGTTAACAGAAACATGAGTAAATTTAATTTTCTTTGAAAACATCTTTTTTTTCTTCCAGAAGAACTTTCTTTTTTTCTAATTGCACATTAATTCTTAAAGGAAATTCCTATCTCTGCATAATAATCAAAACATAATTAAAAAAAAAAAAAAAAGACTACAGACATTATCCTATCCATTCTGAGATCATGTACTTGGTTCCATATCTAATGAAACATCTTGGTAGATTTTTAGAGAAATTGATGTCTACGAATATTTAAACTTGATTTAGCAGTCGGAGGGCTTCCATCCTCTAACTCAACTCCATAAAGAATTCAATTATTGATATATACCAGCACATGGGATTAATTCCACTTGCCAGAAGTCGTAATGTGTAGTAGAATGCATGTGATTACTACACCAACTTTAAATATTCATAGATGTCAATTTCTTCAAAAATCTATCAAGATGTTTACATATATATATATATATGCAAATACATATCCTTAGGATAAAAAAAAGGTTATTTCTGTATTTTTTGACAATTTATATTCAGTTCATATGAACTAACTAACATAAAATCATGAGCTATCTGACTTAAAAATCGTTTGAGCCCTTTTTGTCATTATGGAAAATCATTTAAAAGACACCGAAAATAACAATATTTGTGATTATAACATGCAAAGTAAAGTCTTTACACAAACAGTGATCAAGGTTTTTAAATACATACATATGCAAGTACATACCGTTCGTTAGTGTAGGGAAGTGTTATTTTGTTGTCTTTCTTTATTTTACATATCTATTCTTATTCTTATTATTATATTGTTTGTATAGTTATAAAATTGGGTTGAGTGGAGGGAGGGGCTTGTTTTGAAATTTTTTATGGCGGGGCTTATGGAAGTCAAGGTTTCGCAATAGTCATAACAAAAACTTTGTTATTCGGCTATTTGTTTAGGTACCACACAACTAAACCGACCTCCACCAATCCATTAAAATTTGTTAAGTGTTTAATTTTCATTTATGATGAAGCGAGGAGATTGTGGAGTCGATTAAGTAACAAACAAATTTTTTTTCAAAAGTGGATTTGGTGTCTGCAATGCATGAAACAGAAATATATCATAAAACGGCTTGATTCTATTTAATGTACAGACAAAATCTTTATTTTATTTATATAGATTTTCTTATCATTACTTTAATATAAGATCATTATTTGTGTAAAAAGCTCATTTTTCATGTTATAAGCATATAATCCGTGGTACTGATCCCTTTTTATCAATTTATTAACATCTGCCTGAAGCTTCGTAAATAGTTACATCTGATCATAACCTACAAATATTTTATTTACAAAATTCTTAGAATTGAGGCATTTTGCTCATGAATACCCATTTGCTTTCCACTTGAATTGTAAGATAATATGATCACAAAGTAAAAAAAAAAAGGTGGCCTACAAAAATATTGATCCGTTTAACGTGACCTCCACCCTGAAAACGTTTAAATAACGAGATTATATAGGCCAAATGCCCCAATATTTTTGTAAGTCACTTTTATTTTCGATTTTGTGATCATATTATCTTACAATTCAAGTGGAAAACAAACAGGAATTCTTGAGTTTTAATACCTAATTAAATAGACAAAGTTTATCAGTCTCCAGATAGAAAAAGCCCCAATACTAAAAATTTTCATAAATAAAATATTTATAAGTTATGATGAGGTGAAGCAATTTACAAAGATTCAGGTGGATGTTAACAATTTGATAAAAATGAGTTTGTACCATGGACTAATAACAACAAAAAAAGTCATGATTATTTATTATTTGATGTAAGGTGAAAAAAAAAATTGTTGGGCCACTTCACATTTCTGTTCTTTAACCCAATAAGCATAAGTTGAACCAATTATGTGACATCCATTTGCATGGTGCCATAAGTGGTTTTTAAAAACCTTTTGTAAAAAGATTATTTTACATGTTTAAAAAAAAAAGAAGACAAAAATCATGGTTTTTGGTGATTTTTTAAATTTGCCAAAAAAATTTGTTGGACATCTTGGATCTCTTAAAAATTAAGAAAATAGTCCTTAAATTTTCTTTCTTTCACTTCATACATCATCAAAAATAGAAGATTAATTTTCAGGCTGAAATTATTCTCTCACTATGTTTAACTTAAAAGTACCCAAGTGTTCATACACCTCAATTTCAAATAAACTTTTATAATGCTTTCAGATGATGCAACCGCAATGGTAAATAAAATCATCGACTCCTTCGACCTAGAGCACTGTACTCCTCCGAGACGGTTGATGGCCACAACATCTCTTCTGAAGACAGTGTTGAAATACTGTGGAGGACTCCTGGAGCCGGCCCAGGCTGCGTTCCTCCTCAGATTAATCTTGATTGTTGCCTCTCATCTTCCACCTATATTCAGCAAGAGGTGAGGATTTATTGTAATATTTGATGGATTATTAAAACAGCTGTATATACAGTATCATATAATAAAAAAATATTTTCATTTATAAGTTAATGAATAATCCAAGTAAAGTATAATTTACTATTGTTATTATTATTCTATTTTTGACAGAGAGGAAGTCCATCCCGGTTATATAAAAGTTATTAAAAATGTGAGAGCTCTTTGTTTCCAAGTGATATCACATTTTTATGAGGTCTATGAAGATTACAAGTGGTCCGACGACGAAACCAATGCAGTCTTTCAGGTTAGTAAAATGAATAAATCATTATATCGACAGCTTATTTCTAAAACTGTATGTTTAAAATTGTCTATGTAACTAATTATCATTTGTTTACTTTAATATTTCTGATATGTTGTGTTATATTTTTAATATTAAGATTAATAATATTAGAGATTTGTCAATATACTACAAGAGAAAAAACAATTAAAATTTTCATTTATTTATAAAAAAAATTATAGTTTTTTGTTTTCTTATGTAATAATCCGTGGTACAGACAAATTATTAACATCCGCCTATAACTTCATAAATAGCTTCACCTCATCATAACCTACAACTTTTTTTATTTACTAAAATTCTTGGAGTTGTGGCGTTTTCAATCTGGAGATTGTCAATCTTTGTCTATATAATTAGGTACTAAAAACTCATGAACACCCATTTGCTTTCCACTTGAATTGTGCAATAATTTATTTACAAAATCGAGAAAAAAGGTGGCTTAGAAAAATATTGAACCGTTTTTGGCGTGACCTACACCCCCAAATTTTCAAAATAACGAGGTTATATGGGACAAACAGCCCAATATTTGTGTAGGCTACTTTTTTTTTTTAATCAAATTATCTAACCATTCAAGTAGAAAGCAAAAATGAGTATTAATAAGTTTTTAGTACCTCATTAAATAAATAAGTTAATTTTGAAAAATTTGAATTCTACCAATGGGTAGTTTCTCTTCATGTTGTACATGTCATGTTACCTATGTCACATTTACTTGTTGTATTTTCCATGTAATACAGTTGTAAATTTCATTAAAATAAAAAAAAATTTGAAAAAGCTCTTTTTCTGGGAATTTTCGTTGATGAAAAATTTGTAAGTTACAATAAGATGAAACTATTCATGAAATTTTAGGCGGATGTTAACAATTTGATAAAAGAGGGTCTGTTCCACGGACTATAAAATTTGTGTTTGTCAATCAGTGAATAACCAGTATATCATGAAAGGGCCAACCAGTGCTGACCTTAGGCATTTGGCACCTCTCGAGCAATTACATTATCTCCCCAAAACAATTTAATTTATTTTCTAAACTGTTTTATATTACATGATATTTGAATTGTATATCAATTGTTTTATCAATATGCTGAAATTAATTATTCTCATAAGCTTAATATTTTTTTTATTAAATTCCCAACAAGTGGTGGGTTGCTCCTCTCGAGGTTGGTACCTGGCGTATGTCGGCCTGTTGGTATCCTGGGCGTGTCTGCTTGAAGGTCCGCACAGGGTCCAACTAGTTACTGCATAATATAAAATTTTAAACCGTCAATTATATTAGATTTGGAATTATTACAGGTGTTAGTCTGGCCTTATCTTCGCAACTTACCTGTGGAGGCTGTTAATAGTCCGACGGCTCAATTCAAACTCTTCATTACCTGGAGCAAAAACTCTAAGTAAGTATAAAATTGATTTTTTTAAAATTATTTCCAGAATTTTTTGATAATTATAACTGATCTGTTTGAGTTATACTTCAAACATAATTTTGATTTGAAATTTACCATTTGAGATTGTATTATATTTTTTCTATATCAAAACAATCTCTACAAAATACTTTTTGTTTTAAACTATTGTAGATAATAAGGTAGGGAAGTCAGTTGCGGTTTGCAGACTGATTGGGGGGAGGGGGAGTGAGAGGAGGGGAGTTGATTCTGGACAATTTTTAACAAAAAGGTTCATTTGATACATGAGCCGATTCTAAACGGAAAAGGAGTTAAGACCAATTTTGTGTTTTTCTTAAGGTTATCACATTTTTTATGGAATAACAAGGAATTGCTCAAAAACTGTTCAAGATAATTAAATTTTAAGTTTATCATCGTAAAGGTACTATTTATATTTCGCTGGTATTGCCCATGGACTATTTCATTCACGCTGCCACCCACTACTGTTCAATGGGGTTGTTATAACCTGCCTATAATCTTCGAACATTTCGTTATAACTTCGAAGATAAAAAAATGGACTTACTATCTCTTAGTACCCACTTTAAGTAACCACTTTTTTATTAGAAGAAGAAGAGGAAATGTTGCTGATAAGGAGATGGAATATCAACAATATATTCCGAACAAGGGATTCCGAAACATATTCCGAAAGCAGGAAGGGTATCATTAAGAAATTGATAACTACCCATTTGATAGCTGACGAAGAGAAATTTAGAAATTTTTTACATCGAATAAATGTCAATACAATTGTTTTGAGTATGATAGAAAATGATATAACTGAAACTATTACCAATGATCTACAGGATCCAATTAAACCTAAAGAAAAATTATCAGTCATCTTAAGGTAATAATATGAAGACAACTAATTTCCAGTTAACTCATAAAATAAAAGTTGTATCATTTCGATGAGATGCTCATCATCCGGATCAGCAAATCCCTTCTTCGACATTGTTTACTATTGTCAAGCTGAGGAACGACCAAAAAAAATAATGTGGGAAACGCCGTACTGACACCAATAGTACCTCTGATTTTAAATATATTACTTATTACTATTTTTAATGAAATCACAGCAGGTGATGTTTTATCGATTTATCAATAGTAATCAGTAAATCAGCACTTTAATTAAAAAATACAAATCAGTTTTTCAATGTGTGGATTTTAGTATTTACCTGACGTTAAAATTTGTTGGATTATTTAATCTATTCAGTGTCGTTTGGATCTAGGTATATTTGAATTTTGCTGTATAATACTGTTGGTGGAATAAATTAATAAATAATCTTCTTATTTCAACCTTAAACAAATAATTTACTATTGCATTGTTTCAGTTTTAAACAATATTTCTTATAATTTTGTCAGACTTGAAAGAAATATAGGAAATAAAACGTATCAAGGTGACTGTTATCATCAAAACAATGCTCCGATATGATTACATAATCTATAACCGCCAACAGCTTCACTGCTTTAGGAGTAGCCTAGATATGACATCATACCTGGACTGTCGAGCAGCGCTAACGAAATAGGTTCAGTGCTCAACCACAAGCGGTCGCTGCCTTGGGAAGTACCAGCAAAATAATAACTTAAAGTAGAAAAAATTTTTTTTGAGAAAACAGTGATTAAATTTACTAAGCTCAATGATAAAAGAGGTTTTATATTTACAAAGGTCAATGAAAAAAGGAACTTTTAGGAAGTCTAATACAGCCGCTGTTCAGATATGCGTACTATAACTGCAGCAGTACAGTGGCTGTATGAGATCTCCTGAAAGTCCATTTTATCAATAAGCTTACTAAATTTAAAACCTCTTTTATCATTGAACTTGGTAAATTTAAAGTCCTGTTATTATTGAGCTTAGTAAATTTAATCACTGTTTTCTCAAAAAAAAAAAAAAATTGGCTACTTGACAATGGTGTACTCATAATTTAATTATCTTGGACAGTTTCTGAGCAATACCTCTTGTTTAATAAAAACCGTGACTACCTTGAGAAAAACACAAAATTGGTCTTAACTCCATTTCCATTTGGAACTACCACATGCATCAAATGAACTCTTTTGTTACAAATTATGTCTAAAAATATTAAAACACTGTTGACCAGTTAGTAGTCAGCTCATCATTGCACTTACTTCCTTCCATATTGTATTACTAAATAATAGCCGGTGACGTGACATAAGTTCTGTTGAAAATTGCCGGTCACCAAAGTGTTTAGCACAACATTAATTGTACACTAATTTATCTTCCCCATTTTTGTTTTCAGACACTTGAATCTGCTGGTTAAGAAAGATGAAAATGGAAGATCTATTTTTTCAACTATTATAGAACTTTGGGCTTTGCCTAAACTGCACGGCTCTGTCCATAACACTATTTTGGAAATGGTTGACCAAATTCTGTTAGAGGAAGGTATGCATGCTACTATTTCTTATTTAGTTATCTTGAGATTATCAAAAAATATTTAAAGTTTTGTTCAAATCAGTAAATTGTTTAATTATTCTTTCTAATATTTATTATCTTTCTTAATTTCATAAGTGATATGTAATCAGTCATTGAAGTTATCTTTTAATAAATTGCTTAGAGAAAAAGTAATGTTTTCCCACTTTAATCGTTGTGTAAACATCTAAATATATCTGTGAAAAGATGTTTTTTTTTCCATCATCCTTTCATTTTCTCTTCACTTCATCATATTCCCTTACCTAAAAATTGTATTCGTTTGATGATATAATCCTTAAGAGCCCTTAAAAGTTTTGGTGCCTTTTATCATCATATAATAGGGCTACAATTAAATGAGTATTTTAAGGCAACGTGTACACCGTATAATTGAAAATATTTACTTTATTAGAATAAAATATCTTCAAAGATTATTTGGTTAACATTTAATTTGTAAATTTTGTGTTTTTCAGGCGAGACTGAAGAAACTATTAGTGGAAAGGAAATCCTCACTGATTATTTCCCCAGCATACTCAATTTCCTTCAGAACAGGATCAAAGCTAAGAAATCTCTGACCAAAAGGGAACTCCAAGTCCTTTCCATTATCACCTCTTCTCCAACTGAAAATATCTCCTCTGAGACCCTGCTGTCTTTTGTCCTCCCTTCACTCCTGAAGAACTACAAGAAAGATGATGAAGAAATCACTCAGTTACTGACCGCAGCTAATAACCTGATGAAGGCGGTGGAGAAACCCGGGCCGTACCTGAGGCAGATAGTACCTCTCTTCTCTTCGCTATCTGCTCCGCAGCATCGCAAGCTACTGATATCTCTTACGCTAGATATTTCTCAACGTTCTGAGTAAGTTATTGTACAACTTTCACTTACTGCCTTTTTTTTTTTTTTTTTTTAATAGACAGATATTTTACATGAGTTGCTTATTTCGTGAAACCTGATCGATTTTTTTTTTTTTAAATCGAGAAACATATTGAATCCTTAATAAAATCGCCAATATTTTGTCATTTTTGTGTTATCTTTACCATCAGCAACATACAATTCCAACAACAAAGAATTTAAAATTAAACATTATTATGTATAATTTTTAGTCACTAAACATGTAGTTGGTTGAAAATATCGTTAACTTTATTTTTACTAGCCTGAAAAATTATTGTAATAGCATGAAATTTCAGGATAACAGCGACCAGTTTCCCTCCAAAAAATCTCCTATAAATCAGACTAGTAGTTTTTGTGGTTACAAATGAAAAATAGATTTCTTGACATTTGATATAACAATATGATTTAATTTTGCATCAGTTCTATTTAAATTCTATATGTTTAGTATAGAAGAGTTTAAATCAATTATTTCAAGACAAATAAAAATAAATAAATAAAAAAAATAAACTAAGGTGTGTGCTTTGGACCACACTATAAAATTGAAAACATCAAGGCAAGATTAATAATATGAAATATAAATTATAAATAATAGCTCATTACAAAGAGAAAGAAATGCTGAACATTTTCCTTGCTTCCAGTATGAAGGTCTGATTTTTAGTGTCTGAGATATTTTAATCCATATCTATAAAACTCATTATCATTTGGTTTTCGACAATTTTTTTTTCCTTTTTGCCTCTCTAACATAGCACCCATCTCGTCAAGATACAATTTTGAATAATAGCTCTGTATAAAGAGGATGAAATGCTGAACACTTCCCTTACTTACAATATGTAGGTCCGATTTTTAGTTTTTAAGATATTTTAATCCATTTGCGAAAACACTTCAATTAATCGACTCCAGCTGAATTTAGCCGTGTTACACACTCCACAAAAAATTGCAAAATGTGCGCCTGTGCACCTTGTACGCCTAAAAAAGTTTTCACTGCAAAAATTACACAGGTTTATATTTTGGGATAAAATCTTTTAATTTTTTGGATTAAAAAAAATATTAATTATCAGTTTTATATTTATATATTTATTTTATCCACAGATATAAAGTTGATAGTGATGTACTTCTCGACCTGACTGCTTGCGATTCAAAGTGGATCGATCAACCAGACTTCACCAGAAGACTAAATGCCTTTACTGCTCTCGATCAACCGACCACTGAACTAAGCTCTACGATGGCTGCGATTGTCATTCATATAGCTTTTTTCTATCTAAGGAAGGTCAGTCACAATCACGAGTCTTTAATAAGCCTTTGATCAAATCCTTTTCTGGAAAACCATGTATCTTATATTTCCCGCCATGCTTTTTCCATTTTAAAACAACTAAATTACCTCTTGTCACCTATTTCCATTTGAAACCCATAAACTCCTTATTACTTCCTTATTTCTTCACTTCGACTTTTGCTGTACGGTATATTGGGGCCTCTCCTGGGATCTTGAAGCGAAACTAAAACATTTGATAAATTGTCTTGTATAATTCATGTTCAGGATCCCAAGGGACGCCTTTATTTCCCGTTATTATGAAGAGCTGAAGTGGTTTTATCCTTTTTACCGACTTAAGTATTTCCTAGCATCCTTTCTCTTCCAAGTCATCCAATCCCGCCATCCTTCATTGTATACAAGATTCCACCATACCACTGCTTTTGACAGATCTTTCATTATTCGATCCACATCTCTATGGACTTCTATCCCATCCTACATCCGTCGCTTCAATAACTTACCCACCTTTAAATTCCGCCTGGTCAATCACCTCTTATCCGCTCACTTCTCATAAAATTGTAAATAGATGTTGTAAATTGTATGTAAATAATTAGTTTGTTTTAAATACTTTTGTTCCATTTTTTTTCTCTTAATTGAAGATTGAAGGCAAATAATTTTTTTTTCTTTTATTTATTCATTATATAAATTTGTTTATTTTGTAATTATTCTCTGAGGCTCCAAAGCCCACATTTCTATCTCTGTACATTATTCTAAAGGGACTTGTCATAGAATAAATAAAGCATTTTAAAAATTATATTTCAATAGTAAAATGGCCTTGGCACCATGCCTATTGGTCATCAGAGAATAGATGAAACTAGTAGTTTTTTAAAAAAAGGTTCTTGATGAACTTAGGTTCTTTTCAAAGTTATTTTGATTCTCTTCAATGTTTTTCTTCAGTCTGATCTGGAACTTTGTATATAAACCGTGCTTGTGTTTTTTGTAATTAATCCTTCTTGAACAAGTCGGATCAAAGATTTGCTCAATATGGATTTATCTTGAAATATTATTTCCTATCAGTATCTGTATTACAAATTAAATTCCATGGTAATTCTTTTCAAAGATTACTTAGATAGGTTAAAAGTTCAGCAGTATGCCTTAAATTAACTTCTGATTACTCAATTGTGATCCCTCATATATCATTACGATATTCTTAACATTCTAGAATTTAAATGTATATATGTCATGGTTACGGATTGGTTTATTTTATGTTAATAATACAATCTGAACTACAATTACAATATAAATTAAAGTTATACAATTTGAGCAACAGGTAGTAAATTAAATGAGCAGTTGTATAGTTTGTAAATTGGGGATTAATCCGCCATTGGGTGGACAGTGGGTACCCCCCTAGTTAATTACAAATTAAAGTCTGCAATCAGCTGTACCATCAATTCTACTTTATTTTATTTCATTTAATCATTTCACGTTAAAGGTTTTTACTGATGAATGGATGTTACTATGTATTAATGTATTTTAACTAATCATATAGGTAATTATTGATGATACCATAGGATTGCAAAGTTGGCAGGAACATCATATGGTTTAATGATATGAAATTAAAAATACAATAGATATAGCCTTAATTTATTAATCTTGCGAATTCTTATTACCATTTGCTCTTAATAATTGTAGGAAAATGATCATTCATTGATAGACAACGCCCGCCACTGCCTACACAATCTGTGCCCAAGAGTTTGTTTGAGCCATTCAGAAGACAAAGCTGAGCTCGGGTTCCTCATTAACGACACATTGTTTCCTCTTCTTAATAGTTGCATAAATGGCAAAGTAGTTAACTTACGTCGAGAGGCCATTATCATTCTTGGTCATATGGTGAGTATAAATTATCTCAAAGAAGTAATTTCTTTATCGCTTTTTCACTTTTGTTATTATTATAATTTTTTTATAGGTACGAGAATGCAGTTCTTTGCATTACGTCTTTTCTGATCTGTATCCACTTTCAAATAAGTCAGATTTAGAAGTGGATTTCTTTGAAAATTTGGTGCATCTTCAATTTCACAGGAGAGTTAGGGCGATGCTCAGGTAATCAAAATATTATTTTAAAAATTAATTAACTAATAATCAATTAACTTAGACCCATTTTTTAATCTCAGAAAATATGCAATAACAATAAAACTTCTTTATTAACAATTTAAAAAAATGTATTTAGTTATATCGAACATCTGTGAAAGTAACGTTTTAGACTTTTTGGCTATTTTCAAACATATCTCTATAAACTGTTTGTCACCCATAATATTTAAAAAAAAAAATGTTTTGTCCTATTTGAAAATATACCTCAATTTTTTTATTCTAAAAACAGGAAAAATCTTTTATTACCAAATACATATTGCAAAAATTTAATAAAAAACAACCTAAGAACTTTAAAAATTTTTATTTAAATAAAAATGTATGTTTCATTTTACTTTTTATTTAGGTCTCTTCAGACTTTTTTTTTTTTTAAATATATTGTATTGAAAATATTTTCTTTCATATAAACCATTTAATTTTTTTGTTTGCACCTATGCAGATGAACACTTTACTATATAGAAATGCACTTTTTTTTATATTGTAGCGCTTCACATATTTTATAACATATACAACAGTGGAAATGGAGGAAAAGCTATTATGCTGTACTCCATGGTGGAAAAACGTTTACATTTTAAAAATATATTATCAAAAATTTTATAATAGAAACATATACATTATTGTTTTTTTAATTAGTTGATTAACTTTTTTTACATTAACATTAATATATCCCATTTTTATATATTATATAAATCTATATAGGGGCCGGTATAGGAGGGTGGTTTAGTGCGCTATAGTAAAGCAAAGACCATAGGATCGAATCCCGACCGTACTTCACACTAAGGCTGGTCCCCGCGGAAAGTTAGACCATAATACCCCCTTAATTAGGGGAGGCCTATAAGTTGTAAGATTTATATGAACAGGCATTATTATTATTATATAGAAAAATGAGTAACCTAATTATAGGTGAAAATCATATAAATAAGTTTTGTTTTGTTTGATCTAATTAATTTATCCTATTTATTTAGATTTTATTTTGGTGTACCTATCAATGATCCATTTTAAATTATAAATTATTGTAAATAAATAATAATAAAGTTTCTTGAACGATTCCTTATTACAATATACTTATTATGATTTAGTTGTTATCAATATTTTTATGTATCATTTCATTTATGTTGATATTATAGCCTTCTCTTTAATTATCTTTTTTTAATCACTTATTTATTTATGTATAGGTTTTCTGAAGTTTCCCTAAAGCCAGAGAACACGTGGAATCCTAAGACACTTATGAACTTTGTCTATCCCATGATTTCGTATTTTCTTCTTTCTCCAAAATACGCAGAAAAGAACACCATTATAGACTCTGCCATTACGGTAATTAGAAAAATCATGCTGAATTTTTTATTTTTTATTTATCTAAATTCAAAAGAATATAAATTTTAAAAAATGAGTAAATATTCAAGTACAAACATTTCTCTGTCCTCTTCTTAACTACTGTTTGTCAGGATTTTGAACATATAATTTTAGCTGTAATTTAATGTATCTTCCTAAAAGACAAGCATAAAACTCCTCATATCACTGGGTTTAATTTATTCTTAATTGATATATTATGTTTAAATAATGTGCCTTTATTTTAATACTTTACCTCATTTAATAAACAAATTTAAAAGAAAACAAATTTTTTTTTTTCAATTATAAGAGATCATTAATGTTGCTCTATTCTGATACATTATTAAATACTATGTTTTTGTAGGCAATTGGAAGTATCTGTCGCCTGTTGCCATGGAAGTACTACAGCCCCATACTTCGTAACTACCTTGCAAAACTGAAATCTAGTACTGATTATCAAAAACAGATGACTCGCTTAGTGTCCGAAGTATTAAATGCTTTTCACTTTGACCTCTCAGAAGCTGGAAACTTGCAGTCTGCAGAAATTTTGGAAACAGAAGAAATGACTAATAATGAAGGTATATAAGAAAGATATTTATTTATCTATATATTTATTTAAATTAATTTTTATAACAAATGTCTGTATATATATGTGTTAAAATAATATCTTGCATTTCTGGGTTTTGAATGATTTTAATGAATCCATGGATGTGATATAATTGAATCAGTTATTTAAAACAAAAAATGAGATATGTGATGTTTTCACAATTTTGAAAAGAAACCGAAAACCATTATATTCTAAAATTTAAAAAATATATGTCTACAAAAAAATATATCTGATCTAAACCATTTGAGAACTATTTAAACCTTTGCACTATTTGAGGACCCTGGGGGTTTAGGAGTATTAGTACATTTTTGAAGAAATAGAGCAAAGTGCATGATAGTAGATATGGGAAATATCGTTCTTTTTAATGAACTAGTCTCTTTAATTAAGTTTGCCGTATTGAACTAGTTCATAAGTTCACTCCGATTCTAGCACTATCTAAAGTAACACAGATGGTACTAGATCTAGTACCATAGAGTTACAGTAGGTGGCGACAGTAATAGTTCATTTAGTGAACTACAACTTCCATTGTGAACTTCAATCTACTGTGACACAGATGGTACTAGATTTAGTACTATATCGTTACAGTAGATTGTGGAAGTTGTAGTTCACTAAATGAACTATTACTGTCGCCATTTACTGGTAATACAGATGGTACTAGATATGTGAGATCCTCGGCTCCAATTTTAGTTTATTTTCAGTAATAACAATCTGTATATTTGACTTTTGATAGATAATATTTAATAAAATGTACTTTTAATAATGATTATTTGTTAAAAAATGAATTGATTAGCATTATTTTATTACTTTCACTAACCTATATATGTAATATGTAATGTATTGCGATCGATAAAATTTTCGAAACTGAGTTTTCAACAGAAATACACGTTTTGGAGTACCCTGAGTCCAAATAACCAAGTCCCAAAAAATGGTCTGTGTATATGTGAACACTCCAGCTCGAAAACGAAAAGTTGTACGAATCCTTAAAATCCTTGAAATACATTTTTATAATTTTCTCAAAAACGGCTCTAATGATTTTGATTAAACTTGGTGTAACATTTTATAATTAAGTGGTCTTTAATACCATTTAGGTCTTATCCCCGTTATTGTCATTTTACATGGCTGAAATGCGCAATGTTCATATACATCTTCCTCTAAAGTACCTTTAATACGGTTCATTTCAAATAATTAACTATCTCTCATTATTAAAAGTTACGAAAAAATGAATGGGGATTACATATATAGTTAAGTGAAAGTAAAAAAGGTTGATAAATGAAAGTTGTTTGATGCGCACACTGCATTAGATTTTTTATTATATTATATTGTTGATATCGTACATATTTCCCTTACATCGCTTTTACTAGATAGAAGAAATATGCCTAATGTGAGGGTTCTCGAATAAGTAGATTAAGTTTTGTTTAATTCTAAATTTAAAAAAAAATTGTTTTCCTTTTTAGATTCCGAAAAATTGGAAGAATCTGTAATCTCTGAAGAAGTTGAAGGTGAAAACAATGAAGAAAAAGTGTCTGAAGTTTCAAGAGATACACCTCTATGTAAATCTGCTGCTGAAAAAGTGGTCAATGAATTATCAAGAGTTATTTTACCGAACCTCCAATCGCTAATGGCTCACAAAAACGTTGCCGATTCCTATCACAAGGTTATTATTATTATTATTATTTATTTATTTTTGTCATTAGATATAAATTTATTTTGCCTGACCTTTGTATATGATTTTCTATGTTAATGTAAATTATATCATTGTAAATTGAAGAGAATGAGTATTTCTAAATTTTAACAAAGAAAGGGTATATTTAATTTTGAGTCCATTTTATTTATTTAACCTTTTTAACGGAACGTTGAAGTGGAGTTAGAGAAACGACTATGTATACCTCCTTGAAATTGGTCTTAAAACTGATCTATACCAAATTAATGTATTTCTGATTGATAGATTATATTTTTTTTATTAAAATATGAAAACATTTGGTACATCATTTTTTAGTCATTTAATGTTTTTATATGAATGTATTAGTTAAATAGGAGTTTATTATCAAGCGAACCATCAATCTTATAATTAATTTCTGAGATAATATTTGAATTTCGATTTATTTATTAATTTGTTTGTAACGATTACAGGTTAATAAGAAAACTATTAATTTTGAAAAAGACGAAGAAGACATCCTTAGGGCCCCGCTGGCAATCGCAATTGTGAAATTGCTACAAAAGCTGCCTTCCCAAGCCCTCCTGAAAAGAAACCTGCCAGGGTATGTTCTAATAATGATGCATGGATATTCTAGTGCAGTGCCAGCTTTAGGGCCGGATAAGCAGTGCAATTACTTGTTAAGAATAAAAAAAAATTAAAAAGCTCATGAGAATAATTAATTTTATCCTATTAATAAAACATCTGAATTAGAGAGGTATTAAATGAAATAAAATACAAATATTAATCAATAATACCTTAACTTAATATAAAATAGTTTAAGAAATAATTGAATTTTTTGGGGGAAGATAAAGCCAAACTTATAAGGCTGGCACTATAATAATATCAATTATATTATCATTTTCATTTGGATGCTATAAGTATATTATATATTGAGGGGGAATGGGCTAACGAAAAAGAAAATAAAGTATATGTAAGTATTATATTTGTGTATTATATTTTACAGAGTGCTGCTCAAGCTATGTAACTTACTGAAGTCTCATGGAGAGTCAGTACGGAGAACCGCTCGTTCCACCTTACAAACTGTTATGGCCTCTCTCGGCCCAAAGTATCTTCACATGCTCCTTTCTGAGCTGGCATCTCTTTTGACGAGAGGTTTCCAGGTACACGTATTGGCCTTCACTGTCCACAGTGTCCTTCAAGCTCTCGGACCCTTGTACACTAAGGGAGATCTCGACGATTGTATACACAAGACATTGGAGGTCAGTATTAGTAGTGCTACTCTTTGTTTTGGCTTATTTCATGGTCTTGCCTTTTATAATAACTAAAAAAAGTATTAAAAAGAATTAAGTTATGAATACCTTTCCAATTGAATTGTTAATTTCAAAAGTGAACCAACCTTTTTTTAATTTATTAAAAAAATTCAATAAAAATCGAAAATTATATATTTTCCATTTCAATTATGATATAAAACATAATTTTATTTTAAAATAAATTTAGAAATTATTTAATTATAGCACAATTTCCTAAAACCATTGATTATTTTAATATTTATTAAAGATCATTTAAATTTTAAATAATGCTGATATTCAGAACTAATAAGATTGCTATACATTCTGTTTGGGAAGAAGAAATATTATCTTTCCTTTATAATAATGAAACAATAAAATAATTTATTTTCAATTTTTATTCGATTCTAAAGTTCAAAAATGCTTTTAATTAATTATCTTTGCTTGCTCACTACCAAATGTAGTCAAGCATTGTATTCGTGCAAATGGAAAAAAAAAATGTTGTTCTCAGAATCGAAAATGTCCACTCGCGTTGTACGTTTCAGATCTCAAGGATCAAATTTGGTTCAGTGTCTGTAGTCAAATCGATGTGACGGTCATATCACCTACTACCGTTCATAAGCTTTTCATGACATTTTCAGCGATTATGCGGGTTGGTGCCTAGGTTGTCCCATATCAATTTTATCAAATTCCATCCAGCACTTCCTCTTGCGCATCCGTAAATAATGTATCAATTTTATCAAATTCTGTCCACTACTTTCAAATAAGAGACTTCCCCTTTCGGCTTTGATTTAATTCTTGTCCATTTTCATTTAAAATAACAGTAATTTTTGTTTTAATTATCCATACCTCTTTGTTTACCTACTGCCAAAGGTTTCTTATTTAATATCTACTTATTATTCATTTATTTTATTTTTACCCTGTGTGTTTTATATTTTGTAGCCCTGATGAAGACCTGTAAGGTGGGTCAAAATGCCAGCATAACCATTAAAAATGCTATTTTTAAAGTTTAGTATTTATTTGACCGCACCCCCGACCAACTCCTTCTCATATTATATCACGGTCAACCATCTCTACATATTATTATTATTATTTTCACTCAAATGTTATGTAAATTTGTATTATGAATTTTCTTTTATAATTACATTTTTTTTTTTTTTTTTGTTGTTTTTTTAGGTTTGTACAGCAGATCTTTTCGGAAATGCTGCTGAAGAAAAAGAAGTCAACCAGATCACTGCCAAGACAGTGGAAGCTCGAGTCAATAGGAGCTTTGATATTTTTCATATTTTGGCTAAGTATACTTCGGAGAAATACTTACTTGATATTCTGTTGCCATTGAAGGAGGTGAGAATTTTTTTTATTTATATTTTTATAGTATTTTGAACATTATGTGTTGAAATATTGAAAATAATGTTTTTGGTTTTGAATGTTAAATGAGCAATAATAATTCAAGAACACAGATAGACATTATTAACAAATATTTTTTTTAAAAAAAGTTATATAAATTAAATTGGAAAATTAAAATCAATTAATCATTAAAACTTTTAAAGTTAAACAATAGTTTGTTTGATGTTTTATACCACTAGGTATAAACTATGACTAGGTACTAGACAAATTATGCCTAGGGTGCTACAGCAAAAATATTTATAGACATTGTTTTTTTCTATTATGTTTTTTGTGGTAGTGAAATGATTGACCATTGGGGGAGTATAAATAAAAAAGGTTTGCTTAATGTACTAAGATATATTTTTTTTTTTTAATTTTTAATTGAAATTTATACCTGTATTTAAAAATCAAATACAATAAATAAATGTGAATAAATCAAGAATAATGACATAAACAGACTTGTCAAGGGCACTAGCGGATCCAGGATTTAATTTGGAAGGGGCTTCACCCCGAAAAAAAGATTTTTTTTTTCATTTATATAAAACGATAATTACGTTGAAAAAAAAAGAAAGAAATTAACTACCTAAATTGTGTTTACGTGATTCTTAAAGTCCTGTTAAATGTGATTACACAAACAATAATACTTTAAGAGATAGTTTTTAATATTTTTTTCTATAAAACATATTTATATTTTACCCCCCTTCCTCCCGTAGATCCACCTGTGGTCAAGGATCTACCCAATGGCAGGACATCAAAGTATAAATATTAAATTTGTCTTTTAACATATTAATCATTGGTTCATACATTTTTTAGGAACTGTCACGTACGCTTTCCTCGCAAACTATCACAAAAGTCGCTAACTGCTTGGAGCAAGTTGCCTTGGGATTGACTGAGAACACATTCCTGGAGCCTGAGGAACTGTTGGAGTTTGCCTATGGTATTTCAACCGAGAGTATCCCAGCACTGATGTCTAAGCAACAAGTCAAAGTTGATGCCAAACAGCTTGAATATGAGTCACGAAGGGGACCTGATATTTATCTCATACCTCCAGGTCTGAGTCTATATTTATTTATATCTCCTATGATTGAATTATGCCAATATTTCTAAAAATTGCTCCTTCTTTTATCCAAATCTGTCCATTATTGTACAATAATAAGTGTCAATTCTTTTTATTTAAAACAAATATACTTTCTGTTAACTTGTTCCAAATTATTATAAAATAAGATTAATTATTAAAATATTAGATTATTGAAACTTATCAATGAAAAATTTTCTATAAATATCTTTGTTTAAGATTTTTATACATTAGTGCAGAAATCTCCAAATGACTCCCTGCCCGCAAGCAGCTCCAGTTCGCCCTGTAAAGTTTCTGTGATTACATGTATAAATTTTAAAAACTACACACAAAAATATGAAATTTATTAAATCACTCCTACGCGATGTTTCTACAACATTTATTGTATAAGTTTTTTTTTTCTTAAAAAGCCCATTTCACCGCTAAAGTTTCATTTATTGAATAAGATTTTTTTTTTTTTTATCGCAAACCCACAGAACTTACAAGGAAGTATCAATGTGGTCCGTAGGCCAACAAGTCTGAAGACCCCTTCATTAGGGCAAGGATTTCCAACTAATGTTGAGCAAACTTCTTCCACATTTTCCCAAACATAATTTAATGAAAAATTAATTGTTCAAATTATCTGAATATTGGAAACATCATACGACCAGAAAAAACATTACAAAATCACTTTGTTCTAAGCAAATAACACTGTCTCAGCCCACAGAATTAGTTTTGTTCCAGCAATAAGAACAGTATCCTTATCGAAATAACAGAATATTTATCTTTATTACAGGGAATTACAATGCAGTTGTGGTTAAAGCAAACAGATTGTACTTTAAATTTGTATATATGTGTTTCAAAAAGGTCCTTAGCCCTTCATTCCTTTCAACTTTATATCTATGTAAACATCAATTTTAGAATGTTTGATTCATGATAACTAACGAAAAAGAAAAATTGTGCACCTAATTTAGAAGATGAAATGAGAGTGCATTGTCCTATAAAAAGTCAAATATTGCTATTTTTGTGATTAGTATATTGGATTTTTTGCATCAATGGAGAAATTGTTATTTTTTTTTTTTGAAATATTTTTTTTTCTACAATCTTGTTGAATCAATTAATTTAACTCAATCTTTTGTTTATTTTTCAGAACCAAAACGGAAAAAGGCTCTGATGAGTGCAGAATGTTCCAAGACCAATGAACACCTTATTGTTGAGTTCGGTCTCAAGCTCCTCTACTTCTTGCTGAAGAGGGAGAAACTGAAGGGAGAAAAGAGTAAAAGTATGCTTAATCCATTGATCAAGCACCTGGTTGACTGCACTGAATCTCATCATGTGAAGGTTATTTTTTTCATTTCAGTTGAAACTGGTATTAGTTAGATTTCTGTCAAATTTTTGGCGGATGAGAAATGCTTTATACCATAGGTGGGGTACCGCGGTCTCAGAGGCCGCTTGTGGCCTCTGTAATGTAGTTGTGCCATCGGAGGTCACAAACGGCCTCCAAACGTTTTGCGCAATATTAACCAAGTTCTAAAATTAATTAATATTTACTTATTTAGGTAATGACAATTTGAAAATCAATAGAATAATTTTTTAAGTTTATTTATTATCAGCCAATTTTACACCAATTTTTAAAATTTTGTCAACTTAAAGACATCACATCTAATTACTACGTTTCGGCTCGTTGAGCCATTTTCAAGTCTAAAAAAATTTTTGCAATTTACAATCACATGATAAGGTAATTTTAACTTAATTGAATCATTTAATAAGAAATAATTTGAGTAGTAATAATGTTATAAAATAATTAAAGGTGGACATGACAAAAATAAAAATTTTTATTATGAGTGGGTATTTACATACGTACAGGTACATGATAGATATTTAGGTATATGGAAAGAATCTCTATATGTTGAAATATGTAATGTTTTAAATATGATTGTAAATTGTAAAAAAATTTTTAGACTTGAAAATGGCTCAACGAGCCGAAATGTAGTAATTAGATGTGATGTCTTTAAGTTGACAAAATTTTAAAAATTGGTGTAAAATTGGCTGATAATAAATAAACTTGAAAATAAATAGTATGCACCGAAGAAGAAGTTGAGAAATATTGTCAATAGAATAAGGTTGAATTTATGTTTGTGGGCGTGTGTATTTAGTTATAAATCATCAGGAAACCAAAATATTTTGCTTGCACTTTCCTAACATCTGCTACTATTTGAATAATTAATCATGCACACACCTGACCTCTTAAGTTAGGGGCAAATGTGTTGTACTAAGTCCTAATGACTTTAATTTTCTTATCGCTTATAAATGTTAGCATGATTGAACTGTGGGCTTAAGTGTGATATTTAAAACATTACATCTTAGGAACTTTTATAAAAAAAAAGAAAGAAAGAAAGAAAAGTGCAGGAAGTAAATTTTGTTACTTAATTTAAGAACTTATTTCCTATTCTCATTGAATAATAAAATTATTAAGGTCTCACATTGTAATTATTTTATTAATTTTCTTTTTTAGATTTGTACACTCGTCGTGCAGTGCCTTCCGTGGCTGTCCCGTATGAAGCTGTCTTCCTTCAGCGTTTACCTTTGGGCGTTTTACAAGTCAATGTTTCAGATCCTCCATCGTTACGCATGTGCTGGTCTTAGTAAAGGTGACAACTACGACTTGGTTATGGCTACCTTTAAGGTAATTCTTTTGAAAATTTTGTTGAATTTTTAGAATAGTTAAATGTTATTTTCTCCTTAATCATTATTTGTATAAAAAATTTCACATACTTGCTTTCAAAAATGTTTCTTCTGAATAATGGTAATAGTAAAGGAAAAAATAAATAATAGATATTAAGAGATATCTAAACAAATACAAATTAAATAAAAATAGCATCATCATTACTTTCCTCATTAATGATTTTATTTAGTTTTTAACTACCTATTATTGTATGAATGTTTATTATTATTATGTAAATGTTTAATTTGTTCTAAATGGACAACAATTCTAAAATAGTAAAATTATTTTTATTTTCCACACGAGCCATGACTTGTGTTAAAATGAAAATTATTCTACAAATGACACTTCAGTTGTGAAATGAGCTTTATAAGAGAAACTACTCATTCAATGAATGCTGTTGTAACTTTGTGTTTGTGTGATCTAATAAATTTCATATTTTTAAAATTTTACTACGTATCCAAAGATACTTTTGCGGGCCAGATTGGAGTTGCTTACAGACCGTAGTTTGAAGACCCCTGGCCTAAACCCTTAATCAAACTCTACAACAATAGCAAGTCATTTGTCCAATATAGTTTTGTTGGTCATTGGTGTGGATCCGATTTTTTCCAATGTTAACATTGTCACTTGTGTTGGTTGTTCCAGAGTGGTTTCCTTTCTCACACATCAAAAACATTTTTACTTTATATTTCCTTCCATATAACATTCTCAGTTTTATTTCATAACAACACTATCCTACTCCATAATATTTACTTAAAATTATAAATATAAAAAAAAATATGTATAACTTAATTTTAATTCTATTAAATTAACCAAACACAGCTCCAAAATACTACGATATTTTATGTAATCTCGCCTTCTTACTATAATATATATATAGTTAAAATAATAATAAGTTAAATATCATTGTCTTTGTCTATTTAATTAGGTATTAAAAACTCGTTAATACCCATTTGATTTCTACTTGGATCATAAGATAATGTGATCACAAAATCGAGAAAAAAGATGGCCTTCAAAAATATTGAACCGTTTGGCGTGACCTATATCCCCAAATTTTCAAAATAACGAGGTTATATGGAACAAACAGCCCAATATTGTTGTAGGCCACTTTTTTTAATCGTTTTTTTTATCAAATTATCTTACGATCCAAGTAGAAAGCAAATGGGTATTTACAAGTTTATGTTACCTAATTAAATAGACTAAAGTTTGTCACCCTTTAGATTGAAAACATTCCAATTTCAAGAGTTTTCTTAAATAAAATAGTTGGAGGTTACGATGAGATGAAACTATTAACGAGGTTTCAGGCGGATGTTAATAATTCAATAAAAAGGGGTCTGTACTACGGACAGATATGTATAACATATCATTGGAAAGCTGAAAACTTTTAGAAAAACTTACAAGCAATATTATTTAACAAAAACTAAATGGAAAACTTAAAAATTATCTTCAGGCTGGATAAACCAAAAATATATTCTTGGCACCTGTGCATAGTGTGTTAAGTGCAAAAATAAATTTATAGAAAAACCTGATTGAAATTTTGAAATTTTCACAAGTGAAAGTTCGATTTTCGAGTTTTAATCCATGATTCACAAAGAAATGTTCATCTCTGTAGTAACCATATAACTTAGCCGATTAGACACAACAAAAGAGATAAAATTAGATTTCTGGTGATACCTATAAAAATTTTAAAAATTGCACTTAACACACTTTTCTTTTTATAAACCATTTTATCATACTTTTATGAGATATGGCCCAAAAAAGTGCTTGCAGCTGAAAATATTTCAAGCAGTGTTTACTTGTGAGAAAAACATATGGTAATAACCTTTAATAACTTAAGGTTCGATAATAAAATTAATTATTAACTAGTTTGAGCAGATATTCAATTATTTAAGTAGAGTGGTTAGTGAAAGTTGTGTGATGCGCATGTCGCTCCAGATTTTTTTATTTATTATTTGCTCTAATTTTTCAGTCACTTGCTGCCTTGGTGAGGGAAGAACGTAAGTGGGAACTTACCAATGAAGAAAAAAGATTGTTACTCATGTACTGTGAACAAGATATCGAGAATAAAGAACGCCAGGTTACAGCGTTCACACTCCTCAAAGCGTTGTTATCTCGACATATCGATGCTAAGGAGATACACAGCGTCATGAATAAGGTTTCTAAGATATGCATTACGTCACCGATAGACAGTGTCAGGCTTCAAGCAAGACAGGTTAGTATTACTCTTCTTTTTAATGTACTTCATTAAAAGTTATTGATAGGAATAAATTTTAGTGACTTTGGTAAGTTAGGTTTGCACCAAAATTGTCACTAGTAACATTGTTATTAGCAAAATTTTAATGTAATTTTTGCTATTGATGTTTGAATGCCTAATGTTTAGACAAGACATCTCATCCACAGGAAGCGACAATACGTAAATTATTTGCCAAAACACTTTAGGCTAACAATCCCTCTCAATATTAGGTTTAGATTACTGAGATTCTGTAGATGTAAGATACTATATTAACCCTTTGAAGAGCGAGATTTATTTGATTTATCCCCTTCTATTTATATTAGTCCGTGGTACAGACCCCTTTTTATCGAATTATTAACATCCACCTGAAACTTCGTAAATAGTTTCATCTCATCGAAACCTGCAACTATTTTATTTACAAAAATTCTTGGAATTTGGGCGTTTTCAATCTGTAGAGGGCAAACTTTGTTTCTATTATGTACTAAAAACTCGTAAATACCCATTTCCTTTTTACTTGGAACATAAGATAATTTGATCACAAAATCGAGAAAAAAGATAGCCTTCAAAAATATTGAACCATTTGGCGTGATCTACACCCCAAAAATTTCAAATTACGAGGTTATATGAGACAAACAGCCCAATATTTTTGTAGGCCAATTTTTTTATCGATTTTGTGATCTTACTACCCAATTAGAAAACAAATGGGTATTTACGAGTTTTTAGTACCTAATTAAATAAACAAAGCTTGTCACCCTTTAGATTGAATACGCTCCAATTTCAAGAGTTTTCGTAAATAAAATAGTTGTAGGTTACGATGAGATGAAACTATTTACAAAATTTCAGGCGGATGTTAATAATTTGATAAAAAGGGGTCTGTACCACGGACTATACGTTTGATTCTTGTGTAAGGGAGAGAACAAATCGCAACCACTGAATTTGAAGGTTGAAAATAAATATTGTCCAACTTTTGAATTGAATTCTATTTGCTTTACTATTATGGCTGTCTCCTGATTGATTAAACGTATATCAGCTGATTCGCTCAGTTTTATTTGCTTTATCTATCATACTGGGTTGAAGAAAGGCTGAAAAAAAGTGCAGCAACTCTCAATATGTCTGTGGACTTCATATGCAATTTCTGTGTCTTAATTTTGAACATTTGCACCAAAAGTTGGTTGATTAATATATTGAAGGCTGGATTACTGGCAGACTGAATTGATAACGTTTCTACCACGGAACAATATTTATTTTCTACCATGAGGTTTTAAACCAAAGGGCTGCAAGTTGTTTTCTTCTTTACATATGTGTAGTTCTCTTCTACACATAAAGTAAAATTATAAACAGATAGGGGTTATGCCTAATAAATTTCTCTCTTCAAAGTATACTTATACTTGTGTTAGTAGGTGTATTATATATGTTTCAATATATTCAAGGTTACAGTTATATTGACTTCGTGAATACGATTACAGTAATATTTATTGCATGATTGGTACTGGTATTGGTGGGCCTATTCGTCCTTTTTGCCATATTACATGATTACATTTACATTAATATTTATTCGTGATTACTATTACAATAATTAATATTACATGATTATACAATTATAATCATAATCTGGTTTCTAATTACGATAGTAATCAGGTAATCGTGACATGTTTCTGCTATATTTGTAGTGCCATTGTAGCAAGTATAAAATTAAATTTAAGTGTGTGCGTATCGGTGTTTGTGGGCGCTCTCACATGTCATGATTATCCCTTTAAATGGTTGGACCAATTTTGTTGCTTTTTGGGGGGGATTTTGTTGGGTTTAGTAATTTTTTTGCTATTAGATTAATTTCTTTGAAAAAAGGCAATAGCAAGATTTAAATATGTTAAAAAGTATTAAAACTTACACCTGCTTTGTGTTACTATTTTTATTTTATAATAGATCAGATTATGGTTATGGTTAGTAAAATAAATATTTATATTTATAATTATTTTCTTTATATTTCTCTGCAGTTTTTAAAAGTTAGCTTAACCTGTATGTTTCTTTTGTGGTCTACCTTTTATAATTAATTATTTAAAAACATGTTATAGATGATGTTGACCTACATGATGGAGTACAGCATTGGTAATAGATTAATGAGATTTGTCGAGTTCTTCACCCAGCAGCTGGATTATGAAATCGAGAGCGGGAGGACAAGTGCCTTGGAGATGATCAGTATGTTGGTTACAGCGTTCCCTCAGGTTAATATTGTTTTTTTATTGTGTGTGTTTGTGTGTTAGAAAACAGCTGTTTCAAATTAAAACATTTAATTGATTATGAGTACTGGGAAAATCTAAATTACAATGGAACCTCACGATAAGTTAGAATAGAAGATGGGATCTTTTTTACTTAATTATCGCCGGTTACTTTTTATCACTTATTTAGAACTGTCACATACTTGTCAAATACACATGATTTAATAAATCATTACAATTGTACTAATGAGGTTATAACATGAACCAAAAGAATAATGTTTTAATGAGGGTGTGAAATTTAAAAATATGAACTTCTTAAAATTAAATAATATTCTTTTATTGCAAATGAAGAGTATCAAAATGATGATGAAGAAACAAATATTACATATAAATGCAATTTAATATTAATTTTCAAAAAAATATGTATCATTTTATGACATGTAATTTTTTAATAATAACTGTTATTTTACTTAAAGTAACTAGTGATACTTAAGTTAAAAAGACCATAGAGAACAAACTTTATTCTGGAGCTAAGTGCGGTATGCTTAGTCGTTCCTCTCTAATAACTCCATTTGGATGTTACATCAAAAAGAGGAAAACTTTTAAGAAACTCAATGAAAAAAAGTTTTCTCTGAACCACTTTGATTGCTATACATACAACCCTAAGTCCCTTTGGAATAACAAATATACCAAAATAAATAAAAAACATTTCTGGCGAAAAAATATATTAGGCGTTTTGAAAAAGTATCAGTTATATTTGAATCAGTGTTGTTATTCTATTATACAGGATGGTCCCGTAAGTAGAGGGAAATTTTACTGAGTCTGATAGCAGATCTCATGGCCTACAAAAAAGTTCATTTAAGTAATCGGTCGATTTTCAGAAGAAAAGTAAAAAAATCCAAGTTTTGTGGATTTTTTTAAAGAGATTCATGGTTTTTGTTGAATAGGAAGCGATAACTAAAGAAATATTTAATTTAAATGATTAACAATTACTTTACTTTAATTTAAAAGGGAATTTGTCATTGTTAAAAACATTTAAAGAGGACATTTGAGCGTCTAAATTAAGCTAAGTTCTATTTTTTTTTTTTAAAACATAAATTATTCAAATTTTTTTTTTTTTTTATCATCCAACTATGCAATAGTTATCCCACTTTTAGAAAAACTACCTCTTTTAATAAGGTTTAAGTTTATATTAATTAAATTGACGTTTATTAGACAAAAAATTTAAATTCACCTCAAGTTGTGTAAAGAAATGATGTGATTTTCTATCCAGTCTCCTAAAAGTATCCTATTTTTCTGCAAAAATGACTATAATTAACTGTTGCAAATTATTTCTTATTTTCCATGATCTGAGATCTATTTTAATAAATATTGCTTTGACTTCGCCTCTATTAATATTAATTTTTTTATTTAAAAATGTATTTTTAGCTTTTATTCTTAATATCATTAATCTTTATTTTTATTGTCTTTGTTATCTTATCTTCTATTAAATCTTTAACTTTCAATTTTTATAATTTTAGTTCAATTGAACTATCATAATCATCTGTAACTATTCTAAACTTTTCAAATTTTAAATTGTATTTCTTAGCTATAGTTTAGTTATGTGTGTAGTAATTCATCAAATTGTAATATAGGGCGAAAATGACCCAGGTGGTTGAAGAGCCCAAAACATGTATAAATAAATAATAAATAAATATTTTTCATTTCAAATGGCTATGAAATTGTGTTTTTCTCCCAGATTTCTATCATAGAAATTGTTCCGCATTTATCAGTGACAAACATAATGTTTCTAGTCCTAAAAATTATGTTTAAAATAAAGAAACCTACTGATTTCTTCAATTATTTTCATGAAAAGATAAATATTAAGGCTAGAAACATTAAGGTTGTCACTTATAAATACGGATCAACTCCTATGATAGAGATATGGAAGAAAAACACAATTTCATAACCACCTTACATGAAAAATACTTTAAAAATCGTTATTTTAATTTTTATATATATATATATATATATATATATATATATAGAGAGAGAGAGAGAGAGAGAGAGAGAGAGGGGGGGAGAGAAGATATATTTAGGCAATTATTTTTATTATAATTCATCCCAGATCATGGAAAAACAAGAAATAAAAGTTTTGCAACAGTTAATTGCAGTCGTTTTTGCTGAATAGAAGATGGATAGAAAATCACTTCATTTCCTTACACAACTTCAAGATGAATCTCAAGTTTTTGCCTAATAAGTACCCAGTAGTCCGGGAGGACTTATTCGAGGACACTTCGCATCCAAGCGACTTCTGACGGTAGGGAAATATTCTTTTAAAGTTGCTCCTTTCGAGGTAGTTACCCTCTGCCGATTCCACTCATCTGTGGTGGAATCCTCCCGGATAATCCTTTTCTATTTTCTTGGGTCTTCTGCAACCCCCTGGATATTCTCTGGAAGACCTGCTGAGCCTTCTCTTTTGAACTTAAATATCAACGAGTCTTCTTGCAGGAGAAGATCAAGAGGTACCCCTCCTGCTAAGTTCTGCACCACTTAGTGAGACACATTTCAGTATGACTTGGTGACAGAGCCGTATGTTGAATTGCCGCCAATCTGTGTTTCTGACTGTGTGAGAGGTTCTGAGACCACACAGGAGAGGTGTATTTCAGAATACCCAGTATCATTTCAAATCATTGTAAATGGTCCTCGTAGCTGGATATCTAAGGGCACAATGCATGGCAATGGCCAAAATGCACCCCCTAGGCGACTAAGGCTGTTCAAGGCTAGGGCCACCCTATTTCCTAAGTAGTCTAAACGAAGGGTCATATTAAATCCTCTTCCAAATCTTATGCCAAGGTAGGTGACCACCTCACTTGGACATACTCTCGTTCCCTATATTCATTGATTGATAGGGTTGTGCCCTATCCATCTTTTCCTTCAACAGGATCACCTGGGTCTTTGATGCGGCCATTCGGAACTTAATCCTCTCACACAATTGCCCGACCACGTTGGCACACTGCTCTGCTTATAGCTTTATTCCGGCTCTGCTGTTCGACGCTACTACTGCCGTCAAGTCATCGACGTAACCCGTGGCAGGGAACCGCTCATCTTTGAGCATATCCAGCAACTCATCAAATACTAGCTTTCATAGAGTCGGACCAAGGACTGATCCCTGAGGGCATCCCCTCTATGGAAGCTTCAGTTTCATAAGAGCTACCCCTGATCTTAACAAATCTGTCCTGGAGGTAGCTACTAACGAGAGCATATAGGCTACTGGGGGCATCGTACTTCTGTTGCTGCTGAAGTGCTCGCGGCCACCAGACACTATTGAAGACAGAGGATATGTCAAAAAGCAGCAAACATGACATACCGCTCGGCCTTCTGTTCAACGTCCGCACTCCAAGCAGGGCATCAGCGGTTCCCTTTCCCTCGTGAGAACTGGTCGTAGAACGGTTAAGTTGAGATTCTCCTTGCTCATTATAATTATCCAGGGTGTTTAAATTTTGGGATATTTTAGTCCAAATGTTCAAAACAGTCGTTATTATTTGGTATTTTGGTGCTATCGTTTTCCCTTTCCAACTCTCTAACTCATTATCACGTCAAAATACAATTTTGAATTATAGATGAGTACAAAGAGGATGAAATGCTTAAAATTTCTCTCAATTACAGGATGCAGGTCCGAATTTTAGTTTCTGAGCTATTTTATTCTTAATTTAAAAATTAATCGACTTTACCTGAATGAGCTCTACTTAGCCAAGCATGATGGCTCAGGCTAAAGAAGTTTCCACTTCAATAAAATCTGCAAAAATAGTTGTTAGTGTTGAGTTGGGGAAGTTTTGTGATTGTAAAGCTACTATTTATGTTAGTTACTTCTTATTTAACTATATGGTTCCATTTATTTATTCCATCATATTTTTTTAGGCTAAATTCACTCAAATTCACTATTTGAGCCTATTTCAGTTGACAGAATGACTAACTCCAATTTCAACATTTTTGATTATTAATTTTAATGATATTTCTAACGGGAAAATTTATACCTTTATCCACAGTTCTATATTTCTACACACACAATATTCTATATTACAATTACCTACTCTGGAATCAACTTACTCACTCTCTGTACAAATATTATAAATTTTTCCAACTAGAAATATTACTAAAATGACATTACAAAAAAATGTTGTTTACAAAGGCTCATATATGCCTAGAGAGATTTGAAAGTACATCTATATATTCAATCTATTAATGATTATCGATTTAATGACTATTAGTTATCCAACTGTTACATGTTTAATGTTGGGATTCCACAAAGGGAAAATTCATCAAGTTATTCACTACTTTAATTAATACTAAATTAATTTTCGAAATGGTTATATGATGATTTTTCTTTTATAATGTTGCTCTGTTTTGCTTTTTTAAATTATTGTATGTGTACAATTTATCTTGGTGTACTGGTGTGTTTATATTACTATTATCTTATTATCAACTTTCAATTATATTCCTTTTTTTTTTTTCCTACCCCCCAGGAATTTCTTGATGACAAAATACAATATATATATAAATGTATATATACATAAATTTTCAATTTCCTTTTATTGCCCAAGGGCATTTTAAGGTAAGAGGGCTATGCACGCTGTATGCGTTCTTTGCATCTGTGGCCAGAGGCCTTTTATTATGCCACTGGGCATGGAGGGACTGCCCTGCATTAATCATTTTTAAATAAATTTTATTATTTTTTATATTCCATTGTCGATGTTTTGTTGAATGCGAGAATGGAAACATTGCTGAGCAATACTGTCTACAAAAATGTATTTTTAGTAAGTTTTAAGAAAATTAGAAATAAATTAAGATATGATAGATACCAAACATCAAAGATAGTCCGCAGTTCAAACCCCTTTTTATCAAATTATTAACATCAGTACAAAACTTAGTGAATGGCTTCATCTCATCTTAACCTACAACTTTTTTATTTACGAAAATTCTAGAAAATGAGGAGTTTTCAATCCGGAGATTGATAAACTTTGTCTTTATTGAGGTATTAAAAGCTCATGAACGCCCATTTACTTTACACTTAAATCATGAGATAATTTGATCACAAAATACTCCCCCAAAAAAAGGTGCCATATAAAATATTGGGCTGTTTGAGATGACGTCTACCCCCAATGGTCAAAATAACGAGGTTATATAGGCCAGGCAGCCTAATATTTTTAAAGACCACCTTTTTTCTTGATTTTGTGATGAAATTATCTTACAATTCAAGTAGAAAAGCCCCATTTGTAAACATTTTTGTAACCTAAAAACAGTTTTAGGTTATGATAAGATGAAAAAATTTATGATTATTTAGAGGGATGTTAATAATTTGATAGTAAAAATAGGGACAGTGTAGGACTTTAATTGAAGTTTTGAACCAAAAATTAATTAAAAGGGATCTATACCATGGATTAAGAGTTGAAATATTTCAAATAAAAAAATATACTTAACAAAAAAAAAAAAATAATAACTTTTAAGTAAAATTGTTCATGAAGATAGATTAAGGGCCTAAAATATATATATATAATAAATTTAAAAAAAAAATGGGCCTGAAACATCGACAATGTAGTATAAAAAATAATCACATATTTCTTATGGATAGCTAAATATTTATGATTTATTTATAGTTGTTTCTTTATATGATATTTGATTTTTTTTTTTTAATTTAGTATAAGATTGAAAATTGTATTACACTTAAAAAAAATGTTCCATAATTAGAACTAATAAAGTTTTTATTCTCAATAATATATTATTAAAAGCTGTAATTACTGTCAACAGGAAGCGCTTAATATTGTTGCCAGACATATCTTCCTAAGCGTTTGTGTGATGTTCGACTATGAACAAGCCGATGAAAATTCTACTAGAGCAACTGAGATCATCCATCATTTGATTAAAAATGTTGAGCCTAACTGCTTGGAAATTTTGTTCGATTACCTCCGTGATTGGATTAAGGACTTGGAGGAGGGGGATGAGGAGGAGAAGCAGAGGAAAAGGATGAAGGTATTGCTTTCTTTCTTATTCAATATTGTAAACAAACAAAAAATTAACTTGAACTATTTGGTCCGTGCGAATAATTCGCATAGTATATTGGTCATTAAACAATTGACTGTACAAACAAATCTGGTGTATCCACTCACACGACTTTCCTAACCATTTCAGAAAAGTTTTTATATCTTAACATATGTTCATCAAGAACAAAAAAAAAAAAAATTGAATTAGATGTATTTTCCTGAAAATTGATCAAAGAAAAGATTTGAGTATGATTTATTTGATAAACTAAAGCAATGTAAACCGGCTTTAGGTAGATCAGTGTAAAAATTTCAACACCCTCTGATATTGCTGATCAAAAACTTTTTGCCATAGCCTAATTATGTCAAACAATAATTTCTGTTAAAAGTAAAGGAAATAGTGAAGCTTGTGTGATACGGGCAACAGATTTTCATATTTTCACTTAGTTATCTTTTTTCTCTCATTCACTCCTTTCTGACACCAGGATATGAAACCGTAATCTTACATTGGAAATTGAAAAGCTGTAACTTCATTAATAGTTGTCAAAAATGAACAATTTTTGTATAGTTTTGTAGAGAATTTCATTACCTTTCAAAAAAAGGCTCTGAAAGGTATCATCAAAAACTGCATATCCGAAATTTGACCTGATCACAATACTTTCCTTAACTAGTGTAGGTAGGAAAGTAATAAATTAAAACATGTGTAGAAAATAGAATAAGCTGTATCATCGCTAATACTGGTTCGATTCCGATGATTTCTTTTTTATTTTGTTGGTAATTTAATTACCTTTCAAAAGTTTTGTTATAAATTTTACCATAGAATTATGTACTTAGCAAGTTAGGCTCCAAAACATTTTTCTTTTCTCTATAACTTTTTTTCCTGAATTTTCTCGGGAATTTAGTTCATATACGAAAATTGAAAAGACAATTATTAGAACATTATAGGAAAGTTTCATCAAAATCGTTAGAGCCGTTTTCGTGCTACAGTCTATAGAAAAATATGTTTTTCATTTATTGAGCGCAAGCTATTGCTCATGGAGCTCCCAATTTTTGTCGCAGGCATCAGTTGTCAAAACCCAACAAAATAAAAAAAGAAGCAACAAAATCGGTTCAGTAGTTCCTGAGAAAATCTTGGCACATACAGATCAATGGCTTAAAATGGTTTTTCAGACTCAGAGGGCTCTGAAACGTATAGATCCGTCGAAAACCGCATATCGGAAATTTGACCCGATCGCAATACTTTCCTTACCTAGTTTAGGTAGGAAAGTGATAGAAATAAGTTAATGCTATGTGTTATGAGATAGAGGAAATAATTTTCTTTTTATCAGTCGAATCATATTAGCCTTTAATAGTAATAAACAAAAAAATACAGTAATATAATGTTATATATCTTTGCTAATAATTGTCCGATTTCTATGATTTTTATTTTATTTTGTTGTGAATTTAGTCATCTTTCTAATAAACATGAGTGCACAAAAAAATGTATCCTTTTTGAGTTATTTGCAAATAAAGTTTCTTTTCCTATATAACTTTTTCCTGATACTTCGGGAGGTCATAACTATAATTTATTACTGCTCCATGAAATTCCCTTTCATTTGATACCTCATTCATCAAAATTTATTGCTCCTGAGAGCTGTAAGATAGATTTACATTGTGAAAAACTACCATTTTATATATAAAGATAGCTTTTTAAAATAGTCAGTCTAACATCTATTTTAACTTAAGCTTGCAATGTGTATTGATAGCGCAATCGGCCAGAGTACTGGACTGGATGTTTTAGAAAGGGAATCTGTAATAAATCTATGTTACTGCGGTGATTTCTTGACTATAAATATTTACGAGGAGTTGATCGGGAGGGGAGGGGTGTGCGGTCAAATAAATACTAAATTTTGAAAATAGTATTTTTAATTATTACGCCGACCCATCTTGCAGGTCTTCATCACGTAACGTCATGTCACAATCAACCACCTCTACATCATTATAAATATTTACAATATACAATTCGAATTTCAGCTTTATTTACACAGTGAAAGTTTTTGTTATGGTATTGTTACAATGGAATTGATATAATTGCTTGATAATTCTATTTTAATTTCTTGAATAAATTAGTTTCATGTTTTTCAACTTTTTAAAACTTCAAATTTGATTAATATTTATCTATCCTACACCAATCTTTTTCTACTTTAGTTTAGTTTCTTATTTAAATAATATGCTCAAATTAAATAATATTATTGTTAAAATTCATAGCTGGGTTTCCGCCGAGTGGGGATGCAAGTGATGGGTTTCTTTGCTGAAATCGAGAAGGATGATTTTGCAAAGAGACTCGATGATTTCTTCTCACTGGTATCACAGGAGTTCCTTTGTAATTTTGGCGATAAAATGCCTGGAAAGTTTGTCCTCATTACTAACGGAAATGGAAAGAAGGAACCTAAAGTGACCCAAGGGAGGAGCCGTCTAGGCTTCTTAACTCTTGTGACCACCATCAAGGTAATTTATTAAATGATTAAACTGTCATTGCTTCAATTTCTTTATTTTCTTACGTTTTTCTAACACTATTTAAATTTTAATTGTGAAATATAATTTCTTATACCAAGTACCTAGTTCTAGTTATAAAAACTCCATTAATAGTAATTTGAATATCCATTATTATTATTATTATCCATCATCCAGTTTTTTTCTAAATAAATGAATTATATTTATGTTGAAAACTTGATTATAAAATTGACTATATTGATTTAAGGTTCTTAAAAACTGCCCATTGTCTCTTCAGGATGACAAATATAAAGAACGCATCGATATTATACGAGGTATGTATTGAATAAAATTTATGTATGAACCTTTTTTTTTTCTTCAAGTATTTTTAATCTGTATTTATTTGATTTATTTTACAGATAAATGTTTTGAATTTGCATGCCATGAGCATCCCTGGGTACGTCTTAAAGCTTTAGAGTTACTTCTTCTCATAAAGGAGACGAGAAAGGAGAAAGACTTTAGCAAAGACTTTGTGTTTAATCTTTATGATATTATGTTGCCCCCAGCAATCATTCACACTGTCAAACAGGTATATATTCATATATTATTTATATCTTAATACAAGTTTATATGAATTAAATATATTCAACCTTGAACTAATCATTTAGAAAAAATATATATACAGACATGAATAATATAATGAATAATGAAGAACATTATTTTTAGTTTAGATTCAGCTCAGGAATGAATACATTTGTATTAAATAATTTCATTCTATAAAAAATGGAATTATTAAACAAATCAAATTTCAAGAATTGTTATTCTGTTGTTTATTATATTTTGTTAGTCTGAAAATAGCCTACATAAACATAAAACGCCAGCTTTCATTTTTAAAAATCCTATTTGTTTTGTTTTTATTTTAAAATAACTGATATTCATTCCTTTAATGGACGAATAATAATGAATGGTTAATAAGAAAAACATATTGAGTTGAGAATATATTTAGCCCTCAATATTTTTAATTTTTAAAAAAAGTTGATATAGAAGTTTTATATTTTTATTATCAACAATTAAATGTTTATTTTTGCTTAAATGAATATTGATGAAAAACTTATAAGAAGTATTTTAAGATTGAAAAGGTAAGACTGAAAAGAATTATTTCTAAAATTGAATTAATGATAATTGAAACTTATTAACTAGTTATAAAAAAAAAAAAAAAAATATCTGTACCACTACAATCCATGAAGGATACAATGTATGGAAAGTACTGTTTCTTGGTCTACAGTTGTACATGGAGGTGACTTGACCGAGATCACACTCTGCCAGGTTTTCCCCTTAATTAAATATTTGATTAAGGGTACCCATTTTATAGAGGTTGGTTGTCCCAGGAAGGTCTCCCAACCCCCCCCTCCCCTCCTCCCCCAAGTCAATCCAAAGCTGATGAAACAGAATAAATAATTTATAATTCTTTTATTATAAAGAAAAAACAAAAAAAAAAAACTTATTGATAAGATAGAGAATAAATTAACGAAAACAAAATTTGTATGGTACTGTATTTAAAAATTCTATAATTTTGATGCGCTCACCAGTGAAGTGGCTTTCCTTACAGATATTTTTAAATTTGTTTGTTTATTTCGCCTGTTTAACCTTTTATATATCAAATATAGTTATATCAAAACAAAAATCACACAATTTTCTAATTTTACAAATGAATAATTTATCAAAGCTCTTAATTATTTATTTATAGGTTATGAAATTTCACTGAATGATTTTTTGCAATTAATTGATCATTTATTTAAATAATATATAACATACAATCCTTAAAAAAAGATATTCAAGTTTATCTGTACTTATTCTAGCCACCATCTCATCAATAATTTCTGTCTTTTATAATGATGGTATGAGCTTATATATCATATTAACTAATGAATCATTTTTCCATACAGTGCTTTAAGGTCCTGGCGTACATAGCAGAATCGGTATCTATATTGACAGACGACGATCCTAAAATAAAAAAGAAAGAAATTTCTCTCAAATGGATGGTGGAAACTTTAGTACGGTCATCTGTTAACTTTGAAGCGCATCATCATCCCAAAGAGAGCAATATTGTGAGTTAAAATTTATTTATTTTATATTTTCTTATAAATTATCTAGTTATAAAGCATCAAATATAATATTTTTTTAATACCAAATAGACAGAAAGAGAAAAAAATTGTGAAAGAAAAAAATAACCTTTTCCATTACTTAGAATTAGGTATAAATTGGAATCCTATATTCTGGTACTACTGGTAAGGGGGAACTAATCCGGCAAACAGGCTACATGGTTCTTTTTGCTAATCTCTGGCAGCTACGTTGAGGTTTCTGCCATGTACTTACCAGAGTGTGAATATCAAGATTCATTTCTCACCGAAAAATGAAAATTAACAGACCCAGGTAGGAATCGAATCCCCAACATTTAGAACTGAGCATTCTGGAACCCGTGCTCCAACTTGTTAGGCCATCCCATCCTCTTGTAAGCCTATATAACCCCTATCAGATGTGTAGTAAAAGGAAGAACGAGTTATCAAATTTCACTGTAATTGCCTTGTGGATTAATGGGTATTATGAATGAGCCATGTGAAAATATTCTCGAGGAATTCAGTTATTATATAGAACTTTAATAAGGTCATTATTACACTGTAAAAGTTCTCTGACAAAATATTATGTAAAGCGAGTTGGATAAGAATTATAGTGATAGTTTTAAGCCCAGATTTATATGCAAAAAAAATAAAGAAAAAATATTTATGTTTCAATATCTTATAAAAAGGGGCCGGAATAACAGAGTGGTTAGCGCGCTATACTAGTAAAGCAAAGATCATAGGATTGAATCCTGGCCCTACTTCCCAATACGGCTGGTCCCCGCGGGAAGTTAGACCATTACCCTCTTAATTAGGGGAGGCCTACAGGTATAATACTTGTAAGAACTGGCTATAATCTTATAAAAACAAAACAAAAAAAATCTGGTGTGTGTAACAACATACATCTTTCACTTACCGCTCTACTTTGAATAGAAATTATTTTCTGGCAATGTTGAGCTATTATAAAATTTTTGAAGTGCATTTTAAATGGAGCTAAAGCTTAAAGCTTTTACAGCTAACAAATAATTAAGATTATTAAAATAACAAAAACCCTGTTTATTACATCAACGGAAGGCAATAAAAATCTTGTTACTCCATCTTTTTTTGTATACCACATAACTTCTCTCTCTCAGCTGTATAAATACAAGTATGCCTAGATGGATTGCATGCCTATCAGTTATTAAGCTGTTATTTTCCATTGCAAAGTTTACTAAAACAGAATTAAGAGAATTGCATTGTCTGTCATAGATAAGTCTAAAGTTGTCACACTAATTTTAAGTGGATAATGTTGGGATTTCATTAAGGAAAAATTTATCAAATTATTCACTGATTTAACTTTCTAAAGGTTATATGGCAATTTTTTGGAATAATTGTAACGGACATTGATACCTAATTATTTAAAGATAATATCACATCTAGAATTATTAAACAACATATGCTTTATACATCCATGAAATACTTTTGTCTTTCACACAAGTACAATGAAATAGTGTTTTAAAAATGTTTATTGCCTTGATTAGGTGGATTTTAAAAACTTTTCCAAATTTAAATTTTTTTTTAAAGTTTACATTTAGTTAGTAAATTTCATCTAATTTCCTTGAAAACATGTGATTTAATAAAATAGTTTTAATTAATTAGAAGCCTACATTCATCATTGGGAAATTTACAACTAATTACTTTTATTTTATTCAGAATGAAACAGGATATTATCATTTGAAGAATAATTGGTTACAGTTAGAAATAAAATCAGCAACTTGTCAAATAATAATAACGAAATACATACTATTTTATAAGACAATACAAATAAAATTGGAAAATAAAATTTAATACTTGACAAAATAAGGCGATGATGACCCTGGGGGTTGATGCCTTTAAAATATATATAAAAAAAAATTTCTGAGATTTAAGGATGAAACAAAATTATCAAGAATTTCGATATTTTTATTGATTTAGCCAACGTTTTAAATAACCAAATTATTGTTCTTACACATATACTAGAAGGTTATTTCTCTTTTCAGGTTTATCAGATAACAACAGTGTTGCCACAACAGATACAAAAAAATATATATACATTTGCATATATATCCAGGCTTTAGTGATACTGTAATGTAATAGCTCAATGTTTACAAAAGAAAATTTTGATGAATTTTCTTTGATTATTACACAGTTAGGTTCTTTATCCGATATTCTATAGAGGTTTTCCAGGAGTGCTATTATCACCAGTATCTATTTTAAAGCAGATATGTGTCATCACTTAACACCTTATAAACTCACTCCTGGGACCATTATCAAATTTATGTAACTGAAAAGAGAACATATTTAAATATATACAACTTAAGAACTGTCTATAATTTACCTAATTTAATGTGCAAATATTTATTTTAATTAAACAGAAACCAAAAATAATAAAAAGTAGCAATTTTTTTTTATCTGTGGATGTAGAATTGAGAATATTGTTAAATTTGCAGAGGGAACAATACTGTAAATGGGCAACAGTGCTTTCAACAAAATTGAATCGAGATGCACTGATCGCAGTTGGCTTTGAACTTCTTTTTCCAATAGTGAAAGAGTTGGATTCGGAGAACAAGGAACTTGTTAAGATGTGCAAGACTGCTATGAACTCCTTCAGAGACAAGGTCGGCGAGGCAGAATACATAGCCATCACCGGTCGTGTATCAACTCTTCTCCAGACTATGAAAGCCATGCGCAAAGTGGAGAGAACTCAGCTGGTAAGTAGTTCTGTCCACCATATTGTAATTTGTTTTTGTTATTATCATTTTACGTAATAACTTTTACTCAATTATACTCCAAAACAAAATTTATCACTGATGAAACACAGATGGTGGTATGCATAGACGTCCCTTATAATTCACTATTCCCTCATTCCCCTGCCTGAGATCAGATTCCATCCCTTCAACCTCCCTTCTACAATACAGGGACATTTAGTAGAGATTCACAAAATCCCCCTTTACATTCATTACAACTTATATTTAACTGATAGAAAATGTTATTAATATTATACTTTTAAATTATTATTGTACTTCTACCTAATTAAAATATGATGAAATAAAATTTCTTGGTTTAAACTATTTTCCGAATATTTTTGAGGTAGGCTATGAAATTGTGTTTTTCTGCCAGATTTCTGTTATCGGAATTGATGCATATTTATAATTGACAAATGCAATGTTTCTATCCCTAATGTTTACTTTTTAATGAAAATAATTGAAGCAATCAATAGGTTTCTTCATTTTAAACATACATTTTTGTAAGAAACATTAAGTTTACCACTGTTAGATACTTATCAATTCATATAATGGAGATCTGCGGGTAAAACACATTTTCATAAAATATATCATGAAAAATATTTTTAAAAATCATTATTTTCTATGTTTATTACAATATATTCCAAATATTGAAAAAACAAGTGATATAAACTTTATAACAGGTAATTGTTGTAATTTTATGTTAGGAAAACATCCCCGTTTAATAGGCTTTAAGTCCATATTAGGTATAGCAGTGTGGTTAGTGCTCTATACTAGTAGAGCAAAGATCATAGGATCGAATCCCCTTATTTTCCAATACAGCCGGTCCCCGCGGGAAGTTAGACCATTACCCTCTTAATTAGAGGAGGTCTACAGGGACTGCAAAATACTTGTAAGTGTAGGCTTAAAAAAAAAAAAGTCCATATTAATTAAGTGGAGGTTTATTGGGTAAAAAATATGAGATTCACTTCCAGTTGTGTAAAAAAATGATGTGATTTTCTATCCAATCACCTAAAGGTACCCACCCGTGTTTTAAGCAAAATGACTACAATTAACTATTGCAAAGTTTATATTACTTGTATTTTCATGATTTGGAATGTATTGTAACGCACGCAAATAAAAAATAAATTAAATAGTTTATGACTTTTTTAAAAACTGAATTTAGCTGCGCAATAGTCCTCTTTAAATGTTTTTAATAATGAAAAACTCTTTTTTTTCTTTTAAATAAATTTTGTCTAGTTTACAGCGAATGTAATTCATAATTACTTAAATTAAATATTTTTTTAGTTATCGCTTCCCATTGAACAAAAAAAAACACAACATTTGGATTTCTTTTCAGCTCAAAAATTTGGATATTGTTTATATAAACTTTTTTATGTAGACCTTAATGTCTACTATCCCTTTAAATATTTACCTCTACTTACGAGGGAACCCTGTCAAATGTCATAAATGCATTTTATAACATAAATTATTGATATTAGCACATTGTAGCCGAACTATAACATTTAAAAAGTTATTTATTTAAATAAAACTAATTTTTTTTTTACGTTTACAGGCTGTAACAAATCCAGAAAAGGCTGCTAAAATTAAAATTAATAAACAAATCAAGAAGAAAGTCCAGAAGAAAAGGAAAATGAAATTGATAAAAGAACACAAATTTATAAAAAAGCGAAAGACTGAAATTAATTTAGAAGAAGATAATTGACAATAATGTTTATAAATTTTTTTATTTATTGTTAATAGTTTTAATGTCATTTGTTCTGTTAAACCTTACATTATATTAGACGATAGGTGTATAAATACTAGATATTGATTTATATATAAAATATTTTTATGTCAAATGTCAATAACAGTGAGGTGATTTCTTCATCTTCTCAATGATTGAAAGTAAATGTACATATAGTGAATTTATTTTAGGGATCTCTACGTTACAATTATATGGTAAATTATACATTTTTTCATTTCTTAAAATAATCACCTTCATAATTATAAAGCTATTTTGATTATATTTAATCAACTGATCAAGTTTTATTAACAGAGTTTCAAAGTTGAACTTGAAGATACCAAAGCTTGAATTGAAACAATGTTATTTATTAATAACAAGCCTTAACATAACAGAGAAGAGATCGAATGTATAAATAATTAAGTATTAAGATGGAAGATATGTTTTGCTAATATTACTTTGTTTACTAATTATATAAAGCTATATCTATATTAGATATATTTATGTATATATTTTAAAATCAAACCTGTATAAATTCATTAAATATATTGTTATTTGTTCATAGTTTCAAATTATTCTTTCTGTGCCCTGTGGTTTCACATGAATTAAATTTAGAATATTCATACAAATGATTATTACACCACCAAGCAGATTTGGTTATTTGAATAGTATTTAAAATTTACATGGAAAAGCAAAAAAGATAAATCAGTAGAAAAAATCTATTGCAGTGTAAGCATCACACGCTTTCACTTACCTCCTTCCCATGATCAGATATAAATATTTTCATACTGATATATTCATTCATAGGTTATTTCCAATCTGTCTATTTATTAAATTAATTCAAGCTTTGTCAAGTAGTAATATGCGAGTAGGCAAAATGTCGTTTAACCGCTCATACTCCAAGTTCATTTTGGTTCTTATTGTTTTTTTATAATTGTTATGGATTTTAGAGGTTCTCATGGCAACAGAATACGTAAAAGCTGTGTAATTTGTTTATACATTCTAGTTCTGTCATAAATATAGTTAAATTAGCCTAATCAAAAACATTGAGAAGATAAAATGCACTCTTGTTGAGAATAGCAGATACTACGAGTGAAATATGCCTTCAATTCCATGCCCTTTAACAGCCATTTAATCCTCTCACATATTAATGTGTCTACATGAGGTACATAGGAAATTTAATGCTCTTTCAAATTGATTATAATGAATTTCTTTGAGAGATGCATAAATTGTGAGTTTTGGGGGAAAAACCGATGAAAACAGATATTTCTTGTGAAATGTCAACATTCTCTTAACTTCTCACTCGTTGATCTTACATCAAAAACCTACATATAAAATTTTCTTTTCTTTAAATATATATATAATAATAATTTCGATAAAATACATAGTTTCGGAATCATGTCCAAAAAATATGTTCGGAAATTTTGCAGTTTTTTACATATATCTCGAAAAATAATGGAAAATTTTGTTCGGGAACATAAAATTCAGAATCAGCATCCCAAAACACTTATAAAACTGAAGAGAAACTGACTATTTGAATTTTCCCTTATCCAACCATCCATGACTTGGATGTCGTCAGTTTTCAAAACATAACCGAATACATCGTCAGTCGAGGTGAATTCTCTTTTAGAGATATATTGTTTACATCATATCAAAATTTCAACCGTATGTTCTTCTGTCAAATGATGAACCATCAAACCATTTAATTTAATTAAAATTTTGCATAGAAAGTAATGGCTTTCAACCAACTAACCGAAGTTGTGTGTGCAGATGATGTTTATCTAGAATTTAAAATGGTTACTAGCTTAAAGTCCTTCAATGAAATAGTCAGTAGCTCCTAGTCTACTAGACTGTTTGTTGGCTTCTAATTTTCTTTTTTGCTTGATTCCTATTATTAGTGGGATGTCAAATTGAAACTGCTGCATTTTCATATTGTGCTATAAATTGAAAATTTAATTGTGTTTCTTTAAAATAATCATTCAATGACATCACAGCATTTTATCAGTATTTTCCCAGTCGATCTTTATTTTATCTAACCATTAGTTATGTGCACATAAGTCCAATTCTTATTTTATTGCTTGATTAATAAACTGGAATTTTAAAGGATAATTAAAAAATAAGCTTTTTAAACATTTATTTAAAAAAATAATAATAATACTGCATTAGTGAAATCTAATCTGCATAAAATTAGAGTTTCCATCTTCCTTTTTAAAACCAAGGCTTTCATAAAATCCTCTCTTCTCGTCCCGACAGTCAAGAGTTACTTTATAGCAGCCGAGTTGTTTTGATAACAGAGCCAATGCATCAATCAATCTATAAATAAACAGATACAAATTTAATTAACAAACAATATGGTGGTGGAATATATTTTTTAAATTTAAAACTAATAATTATATTCAGGGCATCTACTAAAAGTTTTTGTGGAATTCCTTGACTTTTGTAATTCATTATTGAGAAAATGTTTATCATGAAAATAGTATATTGGCGGTTAATTGAAAAAAGTCACTAAGGTAAGGTTACTTTTATTAAAAATTTTGATGACAAAATGAATTCAGGAATGGAAAATTCGACTTTTTTTAATTTCGTTAAATTTTTTTGTTTAATTTCATTGAAAATATACGATAACAAAGTTTAAATTGTTTTTAAGAAAAAAGACGCTATGATAATAGGAATAGCTGTTGTACATGCCATGTTACAAATTTCTCATTTACTTATTGTATTCTCTATGTAATACAGTTGTAAATTCCATTAAAATAATTAAAAAAAAAAAAATTTCATGGAAAATATACGATAACAAAGTTTAAATTGTTTTTAAGAAAAAAGACGCTATGATAATAGGAATAGCTGTTGTAAATTATATAAATAGAATTTTTTAATAGATAAGTAGATATTATATAGTTAAGCAGAATCTACATATATATAAATCAGCATTCTTTCAGATATGGTTATGATAGCCATACACCAAAATGTACAAATAAAATAAAGATTACAAGATAAAGGAAAATTGTGGGACAGGAGGTCGAGAAACCTTGTATTTTTAATAACATTATTGATAATAGACAAACTTACAATTTTCCGAGTTGCCTCCCTCTGTAACTTGAATTTACAACTACATCTTCTATCCTTCCTCTCTGTGAAAAATATACAATTTCAATTGTATAATGGTATATTATTGCTAAACAATGTAATAATACGCATATGTGATTACAATTAAATAAGGCAATGTCTATTTGAATATGGATCAAAGGTGAAAGTAATATATTTTTTCCAAATACCAATCATACATCTGCCATTTTTAATAATAACACACTCTTAATACATCTTCAATAAAATTTTGGTGTCAAACCAGCAAGTCGTATAATTTGTGTGGGTGATTTGGGCAGGTTGAAACAAGGAATAAAAAAATAAATAAATTTCATAAAAATTGAAACCATGAAATCAGTCATCAGAATGAAATGAGAAGTCATGGTTGATGGGAGCTGGTTCAGGAGAAAGAAGAGGAGAAAAAATATAGTTAAAGATTGTCAAGCTTGCAGCATGCCTTACAGAAAATTATCGAACATAGCATAAGTGGCGGAAGACTAATGGTTATAATGACACCAAATTCTTATATTCATCATCTTAATTAAGTAATTGGATGAAAATTTTTTTAAAAAATCTGGTGTGGTGCACGCATCATACAACTTTCACTTACCAACCTCTTCTTAGCAGAAGTATTTTCAGACAAAGCGAAGCAAAAGTAAAAGTTATAGACTCTATATTTGTTTATATTTCGTTGTGGGTATTTTTATTTGTGAAAGTAACCTCATATATACAAATTTTAATATTTATCTTGCTGTAATCTATACTGTTAAATATTAAATAATACCAACAATAGCATTTATGAAAACCACATATGTATATTTATATAATATTGTCAGAGTCCGTATTATATTAATCTCATGATAAGTATGGAAGCGTGTTCAAATCTTTTGGGCAAGCTTGGGTGCGCTCGTAGTCACCTCAATTACAACCATTCTCCATTACAATTTCTTATTTCTCCTTTAGTTAATTATCAAATTCTTTCATATTTTATATTTAACCATTTTTCATATTAGAAATTAATGTGAAATGCTCAATTGTTTCAAATAAAAAAAATTAAAGGTACTTTAGAGGAAGCTAATATTGAAAATTAGCCATTTAAGCCCACATTTTAATAACCACATTTTATTTAAAACTGCTTAATTTTAGACTGATATGATGGATTTAATTAAAATCGTTAGTTCGGTTTCGAGATAATCGTAAAAATGTGTTTAGTCCATTATATAAAGTGCCCCTTCTGATTAGCCGATTTTGACGAAAAAATTGTTGTAACATCCCTAGCATATAAAATCCTTAAATATGCAATTTCACTTACATACGACTTCTCGTTTTTGAGCTAGACTGTTAAAACACACACAGACCATTTTGCGGGACTTAGTTATTTGCACTCAGAGGACCTCAAAATGTGTATTTCCATTGAAAACTCAGATTAAAAAAATTTCAAGATCGCAATACTTACCCTTACTATGTATTCCATGTATAGGTAAGTGAAAGTAATAAACTACTTTGTTCTAAACATATATAGAATTGATATCATAAGCTCAAATATCACTAATATAATTTAAAATAGGCATCATTGGTTATTAGGAGCGATTTGAAGATATGTCATTTTAAAACTTGTAATATGATCAGTAGTACAAGTAGAATTACTTTTTTTTTTTTTTTGTAAAAAAAAACCAACAAAATAAAGATATTCATATCCATATCAATCGTTAAAAAACCAGATATCTTAAAATTTATAAAAATTAAAATTTGTGTAAATAAGTTAACTAAATAATTAAAATGTAAATAAATACATAAATACATTACATGAAATATAAATAAATAGTGTCTATAATTTTTACTTTCACTTCCCCTTTGTATGAAAATAATTATTTCTGCTAAGAGCGTGGTAAGTGAAAGTCGTATGATGCATGTACCAGATTTTTTTTTTATTTGCAAAGAACTTGTTTAGAGTTTAAAATTGTGACAGCCATCAGCTTAGGCAGATTCTTATATTAAAGCGCTCTTAATTTTTTAATATGAGATATGGAGAAATATATTTCATACATTATGCAATGTAACATAGATAAGGAAAACAAATACAGACTCATCATTAGATAAATGACAATACAACTCTATGAGTATATTCTATACATAAAAAACAGTCTGTTTCAAAAATATAAAAAAATAAATAAAACTAATGGGTTGGCAAATAAGTCCTTTCGGTTTTTCTGTTTTTTTTTTATGTCACTATGATACACTACACCTCTTATCTAATGTATTAATCCCTAAGGTGGATTGTTTATCCTGTTTGTAATATGTCAACAATTATATCTGTTAACTCTTGTTGTAACTAGCTTAATATTGTGTTTGCTATTGCACTGTGAATATGGAAGAAAATATCATTCATTATCAGCCTATTTTGTTGTATTACTTTAAAAAACATAAGCATGATGCCTTAACCGAGCACACCTGCTAAAATTGGTTTGCCAAATTTCATTCAGGAAATTTTGACATAAATGATGCTTAATGCTGTGGTCGCCTACATGGAATTTAAACGAGCAATGTTAAGGCCATTGTTAATCAAAATCCCACCAGATCAGTGCAAGAGATTGCTATGGCCCTAAATATGTAGGACAAAAGCATAGAAAACGATTTGCACAAGCTCGGCTATGTTTCCAGGCTCAATGTTTGGGTCCCTCACATAATTTTTTTTTTTTCGAAAATCAACCATTCATACGGCTTTGAAGAGAAATAATTCAGCTATCTAACGGATATAGTAATTTCGAATTTAGAGAACATCCTGAAGAGTTATAAATGATCGGAAGGGTGTTGTGTTTCACCAAGACAACGCCAGGCCCCACACCTCATTGGTCACTCGCAATAAATTATTGAGCCTTGGATGGGACCTTTTGCCCCATCCTCCCTATTCACCAGACCAGCCTCCAAGTGATTACCACTTATTCCAGTCTCACCATAAATTCCAAAAAGAAGAGGACATCAAACACCACTTGGATCAGTTTTTTAAAAATAAACTCCAGATATTCTATAAACATGGCATTATGCAGTTAGTGGAAAGATGGGAGAAAGTCATATTAAATAATGGTTAATATATTGTAGATTAAAATAAATTTTATGTCTATAGTACATTGAGTTTTATTTCACCCTGAAAAACCGAAAGGACTTTTTTGACAACCCAATATTAACTTTATATAATAAAATAATTAACAGTATTTGCTTTAAAAAATAAAATAATTAACTTTATATTTTATGATTAAATTTTCGTAAATCAAGATGAATAGCATTCTTGATAAGTGCCTATAAGTGTTTAAGTAAACAAGTATTTTAAAAATCTAATTGACCATATAAACCATCAATAACGCTGTCATAAATCACAATTAGAACCACTCAAAATCAAGATAGTGTTGATTGTCTCTTGAAGAGATTTTATAAAAAATTGAAATTAATAATTTAGCTTTAATAAGCTCTTTTAATAAGTTCAAAAAGAGTCAAAGAGGACCTTATACCTCAAAGGGTCTGGAGCTCTTTACGCTCTTTACGAAGAAAGTTTGTTATTAATGTTAAAATCATATTGTTTTGTAAACAAGAGTTAGAGAGTGTCGGTGAATTTATTTTACATATATTGGACGGTTATAAAGTATAATTTTGAGTTTTGTAAACTACAATACCCTCGAAAAGAATTGTAATTTATTAATAAAAATAATTAATTAATAGTTAAGATTTATTGTTGTTCATAATCAAAAATGCCAGAAAATCATACATACATATTACGCATCACATACAAATGTGATGACACAAAATTCAAATTTTAATAAAAAAGACATTATAACTTTAACGTTGAATGAAAAAATCTAATAACTCTAAAAGTTTATTGTTCATAATAATTTCATTTCCTACTCGGTATATTTGATAGCTATGCATTTATAAGATATGAATGGGAAGGAAAACAAAGCAGAAATCAATCAGATCTTTGAAAATAACTAATTTGTAAAATAAAAGGACAGATTCATTTCTTGTTTTCATGATATAATGCAACCTTTCAGGTAGAAATAAAAAACTAAAATAATACAGAGATAAGAGTGTGTTGTTTATTTTTGGAAAGGATTTATTTTATTAGGCATGATAACTAGGCATCCAACATTGATATATAGTTAAAAATCACAGTGCAATTTTTTAAGTTTTGAAATAAAGCCTAAAACATAAAGCAATCTCACCAGACCACAGGCATGGATGAACTTTTGTTCGATAAGTAAAGTCGCTGATGCAATAACTCTTTCACTCACGAGATTTTCTATTACGATAACATAGTATAGTCCATCACTGCTTTTCATTCTCTTGAAGGAATCTGAAATTAGTAATATATTTGGTCTAACATTCTTTTTCAATTATTTACAATTTATAGAAACAACTATTACCTTCGAACATTTCTTTTGAAACTTTGCCAACATCCGTCAATTGTTCCAGATTTTCAAGAAAGCCTAGGTTGCCATAAAGAAATTTGAATAATTAAGCATGTCAGAAAAGAACAAAAGTGAAAACAAACATAACTTCACCATTGTCATAATCAGATATCCTGAGAGGCCTTAGTACCAAGTCTTCTCCTGGATTGATTGCATTGATTGGTGGATTGTAATGACATTCCGCCGGCTGGAAATCAATATTTTCAAGAATTTTAGGATCAAAAAGAACTGAATCCATGTTGTGATACCGACTGACAACAGAAGACTGAGAAAAGGTTCTTTCTTTTCCTGACAATCCCTTTCTCTGCTCAGCCTTGAGACATAATCCTGGATCTCCTTCCCGATCTTTTGAATGCCACGTGGTAATGACCTTCAAGCAGCATTCTTGGCCTGCCTGACACAAAAGCTTAAAAAACAGCTTTGACAGCTTTAATTAACATAACTGTCAAGCAATTATCACGGACGTTCGCTAACGATTAGGCAATATGTGACGTTGATAAGGCAGCATCTTGACAATAGTGAACATGAATCTTTACGCAATGGAATACCTTATTGCTTAAACAAGATTTAACATATTTACATAACTATTACTTATAGAGACTTAAGTCTATATTGATTTGTACAAATAGCAAACATTCCACGTTGCAAAAAGGGTTCAACAAATAATTCTGCTAAAATTAAAGAGATATCAACATAATGACAAAATTATGTTCATTATAGTTCATCAAAGTTGAGACCTTAGATTGAACCTTACAACAGAAAGGAAACAATTTTTATAACTGTTGGAAAACCAGCGGTACCAGACCAAATTGGTGAAAGTTTAAATGAAAAAATGTAAGAAGTTTAATAAAAAAAATCAGGTATTAATTAAATAATTCTGTAAGATATTAATAAAAATTTAAATGGCAAAGATTCAATTCTTATATTGAATCCAACTCTTTAATTTTAAGTAGTTACAACTTGCCCCTTGTTGATACAGAAAGGTCATTTTATAATTTTAAAAATCTGGTGCACTCATCACACAACTTTCATTTACTGCTCTACTTTGAATAGAAATTATTTGTTGGCAATATTGAGCTATAATAAAATTGTTGAAGGACACTTTTAACAGAGCTAAAGCTTATGCCTTACAGTTAAGAAATCATTAATACCATTAAAATAACACAAACCATATTTATTATACCAGCGGTAGGTAATAAAAACCTCATACTTAACTCTGTTTTTGTAAATCACATAGGCAACTCCAGTTGCTGAGCTATACGTGCCTAGTGAGATTTGAAGGTTCATCTGTATATTTAACCAATAAATGATTATGGTTTGTACTACTATTAGTTATTAAACTATTTTTGGTTTATTATTTTCAATAATGAACCACTGTGATCGAACAAAAAATTTAAAAACTTAACCCTCTCTCAAAATTTGAGGTTTTACGTTTCAGGATATGTAGAATTCGAAAAACGAATAAATTATTTTTGTCCGTCCGCCTTACGCCATACGCCATACGCCATCCGCTCATTTTCTCCGAAACTACTGGACCGACTTTTTTCAAATTTGGATTTAAAATTAAAGGTTCACCTCTTCAAAACTTTTAATCCACATCCTGATATCCTTAATCCAAATCAGCTTGAATGTATTGAAACAGAACTGGATATTCCACTTCAAATGACTCCTCCTCCTCCTAAAGCATTTCATCCTTCCGAAATATCCAATATTATTCACAGATTACCCTCCCGCAAGCTCCTGGCCACGACCTAATCACTTCCCACATTCTTAAGCTACTTCCTCGAAAAGCCATTCTATTCCTTACTTACATTTATAACGCCGTACTCCGTTCCACATATTTTCCTGACCCTTGGAAACTATCTGTAGTCAAAATGATACATAAACCCAAAAAGCCACCAGAATGACCCATCCTCTTACCGTCCTATCTCTCTTTTACCCATCACGGGCAAAATCCTGGAGAAGCTCATCTTAAAACGCCTGTATCCCATCCTAGATTCTAACCACATAATCCCTGATCACCAATTTTGATTCCGCACATCCCATTCCACTATCCAGCAATGTCATCGTGTGGTAGACGTAGTCTCCTCTGCATTGGAGCCCGGAATGTATTGCACTGGAGTTTTTCTCGACGTTGAACAGGCGTTTGATCGAGTCTGGCATCCGGGATTGCTTTACAAACTCCGTAAATTCCTTCCCCCTACATATTTTCTTATCATCAGTTCCTATCTTACTGATAGGCACTTCAAAGTAAATCACAATAATACCTATTCATCCCTCTTTTCTCAATCTGCCGGAGTTCCTCAAGGTAGTATCCTTGGTCCTATCCTTTACACAGTTTATACAGCTGACATCCCAACCCATCCTAACACTGTTATTACCACGTATGCCGATGATACATGTGTCCTATCCGTTAATAATGACCCAACCATTGCATCCCAAACTCTTCAATCACACATCACAAGCCTTGAAGAATGGTGTCAAAACTGGAGGATTAAAATAAATTCTAATAAATCCCATCAAATCACCTTTACCCTTCGACGTAAACCTATGACCTCATGTCCCACAGTATCCTTTAATAATACCCCACTTATCCCTGTTGAACAAATCCGATACCTTGGACTTCATTTGGACAAATGTCTAACTTGAAATCCTCATACCAGACTGAAACGACAAGAAACTGCTCGACGTTTCCGACTACTCCAACACTTACTAGACAAACGCTCTAAACTTCCCCTTAATTACAAAAGACTCATATACTTGACTATAATAAGACCTATTTGGACTTACGGAGTTGAGCTATGGGGCTCCACTAAACCATCGAATTCCTCTCGCATCCAATCCTTACAATCCAAAATCCTTCGTAAAATCCTCAATGCTCCTTACTTTGTCACTAATAAAATAATCCATAAAGACCTCAATGTTCCATATGTTTCCGATTTGGGCAAATCCAGATACCTATCCTTCCATAATAAACTTCATAACCATCCGAATCCTCTTGTTCTAACCTTCCTTCCTCTTCGATTCCTGATAACCCTCCGAGGCTTCTGAAAAGAAGATGGCCTCGTGATCTTCTCATGCAGACAAATTATTAGAGTGCTACCAGTGGATAGTTTCTCAACAAGAGTGTTTCATGTAATAATATTTCTCTGTACAAATTTACTAGATGTATTCATACTAATACAGTTGTAAATATCATAATAAAAGTTTAAAAAAAAAAAAAAAAATTAAAGGTCACCGGAGGACGATCCTCCTTCATCGACATTTCTATTCGCCTTTTCCTTCCAAGATGGCGGCCGAAAAACCTGCATTGCTATAGACTGTAGCGCCTAAACGAATGTACCTATTTCAATGAAACTTCGCTAAAGTCTTCTTCTCGATGCCCTTTAAATGTATCTCTATAACATACTTTAACAAAAGGAAGCTGGAAAAAAGTAAGAGGGATGGTAAAATTAAATTCCAAATGAGTCAAAAAGTATACATTTTTATGGTTATTGTAAAAGTTTACGGAATTTCCTAAAAAACAAAAGAAAAATCGATAAAAAAGGAATAATAGGAGCGAAGATATTGTCTCTGTATGTCAATGTTTTTTCTATGTTATACTGGAAAGGTTATATCCTTTATTTTGCTTTTTGATTTTTGAATGTGTTACTGAAATAACGCTGTTTTTTTTTTTTTTTTAGAATATTACTAATGATTAAAAAAAAGTTTAGTCCAATAATTGGAATCACCTTTTATTTCTTTTTCTTTGTCACTAGGAAGGTAATGTTACTTTAGATAGATAATTGTTTGGAAATAATAAACCATTATGAAATAATTTGCAGCGTTTTTTTATATAGGCGTTGATGGCCTGAGGGTTTTACGCATCAAAGCCCTAAGCAAGAACTATTTCTTTTCTTATCTTGGCATTACAGACCATATAGATCTATGGCCGTCTTAACAAGCCTGTTCCTCCTTTTTTGCCTATCTTCGTCAATTCCTTTCATTTATCTGCACGCAGCTCTACTACATCTTTGTTGATTCTATCTATCCATCTGCTTTTTGGCATTCCACGTGGTCTTTTGCCTTCCATTGAGGCATTTATTGTCACGTAGAGTCATCCGGATGGATGGCTACGAGCTACATGCCCCGCCCATCTTAACCTCCGTCCCTTCATATCATGGGATATTGATTGATCAGTTTCTGTAAGCAGTACTTTATTGCACTTTTTTCTCCATGTGTTAGTACTCTGATCTGATCGCTCCGGTCATCGTTCGGAGGATTTCAAATCTTTCAACGTTTTTTTCTAAGGTGCTGGTTAGTGTGCAGGCCTAGCAGCCAAATATTACAACTGGCTTTATCATAGAATTGTACCTCCTTAGTTTGAGATTTCAATACCTTTGAGAGGGATAAGAAAGTTCTGTTTGCGCTAGTTATACACTGGTCTATTTCTACCCGTTGTTAATTCACTGAGATTATTGTGGAGCCGAGGTATTTGATTTTTTCTACTCACGGGAATGGTTATTATTCTATGCAGATTCTGTTCGTGGGGTGGAATTTTCGGCTGATTATTATATATTTTTTTGTTTTCATTTACTTGTAGGCTGATCTATTCTGCCTCTCTTACCAGAGTTGTAGCGAATTTCTCAATATCTTCTTGATAATTCCAAGGACAGCTATATCATCTACGTACTCAAGGATTTTAGGATTCATTCCGACGTGGACCCCCTCCACCCCCATTTTCCTGCGATGTTGCTCTTATTGCATTCTCCAGGGCTAAGTTGAACAAAACTGTTATTTTTCTATTATAAAGTTTACTAAAATGAAGTTCAGAGATTTTCTTTGCCTACTATTGATAGTTAAAAATTATTGCATTAATTGTAAGTGGACAATATTGTGATTTTTCACAAATGGTAAAACTCTTATAATTATTCACTCACTTAATTTTCGAAAATGTTACATGATGGACTTTCGGAATAAACCGATCATAGATACCTAATTATTAGGTTGTCAGGAAAATTAAGCAGGATATTGGTTTTTAAGAAGTTGATAGTGAAGTAACGCGTGAAGTTGCTAGTCTCCCATCGGGCGCCTTCCCCGGTGGCGGTTAGGAGGATTCTCACCAGATATGGTAGGATACCGGGGAAATAAAACACCCGGGACGGACCAAATCTAGGTGTATCGGTTCCTATAATAGGCGGCTTCCTGGACAGCGTCTGTATCTCAGACGACCTACGACGCGCTACTTGAGAGGTTTGTGGATTCTTCACTCATAGTAATCACCAGGTCCTCTTGACCATACTCTATTTACTTACAAAGAGGAAAAGTACTTGTCACAGAAACGTGGACTGGAACATTAAAACTTTTGATGACGAATAATTTGCGTTGATGTTGGAGGATTCGTGTGATCTACCTGTGACAGCAAGGGAAAAGGCGCTTAAACTAACCCGCTATGTTTCTAGGTCGTGGGATGCGGCTATGGCTCGCTCAAAACCTGGCAAACACCATCCTTCAGTTTACTGGTGGACAAATTAATCTTCGTCGGTGTTGTCATCTAGCTAGAAGACACTACCAGAGAGCAAGGCAGCGACCAGAGTTTTGCATTTTTCAGGAAGATTTCAAGATTGCGAAAAGAAACCTCCAAAGAACGTAAACGACATTGCTGGCGAGAGCTCTGTGATAAGTTTGCACATCCCTGGGGCAGTCCCTACAAAATAGCATTCAAGAGATTAAGCAAAGGTTTGTTGCATGTCCCCATGCGACTGTTTGTTGTGAAAAATGTCGCCAGAATCCTATTCCCGGAGCAGGTGATAACTGTTGAGTGGATGGACTATCCCTATTGGTCTTATTACCCATTCTTCGATGAAGAAGAGGTTGGGCATATCACTTCACACCTAAACATGGTAAGACACCTGGATTGGACGGCATTCCAAATGAGCCTCAAAAAGAGCCCAGACCTTTTTAATCCCTGCGTCCACGAAAGTTCGTTGCCGGTACGTCAGTCAGCGTGGTGAAATATTTTTTCACCATCCAAGGGCACAAACTGTTATCAATCATTTTTATTTGTATTACGTTAGGAAATTCGTCTATGAGGGCATTCTCTCCCCTTCATGGAAGTTGGAAAAAATTGCAAAAAGTAGCTATTTAAAGAAGAGAGAAATATAGGGAAAATTTATTCTCATAGATTTTTTTTAATATTTCCTAACGTCATATATATATATAAAAAAAATGATTGATGATAGTTTATGCCGTCCCTTGGATGATGAAAAATATTTCGGCAAAATAGTTCCAAAAAACAGCTATTTATGAAAAGAGAAATATGGGGAAAATCATCCTCTAAGACTAATTATCCAATGTGATGACTCATCTCCCCATATGAAATACATATATAATGTCAAGAGTTAGCTGGACTGTTTTTGGAACAGGAATTGGAATAAGAGGTTTTTGAATTTGGATATAGAGGGTGTATGCCGAATTTTAATAGGGAGGGAATTCTAGAAATTGACAGAGCTGGCTACAAAAGTGTTTTGGAATGAGGCAGGTCTGTGAGAAGGGATTTATAGGTCAGAATGTCGAGATCTTGTGGCAAGAAGAACGATGATTGTTGATGATTTGATAAAGGAATGTGCCTAGGAAATATTGTCTTCTTAAGGAGGGGAAGAGCCACCTCACTCAGTATAGTGGTGGGAGACAAAGGGAGCGTCTTCGTGTCCCAATTACAAATCTTACGAAGCTATTCATTAGTCTTTTCAGTCTATCACGGAGCTCCACAGAGAGGCTATCGTACACCACACAACTGTAGTCAAAGTGGAGACAAATGAGAGAGGAAACTAGGCGTCTACGGGTATCTTGGGGTAGGAGAGAGCGGAAGCGATGGAATATTTTGAGGGTAAAAATTGCACGACGGGAGATATGAGAAATATGGTGACTCCAGGAGAGGATTTGATATATAAAAAAGCCTAAATTTTTAACAGAGGGGTAGAAGGTGATGCGATGGTTATTTAGGTAAAGTGAAGGAAAGTTGGCATAGGATCTAAAAAGGTGGTGGGAACAATGGAGGATTGAATCATGTAGGTCGTTAATATAAGAGTTGAAAAGAAGAGAAGATATGTCTGAACCCTGGGCAGCTCCAGATCATAAAGAAAGATAGGGAGATAGTGGTTGATTGGGTATGGAAACTACTTGGGTACGTTTTGAGAGGAAAGATTGGAACCAAGAGAAAGAACTATTGGAGAAGGATAATGATTTTAATTTGTTGAAAAGGATCGAATTGATAATGGAGTCCAAGGCTTTGGAGAAATCAAGAAGTATAAGTATAGTTAATTTTTTATCATCTATTGCAGTCTGAATATCACTGGAAATTTTAATTAGGCCAGATTATGTAGAGTAGCCAGGACGAAAACCAGATTGGAGAAGATCGAGTTGGTTGAATTTTTCAAGGAAGTTGGAAACTTGGGATTGCACCAACCTTTCTAGGGATTTTAAAAGATTGGAAAGGAATGATATTGGGCGGAAATATTCGGCAGAGGGTAGATTAGGCTTTTTGCTTAAAGGATGGACAATGGTTGTTTTCACAAGAGATCGAGAATATGGAATTCTGCAGGGAGAAATCATAGATAACAAGGAGAGCTGGGTGGATTTCCGGGAGACATATTTGATTAATTTGATTTTATTAAAATCAAGTAATAATAATAATGCTTAGCGAACCCGAAGGTTCGATGCCGATACCATCAATCGATGTCCACATTCTTCCATCCACCGAGCTCTGTCTAAACCCAACCCGCCAAATTAGCCTTAACGTAATCTACCCACCTTCGCTTTGGTCTGCCCCTCGGACGCTTGCCAGTTGGCACAGCGCATATTATTTTTTTAGGAATTCTTTCGTTACTAAGCCCAGCGATTTTACAGGACCATTTTATTCTCCTCAACTTAATCACCTCAATACAGTTCATTAACTGGATACAGTTCACGCAATTCAGCGTTGTGTAACCACCTAAATTCTCACGTTGACTCATCCTTTTTCGGTCCAAATATTCTGCGCAATACTTCACATCCATAAAGAACCGTAGGTAGGATAATGTTTTTGTAAATACTAATTTTTAAGTTTCGAGGCAGGAGGCGAGAACTACGTAATTTTGACAAAGAAAAATAACAAGCATTTCCCGCCTTCAGCCTAACCTTAATATCCTCTTTAATTTCGTTTTTTCTAGTTATCGTAGACCCTAGATACCTAAAATTCTGTACGTGTTCAAACACATTTCCTTCTATATCGATGTCATCGAAATTGTCGCTGTTTTTGCAGCTAACCATATATTTTTTCTTATCCGTATTTATCTCGAGTCCTAATTCTTTACCCGTTGTTGTATTTAGTTGTATTGTTTCCTTGGCTTCGCTTAACAGTACCAAATCATCAGCATACCCAAGCACGGATATTGTTCCACCCAGGTACAAACGTTTTTCGGTATGGATCGTCTCTCTAATGTCATGTTCTTAGGCCAAATTAAAAAGAATCAGCTTGTTTTTAGCCCGAACAAACCTCAAATATCTGGGATAAATAATAACCGATTCTATCTTTATTGAGTGTTTCCGTCAAGCACATCCTAACTAGATTCACTATATTTTTGGGGATCCCTTGCTCAATTAGAATATTATATAGTTTCTGGTGGTCGATAGAATCGTAAGCCTTCTTGAAATCAATACGCAGCTGGTGAACAATATTTGTAACAAATAAAATATTTGATCAATAGTCGAACGGTTCCTTATAAACCCACATCTGTAGTCTCCGATTATTTCCTCGGCGTATTCTGTGATTTGATTAGTTAAGATTAAATTGAATATATATAATAGCGGAAGGAGTTAAATTTCTCGATAGTTATTATAATCCTTCCTCGGCCTCTTTTCGTAAATTGGAATAAGAATAGATCATTTCCATTCTTCATACAATTTCTTATTTTCCCATAACTTTTTATGAAATGTATTTTATAAACTCCAGCTTCCTCGCATCCCTTAATTAGTTCACTATTAATATCATCGATCTCTGCTGCTTTATAAGATTTTATTTTTCCTATAGCTACTTCAACTTCCTCTTGACTTGCTTCTTCTATTATCGGTTCGGCACTCTGGTACTCTGAAGGAGGACATAGATAATTCTTTTTCGTATCTAAAATATTGTCAAAGCGTTTCTTAAACTTACTCAATATGTCTTCAGGGTCAGTGAGGATATTGTTATTTTCATCCCTAATTCCAGTCGTTACGGCCCCTAAACATTTACGTGATTTATTTATACCTTTGTACTTGCCTCTTACGTTGTTTTCACTCTACGTTGTTTCTTATATCTATTATTTTATATTTATGATACTCACTTTTTTTATTTTTGAATAATTTAGTAGTTTCATTCTTGAAGGCTCGGAAGTATTCAAGATTGTTTTCAGTAGGATTATTTAGAGCTTTTATTTTAGCGTCTTTTCTTTTTTAGCACACATTTAAGCAATCTTCGTCAAAGCACGATTAAAATAATGTACTTAAAAATTAATAAATTGGTGAGTGAGAGTGTAGAGATAACAGTAAGAGCAGAAGCAAGAATATTGTTTTGAAGCCAATTGTCGTAAAAGTCATTTTAATAAAGGTGAAAGGTTGACGGATTCTAAGTAGTCAGGCGAATACATCGAGATCCGAGACCTGTTCAATCACGATAACTTTATGTCTGTCCTCCTTTTGGACATTTACATGCCCATTATATAATCAAATAATGATTATTTTCGTTATCAAAGTTTCCATTTTCTTTTGTTCATTAATATTTATGGCATTGTTTATTAAAAAATATATAACATCATTACGTCAAAGTTTTGGCTTTTTAGCCAGACTTCAGAACAGAAACTTTAACTAATAACTATTTCCTATTAATATTTAATGAGATCTACACTATCTGTTGTCATCTATATCTATAAATCAACATTAATTTTATTTTAAGATTGTAAATATATTTACAAAAGTTATTTAATTTAATATGAAGAGTGTCATTACTTGCTATTTCATTGTCACTACTACAGCTATTTACCAGTGATCGGAATTATTTCTGATCTATTATAAGGGGTTTTATGGCAAAATTTAATAGATTAGAATTAAGTTCTCATATTTTAATTTGATGAGGAAAGAGATAATCTGTAGTGGCCTTCATGAATAACTTCAAAAAGTTGGAACTTTTTTTTTATATTTACGTTTCGACTCACTTTTTGATACATATGTTTAAAATGTTTGAGATAATAGTAAACTGTTCAAACAACATTTAAAAAAATATTCTTCTGGGAATGCAATGACGTCATAATGTTTGATATTATTTTTTAAATTTCACTACGGACTAAAACCTCTTAGAGCCGCTATGTAATTCCTTCAGGTTGAGAAAAGAAGGAATGCTGGAATATCTGCAGTTATCATTTAAATTACTCAGATTTTTCAATTTATGCCTGTTTCATATCAAGGAAGCTAAGCCTCCATAGCAATCCGTAAATTATTTAATGAAACATTGAATAAATATGCCAGAGCTGTAAGAGAGGACACGTCATGGAGGAAACCTTTACCTGGTGATAACTTGTCAACATTTTGTTTTCGTTATATTATTTAGTCAAGTGATATGTGAAAGAGGCCTCTTTTGGGATAATGACTTATTGAAGATCTCATCTCCTCCACTCATGCTTAGTTAGCTATGCTTCATATTTATGACGTGGAGTAATGAAACATAAGGTTACAGAAACCTCAGATAAGAATGATGATGTTAAGAAACGAAAAACTCCTCCAAGGAATTCTAAAATGCAAATCGTTTTACGAGAATTGTGTTTTTTGCTTATTGTTATGCTCACAGTCTATGCCACAATTGTCAAAAGGTAGAAATAAATTTTTTCACTGAATCAATAAGTATTATTTCTCATAAGGTTATCAAATGAAAGATAATAATTTAATTTTAGCAACACTAGGACTAAAAAGAGCCCCCCTTCTACTCCTTTCCTGGGAAGCGGCAACATAAATGACTTTTATAAAGGCGAACTTGCTCAATTGATGCATGATGTTAGCAGTTCGACATATTCCTTTGTGTTTTTTTATGCGCCTTGGGATGCTGACTGTCAAGATTTAAAATATGAGTTTCTGGAGGCTGCTGAGTTTTATGTGGATAAGGTCTGATTTTTACATATTTGTCAATTGATGTAAGACATTTTTAACTTATCAAGTAATTGTACAAAATTCATTGTATAGGTTTACTTTGCTGGTGTGAACTGTTGGGAACCAGGAAGTGAGTGTAGAGCTAGATTCAAAGATGTAGTCGAAAGGTACCCTCAGCTTGTGGCTTATGTTGGCCTTGAGCGTGCTGTTGAATATAGAGGACCGCATAAGGCTGACCATATGATCAAATTTTTACATTCCATTATTCACCCCATAATTCGACTAAATTCAGTTAATGACTTAATGCGGATTCGTTATATGCATGATGTAAGTTTTTATGTTAATTTTGAAATAAGGTTGCTACTTTACAAGTGTTTCTCCACTTTGGTTGGTGAAGACAAATCTCATGATCATATTATCAATAGACTTTCAAGAATGGCCAAACCCCGTCTCATTGGAATAAAATTTATTTATTGTCTAAAGCAATACATGCTTATTACATTATATTAGCATTGGCCTGTAAAGTATGACATTAAATAATATTTATGAAAACAAGATGGCATAACAATTAATTTCTCTTTTTTTTTTTAAATTATTGTGAAGCAAATATAAATAATTGTGAGGGAAAAAAATAATATATTGACAGCCATACTGCAAAAGCCTGTAAGAACAAAAACTAAAAATTTTCAGGAGACAAAAAAACTGCAATTTTTGTTCTATGAGCATTATATTTTGTGATTTTTTTTGCAAGCCTAAGGCAAAGTTGTAATGCTCTATACAACCTTTTGGATCATATTTCTGCCAAATAATCTTTTGGCCATTACTTCTAACTTATAGCTTTTTAGTTATTTTGAAAAACAAATATTAGTTAGGTAAAAACAATCAAATTTACTGTAGTAACACCCTTAACTTTGTTAATAATGATCTATAGAATGTGAATGTGCTCTCTGAACACTATTATAAACATACTTAATTGTCACAGGTTGTAATAATTCTGAATAAATAAGTAAAAAAAACAAAATAATAATGATCAAATCATAAAAGGAACAAAGTCAGTTTCCAAAACTTATTGAAACGATACTTCAAATGAAAATTTGTAAAAGATTTGACTGGAAAGCGAGTATTCGATCACACAGGTTATTTAATTTTTTGTCTCCCACTGTAGGAGCAGCTGGTGCATGCGCCCCATTTCGGAATAATCTATAATAGTTTCGTTTTTAACATTCTCAACTTCATATGGACATGGTTTGATTCACGAATGCTTGATAAATTCTAGGTAACCTGTTGATGTGTACAACATGTCGTTTCTGAGCTTCTTGCGATTTTGAAGATTCGTTCGTTTTGAAAGATAAAGCTAGAGATCTTTTTTTGTTTCGTGTTAAATTTCCAATTAACAAAATCAAATCTATGTCTCTCACTATCTGGAATTCGGCAGCATTGTAGCTTTTTTCCAGTCAAGCTCATTTTGCTGTTGCCTGGAAGTTTCGATCGTTTTGAAGGCCATTCAAATTTATATTCCAACTTACTGCTCTCTTCTTTGCTTTGTCTAGTTCCATGGTAAGCAGTGCAGGGGAACCCTGGCATTTGCACATAGGCGCCGGGCTGGAAGTGCCCGCCACTTATTAGATATTTAAAAAACAATACAGATTGATGTGAGGAATAGGAATACATGTCTTGTTTTATTTATAATGTTATAATTTAAAATGCTTTCTATTGAAGAATGTTCATCATTTTGAGATATATACTCCTTTAAGAATTGTTCTCTGTATGGGTTAAAAGAGAGACAGTGCAGGAGATAATGCTTTACAGTGTCTTCGATAGGTTTCAGACAAAGTTTGCATGATTCACAGAGCTTGAAAATCAGGCGTTTATTTTGTAAAGGATTCAGTAAGTATGCAGAGCTTGTGACTCTCAATTGGCTTATGGCTCTATGTTTTTGGAAATGTAAACTGTGTAACATATGATTCCGGTGGAAGATATGTGAAATTGCAAATGCTTCTATAGACGAGATTGTGGATGGAGGTCATTTCCCAGCTTAAATCATTTGACAACTCATTATTTTTAAATAATTACACTTCATTAAGGCTTAGAATAATTATAATAGACTAGTTGGGAGTTTTTAGAAGTCGTAAATGGCGATCTAACATTCTGCCATTCTTAGAATTTCATTTATAGTGTGATCATTAGATCTTGTGCTTAACCATCAAAACACTTGTAAAATAATACAGAATCAAGTATTGTAATTTATTTGTTGTTTTTATATCTAGTAATGAATAATTTGTATGTTCAGGCTGCTCTTGTTGGATATTTAAATGTCCACAGTACATCTGATTACGGTCTGGGTCTATTACATGAAACGTCACTATCTCTTGCATCTCGTGATCATGTCCGCCAAATCGCTATCGGCGTTTTCACAAATATTAAGTACAATAGTGACATGAATGTTACAGCCACTCCTACCATCCATCTGTATGTTTGGAACAAGAAGTTTGTGAGTATACTTGGTCAGTTATTTACTTAATTATCAAGAATATTTGCTATGGTTTATATTAACATAAATTATTATCAGTTTTATTGTTATTAAGAATCCATCGATTAGAACTCAATTCGAGCTAGATGTTATGAATAGGTTTGAAACTTGAGGACCGCAAGGATATTGACAAGTTATGGGTAGAGATCAGAGATAATATTAAAGAGGTCAGTAACGCGTGGTTAAGAAAAAAGGAAAATAAGAATAAACCGTGGTTTGATGAAGATTGCTTAAACATGTGCGATAAAAGAAAAGCCGCTAAATTAAAATCTCTAAATAATCCTAGCAAAAATAAAATCTTATGAAGCAGCGGGGACCGATGATATTCCTCGTGAACTAATTAAGGCATGGGAGGAAGCTGGAGTTCATAAAATACATTTATTAAAAAGTTATGGGAAATTGAGAAATTGCATGAAGAATGGAAAGGATCGATTCTTATTCCAATTTACGAAAAGGGGCCAAGGAAGGATTATAATAACTACCTAGAAATTTCACTCCTTCCACTATGTTATAAAATATTCTCATTAACCTTAACTAATCAAATCACGGAATAAGCCGAGGAAATTATCGGAGACTACAAATGTGGGTTTAGAAGGAACCGTTCGACTATTGATCAAATATTTTCTTTTTACAAATATTGTTCACCAGCTGTATATTGATTTCAAGAAGGCTTACGATTCTATCGACCACCAGAAACTATATAATATTCTAATCGAGCAAGGGATTCCAAAAAAGTTAGTGAATCTAGTTAGGATGTGCTTGATGGAAACACTCAATAAAGTTAGAATCTGTTATTATTTATCCGAGAAAATTGAGGTTTGTTCGGGCTAAAAACAAGCTGATTCTCTTTCACCTGTGCTTTTTAATTTGGCATTAGAACATGACATTAGAGAGATGATCCATACCGAAAAAGGTTTGAACCTGGGTGAACAATATCTGTGCTTGGGTATGCTGATGATTTGGTAATATTAAGCGAAGACATGGAAACAATAAAACTAAATACAACAACATAGATGGAAGCTGGTAAGGAACTAGAACTCGACATAAATACGGATAAGAAAAAATATATGGTTAGCTGCAAAAACAGCGACAATTTCAATGATATCGATATAGAAGGGAATGTGTTTGAACACGTAAGAATTTTAAGTATCTAGGGTCTACGATAATTAAAGAGGATATTAAGGTTAGGCTGAAGGCGGGAAATGCTTGTTATTTTTCTTTGTCAAAATTACTTCACACCCACATAAACAAAATTGAAATCACACAATCCAAAATACTTCGTAAAATCGTCAATGTTCCTTGGTTTATTTCAAATCATACCATACACACTGACATGAACATATCAAAAGTAAAATCCTACATACACAACAAGTTCACAACATTTCATTCTTCTACTCTCAACCATCCAAATCCACTCATTCTATATCTATCTTCCTCCCTGTTACCTGGTGAGCCTCAACGATGACTAAAAAGGCATTGCCCTAGATATCTTCTGCTGACAAGTTAAGCAAGTATCAAGAATACAAGAAGATAGAATAAACGCCAAAACATTTGCTTGATGCATTACAATGCAATGGCAAATTTAATGGAAAATAAAATGCATAAATGTTTATCAAACACTAGGTGAATTAAAATATATATGACTGGACTAATCCAAAGCTTAAGATTTGGTATTGGATCGATTTTTTATTTCTGAAAAATCTTTTTCTATTTTTAATAGAAAAAGTAAATTGTTACCACATTACCACAAACTTACAGAATCTCTCCTCAAGTTTCAAAACTTCGGAACTTAAATTTTTGACGTACATTACTTTTGTGTTCTATTGCTTATTTATAATTAATTAATGGAATATCATATCAATGATCATAACAAAAAAAATAATTTTTCTTAATTTAAATTATAAAGCGATTTAAATAAATAAGGGTTCTTTTCATTATATTTGACAACAGAGGAGAAATAACATACATCATTAATTTAGATTCAACCTACCATATTTTTTAAATTATTTAAATTCATGTTGAAACATATAATAAAATAAATTTGAGCCTTCTAATTAAATATTTTAAGTTGTTATTTTTACACTTTACATTGACTGTGTAGTGTAGTTAGAATAATTTTAGAAATTAAATTTTTTTTTGTGTTTTTTAATAAAATAACAAGATATTTATTATAAATATCTTTTCAATATTTGCAGGTTTATGATGGGGCATTGAAGAGAGGTTCACTCCTAAAGTGGGTGATGGAAACATCGAGTGGCCTCCTCATGTCCATCAATGGAATGCTTCTTCTCAAGACTCCTATTGTCGTCATGTTCAGTCCTATCCGTCCCCTCGAACTTATTTCACCCAATTATATCATGGTAAGGCAACTAATATATTTTACTTTTATGATATCTAGGATCATGTACTAATGATATTAGGAATGCAAATATTGAAAAAAAAAATTATATGTATATTATACTGATAGTTTTAGAAAGAGAGAGAAAAATAGAGAGAAATACTTTATTTTAAGTAGTGCTGCCCTACTACAAAGGGTTGCTTGATACACACCATACTGATCTATCCCTTTTTGGACATGGCACTTACATATACTTTATTTTATTGTTATATTTATTTCTTTTTATATCACTAAATGTATATATGATCAATGTTATACAACAATGAATTATCATTACAGAATATATATTTGTGTGAGACTGATATAGTATAAAATCTGAAATTTATCAAAAAAACATAGACTGCTAAAATTATAATGCACACATATCAACAAACATAATTTTATGCATTCAAATAAAAACATACGACCGGATTAAAATTGAATAAATAAATGATAATAAATATCCACAATTAACCTATTTTCTCAAGGATGCTTCTTATTCTTTTTTTATGTGTTCTTACAGAGGCTTCTAAAAGTTAATTCTCTATCTCTCTCTTTTTTTTACCTTCTTTTCCCCCACTGTACCTTAGGGCAACCTTATACCAGCAGTACATCCAATTTCATAACTGAACTTTTTTCTGCGAACTTAACTAGGGTTCAGTCACCAGGATTGGGGCAGTAGTACCGAGTGCACCTACACTAATGGGCTGCCTGCCATTGGAGGGCTGTTTCCACCAAACCGGACTCCAATAACTTCCTACCTACTTTTGGTGGGCCTATATAACAATTTATATGTAATATTATAAATAAATTTTAAAATAACAATAACGTAATATGTTTGTATTACACTTGCTGCCACTTGTAAATCTTAAAAATAACAATAACACTATTAACAAGATTATTCTAATATCGTACATATGATTCATCACAGCTGTAGCCTCTCCTGCCGTGCTGTTTTTTTCTAGGAATATCTTCCTTGCATACTTCTTGAGTCACAAAACATCCCAGGTGTTGCAACAAGCTTGTCTAGGGAACGAGGAGGCCACTCCAACAATGGAAACTCCCCTGCCAGGGCCAGTCGAGAGTTTGTGCATAGCGGACAATTCAATATAATGTGCTTCACATCCTCCACGGTACCACAGCTACAATTTGAGTCTTCCCTTCTGTGAAAGAATTTAAGCTTCTCATTTATGTCACCGTGGCCTGTAAGCAGCTGTACAGTCCAGAAGTCTGTCTCAAACCAGTCAGTCTCCATCCTTTTTTCGCACGTCTGGTAAGAATTCATGGGTCAATCTGCCAGTAGTACCAGTATCCTATCGCCTTTGCCATTCCGAAAGGACAACCTCTATTTGATCAGCTATTTCCTCATACTTTGCACTAGGGTACACAAAGCAGCTTGTTTCTACAGTTGGCGGCAATCCTCTTTTTATCCTGTGCTTAGCAATGAAAATTCATATTTGCAGGTCTATTACCGGTAAAGCACACGTTAGTGCCATCCTGTAAGCCCCTGTTACAAGTAAGAGAGCCCTTCTTTGTGCTTGTTCTAACAATTTCAAATCAGAAACTTTCAGATTTTGCCCCATGTATGACATAAAGAATAATAGGTAAGAAAGCAGACTTGTACAAGGTCTCTCAGCAGCTATATTTGAGTGAGGCCCCAGGTGGTCCCTACGATGGCGTTGCGACAGCTATAACGAAGTACCGTTTCACTTATTATTTTTGTCAGGTGATTAGTAAAGCTGCACCTCTCACCCATCAATACTCCTAATAACTTCATTTCTTGTATGGTTTTATTATGAAGTCTCCAAGAATTACTCTGGGAAGGAATGCTGTCATCTTCCCCTTCAAAAATAAAAATTGAGACTTTTCACAGTTTAGGGAAAGCTTCTTTTCCTGACACCATTGCATGACAATCTGGGTGACTTGTGCTGCTCTCGTTTCTATATTCAGTCGAGAATGTGCCTCGATCTCCACAGAAAAGTCGTCTACATATGCAGACGGTGTGTATCCTGCTTCCCTCAAGTTGACCAGCAGAGAATTCATATTTATATTCGAAAGTGGCAGGACCAATCTAGACCCCTAGGCGCAACCATGCTGAATCAATCTTGCTATTTTCCTCACTGGTAACTGAAAGAATACAAAGCGCCTTTCCAAAAATGACAGTATAGGTCTGTAAATATTTTTGGGATAATTTAACTTTGTTAACTCATTCATTATTGCAGGTCGCCACATATTATTGAATGTACCAGCAACGTCATAGAAAAGGACAACTAACTATTTAGAGGGCGAGTCTCTTGTTGCCTTCTTAAGCTGGCTGATCACACCCTACAGATACTATAGTATAAGGCTTTCCAGAATTTTGACCATCACGTTAAGGAGCCATATTGGCCAGTATGACTTCGCAGAAACTTTTATTGTGCCTGGTTTCAGGACAGCAACCATCTGAGCCTCTTTGCATACGTAAGGGAAGATGCCTTTGCTTAGGCATCTGTTGTAAAATTAGATCAGGGGGCCAGGTAATGCTACTTTAGTGTTTCTTAAAATATCACTTCCAATCATTTCTGATCTAGATGCTTTCCCTGGTCACAGTTTTTCAAGAACAAGTGAATTCTGAGACAAGAACTTCTATATCTTTGTTTTCCACGAGAGTGCATCTTCATTTTGCGAAAGTACACCCATATCACTCTTCTCCTTTCTCTGATCCACTGTGTCGGTAGCCGGGTCATCTTCGGGGAAGGATTTTGCCATGATGGCCTCAGCAGTCTCATCTGATGTTCTAGCCGCTTTGCCATTGTGTATAAAAAAGACAAATGACTTTTTGTTCCACCTTTTACGAAGAGCTCTCCTGTATGCCAATCCCCATGGGTTTTTACATTCTTCAAGGTATCGATGCCAATGTGAGATATTTTAATTGCTTATTTACTTTCATAATACTGGGATATTTTATTTATTATATATTTTCTCAATAATTGATAATAAATATATTTTTTTTAGCTTCAGAGGTTGGCGATGACAGTGATGCATAATGTTACTTCTCGACAAGTGAAGAGTAAATTCTCTTATGTAGAACATAACATTGCTCATCAACAAGAATATTATCGAGGTATTTATTGAAATATTTGTTATTTAAACTTCTAATGACCCCTGTTTTTGTGGATGTATTTATTTTTACACTTCATCATTTAAAAAAATTCATTAGATAAAGTTGTATAATTATTAATCTACCTTAGTATAACATTCTGGAGCCCTTTTAGGATGTGTAGTTTTTATGGTATCACAATCTATCATTCTTCTTTAATCTCACTGGACATAGGCCATATATGTACCAACTACCTAAAAGTGATATTTTTATATTCAAAATAGTTTGGTTATAGCAAATTAACTGATGTAATATGTCACCTTTCATTAAAATATTAATATTTTAAAGGAATATCTTTTTTTTTCCTCAGAAAGGTAAATTAGACAATATCTCTGTTTATCATGCAATTTATTGTTTGCCAGAAATTCTGGTCTGCCCAATCCCTATGAAGTTTTTATAAATAAAGCTAATTTTAATATATTTTTAAATCTTCAGACCTTATGAATAATTTTATTTCTATTTGAGCTGGAAGTTGATGATGAATTTCGCCAGTAACACGATGAACCACTTATATCGTTTGGTTATTATTCAATATTAGTTTTGTTCTCTGCCTGTCATTATTTTTTTTATTTTATTTTTTTAATGTTTATTCAATAACAGAAACCTAAAAATCATCTAGAAAGTACAAATTGGAATCGGTTTTTACCGTTTTTATCCAGTACCATTGCAAATTATGAAATGTAAAAGAAAAACTAGATGAAAAAATTTAATTTAATAAAAAACTGTTAATATTGCTTTAAAATTATTGGATGTAGAGTTATATATACTCTTTTTATCCAAAGAATACTCTCACCAATTATGCTAGTACAGCTGATACTTGATGCAATCTGGCTGTATACAAGGCATATAAGTCATGTTAAAATTGATTCCTGAGAATCCTGACAAAGCTACTAACTCAAAAATTACATTTTTTGAGTTTGTCCCACTTTAATTTTGGATGTTTATTTTTTCAATTCATTAATTTATTTTTCTTTAATTTTCCCAATACAATTTTATTTTTTCAGAGCTTGCAGAGAGAGATAGTGAAATACGACAGATATGCTCTAGAAGAAGGATTAGTGCAGGAATTTGTATGGCACCTCCTCGATGGCACAATCTCACCTGTGGAAGTCAGCCCAAATCCAGATGGTTTTCACTTGTGTAGGTGATACATTTTAATAAACTGTCAGTACTTAAACTAATCTTACTACTACTATCAATCGATTAATTGAAATCTTTCTTATTTATGGAATATATAAAATCCCAGATGGTCAGACACAGGAGCCCTTGACTTCTAGTGTTTGTTTTATACCCACTACAGCGCCACCCTAGCACCAAGAGTTCCCTTTATGTCTTATATTTATTATTTTTTGTCACACACATATATATATATATATATATACTATATATACTATATATACTATACTATATATATATATATATATATATATATAATATATATATATATATATATATATATATATATATATATATACTCTATATATATATATATATATATATATATATATATATATATATATATATATATGTATAATTTAATCGTTTATATATTTTTAAAATCTTAAAAAATGACATGTGATAAGTATTCCAGTAGCAACAGTGGCTGTATGTTGTAACAATATGTTGGCCTTTTTAGTGTTGACATCAAACCTCTGTTTTCTTAAAGCTCTATTATTATTACTTTTTTTTTTTCTGTTGGTATTACCGCCTTAACAAGCTTGCTCCATCTCTCCCTATCTTAGGATATTTCATTCCAATCTGCATGGAGATCAATTGCATCTTTGTTAATTTTATCTATCTTTCTGGTTCTTAACATTTCACATGGTCTTTTGCCTTCTATCGAGGCATTAAATTTTGTGTAGAGGCTTCCAGATCGATTGCTCCTAGCTACATGCCCCACCCATATTAACTTTCTTGCTATCACATCATGGGATATTGATTGACCAGTTTCTGTAAGTAGCTCTTTATTGGCCTTTCTCCTCCATGGATTAGTATTCTCATTCCTGATCACTCTAGTCATTTCATTATTCATTATTCATTACTAGTCATTCACCTGGATTTTTCTCTCAAATCTTTCAATAATAATTTCTAGGGTGCTGATTAGAGTCAAAGTCTCGCAGCTTAATATGAGCACTGGCTTTATCCATAGCATTGTACACCCTTAATTCGAGTTTTCTTCAGATTTTTCAGAATTTAAATACCTTTGAAAGAGATAATAAAACTCTGTTTGCACTTGTTATACTCTGGTCTATTTCCAACCATTGGTCATTCATCAAAGTTATTGTGGAACTGGATTATTTGAATTGGCCTACTCTCGGAAACGATTTCTCTTCTTCTCAGATCATTTTATTAGGGATTTACTATAGTATTAAGGATTATTACAGTATTTTTATGTAAGCTATTATTTAATTTTGTACAGATGATTAGTATTGTATTTATTTATTTGTTTATTGCAGTGAGGATGGTAAGAAAATTCACAATGATTGGCGTGAAGAAGCATGTCGAATGGCAGAAAGAACATCTCCGTTACCCTCTACCATCCCATCACCTGCTCAGTCTTTATATGTCAATAGTACCTTCACGTTTGCCTGCCTTGATTCGGGCCGTTTCGAGCATTTAGCCCAAGCTCTTGGTATTGAAATATCATCGGAGCCAGCATCAACTGTAGTCTTGATTATCGGTGATGAAGTGAGTACATTAAATTAAAAATAGTGGAAAAGTCTTGTGGTTTTAGTATGTAATAGTTAAATAGCTGTATCTATTCATATCTCTTCCCATGGAATTATAGCATTCCCTAAATCATCCAACTGTACCATTTCCAACCCAATTAATTTCATTCCATCCCTAGTCTGCTATGCCCCTTCTCTTTTTACATTTAGAGCACATCAGTTTTTCCATATTCTTTTTGTCTCATAAATGTTAGTAAGTATAATATTAAATTCGATCTTTCTAAATTTATTATATCTATGCTAAACTAATAAAATCCAGCCTTCCTGTCCTTATTCCTGTTCCTTATCATATCTAGAACTTTTCATTGCAAAACTCCATATTCCCATCCTCCTGGAAAACTGCCCTAATCCGACCTTTGAATAAAATTTCCAACCCTTACCTCAATGTACTACTTCAGTCCTATTTCTCTTTTATCCAACTATTCAAAGCGTTAGACTGCCTTGTCCAAAATCAACTCTCCAACTTCCTAGAAGAACATTTCCTTCATCAACCCATTCCAATCTGGCTTCCGACCTGACTACTCAACGCGATCCGCTCTCCTTAAAATAACCCATGACTTCCAAAACTCCATTGAACACCAAAACCTTACTATCCTCATCCTTCTAGATTTTTCCAAAGCGTTTGACACAAATGACCATAACATCCTTCTCACTAAATTTCACAATCTTCCTCTATCCAACAGTGCTTTGCGTTGTTTCAAATCGGTCCCAGTATTTAGTTGTCCCAGGTCAACTTCCATCTTAGACCCTTCCCCTCTCCTGTGGTATCCCTCAAGGTTCTATTTCCTACTCTGTTTGCTATTTACCCTTTCCCCTTAAACAACCTTCCCCTGATCCATCACTCCCAATACCATATCTATCCTAAGCAGACGGTTTTCAAATGTCCTTCAATTCAAATCCTCTATTCACTCCCACTATACTCGTTCCCGTTCTTCAGATTTATACATAAGGGCCCAACAAACCACTGCTTTCGACAGATCGTTCATTATCTGATCCTCATCCCTATGGAACTCCATCCCTTCGCACATCCGTTAATCCAATACCCTTCCTACCTTTAAAACCAGCCTGTTCAATCATTTCTTATCCATCCAGTTCCCATAAAATTGTAAATAGATACTACTGTAAATATGTATTTAGGTTATTAGTTCGTTCTTCATTATTTTTACATCATGTTTTTGTTCAATTTTTTATTTTTTATTATTAAGTGATTAAAATTAGAAATTAACTTATAATTTTTTTACTATGACTATTTAATTACTCTGTATTTTTGTTTATGTATTTCTGAGGCTTCTTAGCTTATATTTCCAATTTCCTCCAATCCTCCATTTTGTATTGTATTCATAAATTTCATAAATGTATTTAAAAAAATCTAAAAAAACTGTACCACTACAATCCATGAAGGATCTTGGGTTCAGTACTATTTAGGGAAAGTATTGTTACAAGTCCAACGGTTGTGAAGGGATGAGATCGGGCCAGGATCACGCTCAACTGCCAGGTTTTCCCCCTTAATCAATTATTTAATTAAGGGTACACACTTTGTAGAGGCTGGGTATGCTCCCAGGAGGGTCTACCTACCCCATGGTCGCCCCACGGCCAATGAAACAGAGTAAATAATTTTTCTGCCATGAGCCGGGATTCAAACCTGAGACCTTGAACATTGGAAGAATGCTTTGTATTATTATTTATAAATGTGTGGGTATTATTTAATATTTAATTGTGTAGATATATCAGTGCTTAAACAAATAAAAATACCCACAATGAAATATAAATAAATATTCTTTATCAGTGGCACTCTTGTCTCACTAAAAATATTTTGTGACACTTAATTATTTATTATAATTAAAATATAGAATCATAAAAGGACATGGTTAGTGCCAAAAAAAGTAGAAATATAATACATTAGATGGCTATGAAAAACATTTAATTGACTTCTCTTGGCCTGAAAATATATATTTCTGTTAAAAGAAGGATGGTATAAGTGAATGTTGTGTGATGTGCACATAGTACCAGATTTTTTTTCGTTTTCTTGTTAATTTTTTTTCTATGCTTCAATTATTTTACATCATTTCCTATTTGTTTTATTTATAGTTTTAAGTATTTTGTACACAGTTTCATGTATTTAGTTTTGTATTGGGTAAAACCCCCAGCCAGTGCACCCTTATTGGAGACTGGGTGCTCATGTATTAGAGGGGTTTAATTTTTATTTTGTTTCTATTTCTATCTTTTTTTTCCCTAAGTACTTCGGAGTTTATTTTGTATCATTTCTCATTTGTTTTAAATATTTTGTACATCGTTTCATTTTTTTTTTTTTTTGTCTTTTATTGTTAGTTTGTTTAATTTTTTTTTTTTTTATAACAGTGTTATTCCTTAGGAACTTCCTCTGAGAATGAAGTTGTTTTCTATTCTGTTCCATATTGCATTTACTTATTTCCATTCGTTCACTGACTGATAAACTGTATGAATTATTCGTACTGGCCAACTAGTTTTATTATTATTATTTAAATATTTTACTTTTATAATTAAAATAAGTGAAATTCTTTACAGTATATCTTTATTTGATTTCTTAATTACAGGAAATGGTTAAAATTGGAAGAGGAGAATTGAGGGAAGAGAGGTTGTGGTTGGGGTTGAGTGATTGGTCGCAGGGCAAGATAAAGAGAGTCATCACGGGGCGAAGGGATAGGCCTTCGCCCAAGCCTTTCTTCTCTAATATTGGCTCCATTGGCAGAGTACAAACTGCCGGAACTAGGTTTACGAGGGTTCAGTCAGCTGTTGCACCAAAGCAAAAGGGTAGGCTCAATTAATGAAAATCTTTAGTCTTACTGCTTAATATTCAAATACATTTTATTAAAGAAAAGTCTATATTAGTGATAAAATTACTTGTTATTTATTCTTCGTTGAAATTTTCAATCTTGCCTTTATACTTAAAAGGGCTTTATTTTTAGCAGAGATTAAATGTTTGTCCAATAAATAAAATGTATAGCCCAGAGATGTCCAAATGTTATTTTATTCGAGTTGCTTATTACGAAAGTAAACCTAAATAGATTTTTTTGGAAGTCGAAATAAGTATCTATTCCTTTGTAATTGTCTGGTGGATCCGATGGTGAAATTATTTGTTTTCATTAACAAACCTAAACATGGAGGAAAAAAAAAAAGTGTAAAAATAAGTTTATTTTCAAAACTTATCTCTCCCCTCCCCTCCTGAGAAATGTAATAAATGAAACTTGCATTTCTTAAATAATTAAGCAAAAATGTATATTTTTCATTATATAAAGTGAATTTTAGGTAATTAAATAAAAACATGGGCTTATTAACCAGGGGTTGTCAAAGTTCCATTTTAACAGTTTCTATGAAGCTTTTTAGGAAAAAGTTTTGAAAATAAAACTTCAAAGGTACATATTTGTTCTAACTTCATAAGTCCTAAGGGAGATACTTTTTTTTCTGAGGTATATAAGTAAGATTTGATTACAGTACTTATTCTGCCAATAATTTTTCTTTATTTCATTATGGCGCTTCGGGATCCACATGTCATAATTATTTTTATATTGTCATAATTCATTCCTTAAAATATAATGTAGACTCCTCTTAGGAAGAGCCTAGTCAGATACTAGCCTATATAAGATATTACTTCAGTATCTGACTAGACTCTTCCTAATAGGAAACCACATTATAATTTAAGGAATGAATTATGAGAAATCTTATATGGGATAAGAAAGTGGATCCCGAAGCGTCTTAATGAAATAAAGATAAATTATTGGGAGAAAAAATACTGTTATCAAATCTTACTTATATTCGTTCTAGTTTTATGATAAAAGTTTTAACTTTTATTTATTCACGTTCATGAAAAAAAAAGTTCCCTTAAATAAAAAGGGAACAGTAATCAGCTAAGATTATGATTATAATTTATCTTAATTGATAGACTTTTTGATGAAAATAATTTAAATAAAAGTTCGTTTTTTTTAAATAAAAAATGTTATGTAAAATCTTTACTTTTAATGTTGCTATAGAAAAAGTTCTAGTTTCAAAATAATTGGAAATAAACATTTTAATCAAACCGAAACTGATTAAAAATAGAAGTTAAATTATAATTTCAAGCCCTGGTTACAACCATTCTCCTTCTTAAATACCATGGAGAATTCAGTAACCAATTTGCAGAGGTCAATATAGATATATTTTTTTTATTAGCCGTAAAGATGAGAAATTAAGTTTTTTATTCGATTTTCTGTTGGACTCAATATTGTATTGACAAATTACTGACTCAATTATAGAAGTTTTATTTTAAAAAATTACAATACTGCATAATTTTCTTTTATTAATTTACATCAAATCGTATGCAAATGTATAAATATTTATATATAATTATAATTGTATATATTTTCATTGTTATTACTTTGTGAATATAGAACAAAAAAAAAAATTGTGGATTGGTGGTTGACTTTAGTGAATAATTGAAGAGAAGAGTGGTTGGAGTAATCATTAAAAAAATAAATAAATAAATAAGTATATTTATTTATATTTTTGCAAACGTTTCGTTCCAAAGTTTAGGCATTCATCAGGACTGGTCGAACGAAAGTCTTGCGGTTGAACGCTGGTCTTGCGGAATCCTTTTGTTTGACCAGCCCTGATGAGAGCCTGAACTTCGGGCCGAAACGTCGGCAAAAATAAAAATAAATATACTTATTTATTTTTGCTTCTTTTTTTTTTTTTAATGATTACCCCAATAAAAATAAATATACTTATCACCAATCTTCTCTTAAAAAAAAAAAATTATATTTCATATTATTAATCCCGACTTGTTAATGTTTTCACTTCTATTGTGTGGCCTTAAGCACACTCCGTAGTTGTTTTTAAAAAAATTGAGGTTCTGTAAAACCTTTACTTGAAATGTTGCAAGGGGAAAACTTATAGTTCCAAAATAATTAAAAATAAACATTTTAATAATAATGAAACTGATTAAAACTGGAAGTTAAAATTTTCTTTCAAGCTACAGCCATATGATTTGGTTCCTTTGATTTTTTTCCTAAGTATTTTATATTAAATGAAATGTAATTAAATTTTTAAAGACCTAAATTAATCCCGATAAGAAATCCTTATTGAGGCATATAAGCAATACATTGTGGAGTGTTGTCGTGTTGACTTAAGCTATGGTTACAGCACAGCCTGATCCTGTACTACAGCCAGTATTGTGGAACTTGTTCTCGCAGTTCGCTCACACTCCTGGAGATATCCCACCTGTTGGCCGATGCTAAGTGTCTCTATGTGGCCAGGATCGACGGAGATCGCATTGATCTACCATGGCACTACAATCTTCATTTCTTTCCTTCTTTACTCTTTCTTCCTGCAGTCAGGTAATGGAGGGTGATATATACCAATCGTTTTTTATTTAACCTTAATATAAATTTTATTCTGATATACATTGCTCGTTCAATCTGGGGTGCAAATAGACAAACATAATAGTAAAATTAAGTTAAGGAGTAAAATTAATTATTGAGACCAAATATATAGAATAGGCAATAAAACATTGATAAAAATGCTAGATTCCACCCACCATTTGACTCTTAAAATATGTACAAAAGCTTTTTGAACTTCTCCAGTTGACAGTATATATGATGAATCTGGACAACCACCTTTAAAGATAAGATGTTAATATTTATCAATTAAACATGTCTCAAAATTAACAAGCATGTCCACAATGCCCCTTAAGTACTAAACTATTTGTCTAGGAATCGGAAATTCACAGACTTAAGGACAAAGAGGGAAGGACATTTAAACAGATGATGTACAAAGCACTATATGATGTGAACATGGATTTGTTCATAATTAAACCCATCCACAATCTCGAAAATTTTCGTTGGTACAGCCTACAGTAGCGACTACCATCCCTAACTGTTCAAACTACTCATCGTAGCCAACTCTTGCGTTGTACATCCTACTTTAAAATAATTATAAATTAAAACATTAGCTCTAAATTTAATGGCTTTCATTTGTATTGAAAGGATAGCAATTTTATAAAATTGCTTGTTATTCAAATTTATAAAATTAACTTTTGTTATAAATGATATTACTTTATCAGCCTTACTATTATTACTCCTTAAGTATATTGAAATCTTTTGCAGTATTCCTATTTCGTTTAATTTATGCCTGTATAATTCATTATTATGTGAACAATCTTCAAGGATGTGAATTATTGGGAATTTTTCATATATATTTATTGGGGTACTGTTGTAATGTTGGTGGTATGTCTTGAGTAATGAAGTGCTGCCTCTTTAGTATAATATCCCATCTCATTATCAACAGATCAGCTGTAAAAAAACAAAAATTGAATTTAATCTTATGATTGTCTATGATGTTATGATTAAAAAATTTTATTGGTAGCATTTGTAAAATATATATGGCCGTTTGTAATAAATGTCTGACCATACTTTTTTTTCTAAGATACTCTGCATTAAAGAGATATTTAATGAATACTATTTTGTGTTTTGTTTAATACAGAAAGTCTGAGAGTAGGCTGTTACCTAGCGATCTGATGTGGAGCTTCGGCACTATCTCACATTTTCTACTCGCAAACCTAGGTATTGAGGAGCGTCCTGAGATCATGTTGGCACTTTGTGCGAAATGGGGTCAATATCCAGTCAGTATATTTATATTTTATTTTAGATAATCTTATTTGTTGTATTTAAAGTCTCATCTTTGTATTGTGTTACAATAATAATAGTTACTTAATATATTTTTGGTTTTTAATAATCAACCATTGTAACCTTCCAAAATATTCAAAAACTTACTCCCTTCAAAATTTGAGCTTTTACGTTTCAGGAAATATAGAACTCAAAAATCTGATTAAAAAAAAAAAAAAATTTATCTGCGTATTTTCTCCAATACTACTGGACCAATTTTTTTCAATTTTGGAATCAATGTCAGAGGTCCCCCTGAGGATGATCCTTCTATCTCAGCATTAGTATCCACTCTTTCCTTTCAAGATGTTGGCTGAAAAACCTGTGTTGCTGCAGACTGTAGTACCTAAACGAATGCAAATTTATTATTATTATTTTATTTACTTATTCTTTATTTTTTTAAAGTTCATTTATTTATTAATTTCTATTCATTTATTGATTTTACTGCTATTTTTTTAAAATTTTATTTATTTATCTATTTTATCTTATTATCTATAAGTGTCTGTTATTATCTTTATTTATTTATTTTATTCTATCAATCCTTTTATTTATTTTTTTATCTTTTTTTTAATTTTTTTTATTTTCTGTACCAACCATCCAAACAGTATAAAAATAGTGTTATTAAGTTGATCGGGCGCTGATGACCTGGATGTTTTGCCCCTAGACATCGAAACAAACGAAACGAAACTAAATGAATGTACCAATTTCAATGAAACTTGGTTAAAGTCTTCTGATCGAAGTTCTTTTAGTATGGTCATTTTAAAGTTTATGAAATTTTCTAAAATATTAAAAAAAAATTGTTCTTCTTCGTTCTTCCCTCTATGTCAGGGAGTAAAAATCAAAGTTCTCCTCCTTAGGTCCTCCAGACTTACGAACAGCTTAGTCCCATGGTCCAGTTGCCCAGCGGAAATCCACAAGGGAAGCACTCCTCATGTTAGTGTTGTCCATTTGTAGTTTAATAAATAGTTGAAATCGGACAATTTGTTGCAAAGATATGTTTTTTTTAACTAAACTATTTTTCATATGTTCTATCGCAAAGCTTATTTCCTTTGTTTTGGTTTTTAATATCCTAAAAGTGTTACATCAATAATTTACTAATGATGGAATAAAAAATTATTTAGGGCAATATCAGGAATCACCTTTTATTTATCATTTTTTTATTTATGTAACAACAAGGAAAGTAATGTTACTTTTGATATATAATTGTTCGGAAATAATAAACCATTGTGTAATAATTTGCAGGGATTTTTAAATTTTGAATTATTTCCTAATTACATTGTATGATTTATTGTTAATTTATATGAACAATACTGTTATTATTAAGGGACCTAGTCCCAGAATAAAGAAGATGATTTTTCTATTTTATTCTATGAAAAATGTCATGAAATCATTTTTTTAGGAGAAGAGCCAAGAGGTACATGAATGCATCCGAGAAACCAGAAAATTATTGCTCGATGGAATTGATAAAAAGTTAAGAGAGTCGAGACGGTACCCAAATAACAGGAAGAATACACTCCATTCTCTCGCCTTTTTAAAGACAGTTCACCTTGCTTTGGCCAGGGTTGTTAGCATCCAGGAGTCGCTGGTTGCTGTAAGGGCCATTTCTAGGCAGTACAATCTTGGTTGCACTTTTAGCTGACATTGGTAAGAATTTTTGACTATCCGTTTCGTTTTGTTTTTATTAAAGGCATATTTTCTCCAAGAAGACAATAATTTTTCTTTATTTTAGCATTTTGCAGTAATTCATAGTTCTCATATTCTTCTGCTTTTTATTTATTATTTTTAAATAATTATCATTACTGAGACCTTTATGAATCACATACAACCACCACCATACAACTTATCCTTTCAGTTTATTATTTTCAATAATCAACCTTTATACTCGACCAAGAAAATATAAGTTAACCACCACATCAAAATTTGAAATTTTACATTTCAAGATACTTACAACCTCCCTTATATTCCACCATTTAGGCTGTGGTTGTTTGGTGTATGGAGGGCTAGAAATAAGACTGAAGAAACTCATGAACTGTTTCATAAGATACATTTTCGGGATCCCCCAGGCGTTCACATGTTTCACTCTGGTACGCCAAGTTGAACTGGCTTTATTCTACTTCCCGAAGACAATTCCTCCTTGGTGTTTAACTTTTCCAAGTCCTCAGAACCAGAAAACCCTCCCTATATCCTTACTCTACGTTCTTCTATCCACTCTCTTAATATCAGGTCTCAACCTATAGATTTATGTATCCCTTCTCATAAAACTACTTCCCTCAGCAAATCCTTCGACATTCATGCTACCTCCTTTTGGAACTCTTTACCTACCTCCATACATCAATCCTCTTCTACAAATTCCTTCAAACAACTCCTGTTCCACCGCCTATTCCTCATTCAAACTTCTGCAAACATGTAAAATTACTTGTATATGTATACTGTATAATTTTAATCTATTGCACAATTGCCATAACAATCAGCAGTTAATTAGTCTGTATTTTTTATTATTCTAAGCCAGACTAAGACCCATGAATTTGTAACTCTGTTATTATTGTTAGGGGACTGTAGTCCCAGAATACATTTTTTTTATTTTATTTTCATAATTCGAAAATTAAAAAAATTAAGTTAGATGTCTTGTAAAATAGGTACTCTGGATTCACCACTTTTTTTTGTGTCATTAGCAGAAAAAATGGCATCTCTGGTTCAATTGTATACCAGAATTTGGTTAATAGTAATTTTACTGGCGTATCATTCACATGGTATACTGCTCATTCATCAAATAAGAAAAGAAAACACTCTTACGTATTATAAGAAGGAGAGATCAATTCATATTTTCTCAGTAATTATAATCAATCGAGGAAGAGGGAGCTACAATAATATTGCACGGTTGCTTAACTGTACTTGAGTTGGTAAATCACACAGCATACTCAATCAATCAACAGATAATATTGAGTAAAAATAAGACAGAGTTCGGTAGGACCATCGGAATAAATATCAAAGATGCCAAGAATGGTCTATAGAATCAAAAAAGTTAATTTAAAAGTTAATTTATTCTTTTAATCAATATATTCACAAATTACAATAAGCTGTATCTTTACTAATGATAGCCCAATTTATTTATTTTTTTTTTTTTATAGAGAATTTAGTAATATTTTAAATAATGATGGGTATAATCAACAATAAAATGTTTAATGGTATGGAGATAGTTGGCCATGATTATAATATAAGGAATTGGTCTGGGAGTAGTCCAATTAAATACTATATATAATTGGTAATTGGTTGACTGTCGTGGATAATGAAGAGAAGAATAGTTGGGGTGCTCAGTCAAAAAGGAAGGCAAAAAATAAATTATAATATTTATTTTTTACATATGCCGACGTTTCGACCTGAAGTTCAGGCCTTCATCAGGGCTAAGAAAATAACCAGATAACAAGGTATGAGAAACATAAGTAATGATGGTAAAAAAGATAATAAAAAATGAGAAAAAAAAATTATTAGAAAAATAAAATAGATAGATATAAAGTAAAATGAAATTGTTAGAATAATGACTAAGAACTAAGAGATAAATAATAAAAACTGTTACATAGTGTGGAATGATGAAGTAGGCATAATCAAAAAGGGGTGACAAAAGTATTATATTGGGAATCTTAGAATAAAATGTAAAAACATAAAAAAGAAATATAAAGTTATATAAGAAATGAAAATAAAATAAATAGTAAAACATTATAAAATAAATATTGTAATTTATTTTTTGCCTTCCTTTTTGACTGAGCATCCCAACTATTCTTCTCTTCATTCTTCATAAATACTATATACTATATAGTTTTTGTTTGTGTTTTCCATATATATAATAATTTATATTGTAACTATACTATAACCCACTACATCACTGATGTCATCTTGTAAGTTTTTTAATTTCTTTATCAGACAAATGGTATTTGTTTTACTTTGTACCAATTTATATTTTGTAGCCTTGATGAAGATCTATAAAATGGTTCGAAATGTCGACGTAACCAACAAAATACTATTATAATATATAGTGTAATATACACCTTTATTGGAAGTGGGTAAAAATGATTTAATAAATTAATGTTGAACAAATAAAAGGCAAGCTAATCTAGTTCTACTAGTCTAGGGAAAAGAAAATGGCTTCTCTGTATTTTCCCAAGAAGAAAAATCCAAAGAGAAGAGGGGCAAAGCTTTTGCTTTTGGCAAGCAGTTGTGTGGCTGTAGTGAAGAGAGGTTTTTTTTTTTTTTCCCTCCCCTTCGTCCTCGCCTCTAAGGCTATACGGGGGTTTTCCCGGGCCGGTTGTGACTATTTTTTTTATCAAAGTGTTATGTATCAGGTTGCCGGGCAACGGCGGTGCAGTGCGCATGTGTTAGCCCATTCGGCCACCCCACCCACCAGTGAAGAGAGGTTAAGAGAAGATATCCTATCCTGGCTCCAGTGGGTAAAAGCCAGTAATAGTTGTTTAGGGTTGATCACCCTAAATTGATGTTACTCCCCCTCCCCCTCTTCATGGGGTACATGTAATAGACCAGCCAAGTAGGTAACACTGCAGCGACGGTGCCACAGTCTGCACTAAAACTATTAGTGGTAAGGAAAAAAAATGGGCGACTAAAACGAGAAGAAGATGACTTCTCTCCCCTCTTCAAGACTTAGGAATTCATGCTCTGTTCTACCATGGGAAGAGGCATGGAGTAGAACACCCTGAGACTTACCGGACCCATGGAGGTGAGAAGTATTGTAGCCGGCCGACCACCGTACCTCAGTCAGCATCCAGCCAAAGCAAGTAAAATATTGTAAACCCTTATACACCAAACCCCCATCTCTATAAAATGTTTAATATAATTATAGTTCATTTCAATACAGTCCACTAATTTCATTTCAAATACCAAATCATCTTCTGTACCATATTATACAAAAAATTATGGTATACAACCTAATTCAATAGTTTTACCATCTTAGAAGATCTTGTTTGGCAGGGAGAATAGTTGTTTGGAATTGCAAGAGAGAGGATTTCCCAGAGAACTTCAGTTGAATGGAAGAATAGTGTTACCATTTTGGGATATGTGTTTGGCAGAAGATAAGAAAATGTGTGAAGACAAATGAGTTCAGTGCCACAAAGGAAGAAACATTGTATGTAGAAAAAAGGTTAGCTTGTCGATTCATATTTGACTTTATTTTAAAATCAATGTTTAATTTTAATATAAATAGTGTAAATAATAATAGTTTGTCTGAGTTGATCTGATTGTCAGTAACCCACACCCAAGATAAATAAATATATTAATTCTCTTATAATTTTGTTAGGAAGTATCGCAATGTTAAGAAGTGACCTTCCGAGATTATATTATTATTATTTGTCAAATATAGAGAGATATGTTACAATAGTATTTAATTTGTTTGCACCCATGACCAGCTTCTTTTCATAATAAAATGTCTACTTTTATGAGTTATTGGAAAATGAAGTTTCTTTTCCTTCATAACTTTTTGTCTGAATTTTCGGGGGATTATATTTCCCACCTGAAAGAGAATGAAATCTTCAAAATGATGGCTCAATCTTTGGATATGATGAAGCATTAACGAAGATATGGCGTACAGACTAAAAGACTCTTAAGATAAATAATGTAAACTCCTCCTTTCTTGATCATAGAGACTTCAAGTCACATGAGACATGTATCCAATATCAGCTCTACAGTTAACTTAAGGTTGTATGGCTGCAAACCTTATGCCTTGCATTATTTCTAAAATTGTACAATTTTGGGCCTGGATTAAAATAGTCAAATCACACGTCCTTCCTCGATTCACTGACTTATTACTGTCCCAGTATTGATGCCCAGCGAAATATTTATATTTACTTTATTTATATGATTCGCTAATCCCCATTGAAATTCTAAATCCAACATTATGCCAATACTTAAGTCCTATTCATTGCATTTAAGCATGACAAGAGCTTATGTTTGTTACAAAACCGATTTCGAGCCGTAGTGTAGTAATATATGTGGAGATTAATTTTCTGTTGATTAAGTGGTCAAATCTAACTAAATTGTCTTGTTACAGGTAAAATATGCTTTCTTCGATCTTATATTCTGTAAAGCTCTTTATGTATCCTAATTGAAGAGTTCCTGTCTGAACTAATGTCAGAACTTATCTTACACAGCTGAAGGAATTTTGTTTGTCATCAATTGATTTTGAACAGCATCTACTGTCTTGACCTCTGTAATCGTTAAATCAGGAATGACTTAACGAATGTAAAATATATTAATTGTATATAAATAATGATTATACAATAAGACGTATTTATTTGTATTTCATTATTGAATATAGCGATACCCTTTTTTAAAATTATAAAATTTCTGTATTGAGTTGAAATTATGAATGTGTCTTGTCAGAGGTTCTTAAACTGTGGTCTGTGGAACCATAGGAGTAGCCACTAATTACCTTGTCCTCGAAACGACGTTGACATCAACTTAACATTTCAGTGCTTTTTACTTTTATTCAAATAACATTTTTAATATAAATCCTACATGATCAAGATTTTTTTATTCATTTGTTGTTACTTAACTTTTTATTAACATAGTAATGTAAAATGTATCGTTGGGATGGGGTCCCTAAAAAAATGTTTAAGATGTGTTCCGCAGACTACATAAATTTAAGAATCCCCTATGTTATGTTCTCTGATAATATAAAAAAAATACTAAAAATTATGAAAAAAAGTTACATTATGTTTAATTGTAGTGAAAATATATAATCGATCAATTTACTTAATATAATAAAGTTGTAATCGTTGAGGTACATAGTGGTTGTAGTTATATCATGCTCAAGATCATTGGTTCGACTGCGAATTGATAGTAATAATCGAGTGTTATATTATCATAACATAATAAAAGTATGTTTATTACAGAAAATAATGTGATATTATTGTACATAAGGGATAATTGTTATATTGGAAAAAGATATAATGTAAGTATGGTACAGGAGTGGTACATAAAATTTTGTTTCACTTTATCGTAACACTGCATTCCAAAGCTTACATTTTTGTTGTTTATAAAACTGATTTGTATTGTTGTATCTGTCATTTTCTAGAGGTTATTATTTATTCAAACTTTTGAATTTAGTATATTTAATTTAAACCAAATATAATATTTGCTCTTGTTTCTGATAAAAATAAATTTTTATCAAATTAAATTAACAATGTTTAAATGTTCCTCAGTTATCTGTTTTATCATTGATATTTTTACTGCCAAGACAGTTGTACATACTTAAGACTGAATACTCGTAAGCAGTTATTTTAATTTCAATTTTAAATATTTAATTTGGTATTCGCCTCTAGTGAAGATTTGTTTTTAGAAATGTATATCTATGATAAAGAAGTTCATTTGATTATGTTTTTTGTTGAAATTGTCATATTTTATAAATACCATCCTCTCCCTCACCACAAAAAAAAAATATGTTTTCCTTTATTGCAATATTTATTTTATTATTTAAATTTACATTTTAGGACTACTCTTTATAAAATCATCTCCAGAAACCGATTGTGGAGACTTATTCAAAAATATTTGAATAAAACAATTACAATTTGTAGTTACATTTATTTCTTGAAAATTTGTTGATGTTATGTTATTTTATTTTATTTCTAAATGTGATAAATTATAAAATGTAGAAAAATAAAAATCTTTCGTTTATTTTCCTTTTTTTTTTACTTCATTTGCCTGTTAATTAAATGTATAGTAAGGGACAGTATTGTGATAGTGAATATTTTTGAATCTGAGTTTTCAACAGAAATACATGTTTTTAGGTCTCCTGAGTGCAAATAACCAAGTCCCGCAAAATGGTCTGTGTGTCTGTATGTGACAGGTCTAGCTCAAAAACGAAAAGTTGTATGAATGTGAAATTGCATATTTAAGGTTTGTATATACACTGAGATGTTACAGCAACTTTTTCATCAAAATCGGCTAACCGGAAGTGGCACTTTATATCATCGATGAAACACCTTTTTATTATTCCCGAAAACGGCTCCAATAATTTCGATCAAACTCGATATATCAATGTATTATTAAGTTGTTTTTAATATCGCATAGGTCTTATCCACACTAATGGTGCCTTACAGCACATAAATGCCAAATATTCAATATGTCTTCCTCTAAAGTACCTTTAATTTGGATTATTTTAAATAATTATATATCTACCATTATTAGGAGTTGTAAAAAAAGGCTAAATAAAACTTTTGAAAGAAGTTGATAATTGAATAAAGGATAAAAAAATAAAAATGCTTATCCAGGTCGAAAATGAATCTCTGGAAATAATAGTCATGAGGTATACGTATAATATATCGTTGGAAAGTGGAGAATTTTAGAAAAAACTTTTTCTAATAAATAAAGTTGTTGGAGGTAACAGAAAATGGCAGTTTTATTACTACTTTAGATTATGAATGGTTTTAACAATGATAAACTCTACTTGCAATGAAAGTAAATTTTGTCTAGTTTACTCTGAACCAATTGTATATTTCTTGAATGAAATATTTCTTTAGTTATAGCTTCCTATTCATAAAAAAAACATGCCTTACTTAAAAAAAAAAAAAAAATTAAATTTCCTACTTTTCTGCTGAAAATCAGATTAATGTTTATATAAACGTTTTTGTAGCTGTTGAGGTCTGCTATCACTCCTTTAAATATTTATCTCTACTTACGGGATACCCTGTATATTTAAAATACAGTATAAAATTTTGCCTGAATAGCAGGATTCTGATGCATAAATTAGTATTAGAAATAGAGAAGTACAATATTTATTGTCAAACACCTATTAATTAATTTTAATTCAACAAAAACTAATTGAAATCAATAAGACCATTAAAGAGACATCTAGTTAATTCACAATTATAGGATTTTTTTTTTTTAAGGAAATTAGTCGACTGTTCTACATTTCATGGGTGATAAATTTTCAGGACACAGTCTTTTTAAATTTTTTATTTATGCCAACGTTTCAACCCAAACATGTGGGTCATCTTCAGCGCTGAAAATTTTTTAAAATACAATCAGAGATATAATAGTATACGGCCGATAATGATAAATAATAAACTATAAAGATTGATGGTACATGAATCTTAATCTTAATCTTGTCTTTATTATAAAAATTATTTGTCTAACCATTGTGTACTTTTAATCGAACTAAGTTATATTTATATTGATTGGCACCTCTTGCTTATTTTCATTTCATTACAACACAAATATTGTACACATATGAAATATTTAGTCAGCAAATTATGTACATTCTACAAACATAAATGTTATCTCCCTTCCCCTCCGATTATGTTTATCTACCTTTTGCTATGTGAAAAAGTACAACTGGGAAATCCTCCCCTCCTGTTCTTTTCACTTACCTACCAAATGTGTCAATACTTGAACACCCTCAGTGCTCAAACCACAGTTAGTAAGAGAAAATATTACAAATTTGTATAAACGGATTATATACATTATTTTTTTATTTTTAGTTTGTACAACTATTTACATATTTCATTTTTAATATGTGTATTGCAACATTACTTAAGATTCATGTACCATCAATCGCTATAGTTTATTATTTATCATTATCGGTCGTATACTATTATATCTCTGATTTTATTTTAAATAATTTTCAGCCCTGAAGATGACCCACATGTTTGGGTTGAAATGTTGGCATAAATAAATAAAAATTAAAAAAGACTGCGTCCTGAATATTTATCACCCATGATTTTGTTTTTGTTAGAACATTGTAAATTTAGTGTAAATAAAAGACAATTCCTTTTATTAATCACTTGACATTGAGTGATAAACTGCTTGATTTCAAATGATTTCAATGCAAAAATATATCAATGGTCATCCTCAAGGAAGTTATAATTTGCAAATTTTATAGTTTTAAGTAAAAAAAAAAAAAAAAATTAAAGATTTCATTGAATCCTTATTTATTAATTCTCTTTTGTTCTTTATACATTGGTTTATTTCTATATGTATTTGATATTCATTTAAAACATTTGTCCAATACTAGATTAGATTTCTCAAGTTTTCTACCCTTATTTAAATTGTTGTTTACAACTGTGAAGTTGACATATCATTGATATTTTGTGACAACATAAATCATTAAAGCTTAATAATAAATATTACTTGTCCAATCAATACATTCTGTTAGTCTTAAAAATATTAATACCGCTTAGCTTCAAAAAATATGTTAAGTAAATTAATGATTCTTTATGATCAAAAAATGACCTGAGTTCTGATTATTCCTTCTTCAATGATCTCTTCTATCTTTCAGTGGAGACTTTTGTACAGAGTTCTATCCGTCTCTGTAGAGGGCTACTCTCCTGGCTTCTGGCCATCCAATTCCTTTTCCTTTAAGTATAATTTTGAGGTTATCCTCCCAAGTAATTCTTGGTCTTCCTCTAGATCATTTTGCTACTGGTTTCTTCGCTGAATGGCAGTCATCCATCCACATTACATGACCAAACCATAGAAGCTGCCCTTTCTTTATGATCTGGTTGGGAGGGGTTCAATTTTGAGTATAGTCCTTATCGTTGTGTTGCATACGGGATCTCTCTATGCTAGGGAAGCTCTCTATTTTCTTCAGATACCTCATCATCAGATACCTTCAGATACCCTCTCTTGTTTTTCCCCACTTCGACTATGGCTGTATGGTGTATGGTGGACTCTCAGGAGATCTCGAGGCCAAACTTATATGCCTAATGAATTGCGCATTACGTTTTGTTTTCGGAGTCTCAAGAAATACGCATATTACACCGAGTTGAGGTGGCTCTATCCATCCTATCGCCGTCAGTACTGCCTAGCTACCTTTCTGTACCAGACATTAAAACTCATCGACCCTCCTATATTTTCCATAGCTTACAATTGAAATACTCCATCCAATCCTGTCCTACTAGATCTCGCACTTCCGACCTCTATCCACCTCCTCACCAAACTGCTGCGTATGAAAAACCATTTGCAATTCAAACCGCCTCACTTTGGAATTCCATCTCTGCTAATATTCAACACACGCAATCAATTTCCTCTTTCAAACCCCTCCTCTTTAAACACCTAGTCCTTTCTAAATCCACCTGATCATGATATATACCTAAAAGAGCTATCTTAGTACCCCCAGAAAATATTTCTGTTATTTTAGTTTTCTCCATTTGCATTATATACGCTTTATGCACGATTATTATGTATGTATATTTACGCTTTTTATGTCTTTTATCTATTTCCGTCTGTATTTTTACTTTTAAATAACCATATTTTCAACATCTACTCTATTTGACCACTTACACATGAATTTAGCACTTATAATTTGTTCTAAAGGGACAACAGTCCCAGAATAATAAAATATATTTTCATTTCATTTCATTTCCATGCTTTGGAGGTGACTGTGATCACATTGCTTCCATTGCAGGTTCAGGATTCGCTTCCATAGGTGAGGATAGGGACGAACCTCGAGTGGTAGACAGCTAATTTTTTTTGCCACTTTTCTCTTACTTAAAAACTTTCTGTTAATAGCAGAGAACATCCTTCCTAAAGTGGCAATTCTCATATTAATTTCATCTCTGAATTTCCTGCTTTCACTGATCGTCACACACAAGTACTTGAAGGTAGGAATCTGCTCTATTCCTACCTTACATAGTTTCTAGGTACATTTTTAAATAGTTTCTACAGGTCTTATGGAGTGATTTGATTCTCTGTATAAGAAGAGCCTTGGACACTTCTGATTATTCCGAAGTGAAGCTCATAACTCATACCAAGGTATCCTGTCGAATGCCTTCATCTCCTGCCTCCCACATTTATGTAAGCATCCCATGGTTTTAAAATCACTTAAAACTGAGAAAGAAAACATTAGATTATTATTTCAAAATGCTATAACTTATATAATTATAAAATTAGCGGAATGGAAGTGGCACTTTATTCGAAATCCAAAATAAACAAAAAAGATATAACCGTTCATTTTTTTATTTAAATGTTTCTTATTTATTTATATGTATATTTTAAGTATTAAATTTTTTTTTTTTATTGATAATATTTACAACTGTATTACAAGTAAAAATACATTCAGTAAATGTGAACAAAGGAATAAAATAGCATGAAATAACATGTTGAGAAACTACCCATTGGTAGCACTCTAAAAATGTATTTACAAAAGGAGATCTCGAGGCCATCTTCTTTTCAGATGCCTCTGAGGGTTGTCAGGGATCGAAGAGGAAGCAAGGTTAGAAATGAGAGGGTTTGGATGGTTCTGAAGTTTGTTATGGAAGGATAGGTATCTGGATTGGGCCAGGTCAGAAACATAAGGAACATTAAGGTCGTTATGGATGATTTTGTTTGTGACAAAGTAAGGAGCAGTGAGGATTTTACGAAGGATTTTGGATTGTAAGGATTGAATACGAGAGGAATTCGATGGCTTAGTGGAGCCCCAGAGCTCAACTCCGTAAGTCCAAATAGGTCTTATTGTAGTCATGTATATGAGTCTTTTGTAATTGACTGGGAGGTTAGAGCGTTTGTCTAGTAAGTGCTGGAGTAGTCGGAAACGTCGAGCTGTTTCTTGTCGTTTCAGTCTGGTATGAGGATTCCAAGTTAGACGTTTGTCTAAGTGGAGTCCAAGGTATCGAATTTGTTCAACAGGGATAAGTGGGGTATTATTAAAGGATACTGTAGGACAAGAGGACATAGGT